GGAAGAATCACTGACTTGAGGAAGGACAGGACGGGAAATGATAGAGCTGAAAGGTCTTCAGCAATAGGAGATGGAGGGCAAGCTGCGCTTTCACTCACACTTGATGTTGATGGTGTAGGTTCTGGGCTTGAAATAAACATATGACGTACTCTACCACTGTCCTTTATATAGCATTGTACAGCAGAGTACACGAAAGCACAACCATTTGTAGAGCATGCACGCATGTGACAGTGTACACCAGACACTTGAACTAACTTAACGTGACTGGACATGGGAATGCACATTCACATGTTTGAAAGTTTGAAACTCGCAGGTTTGTATGTAAGGGACTTACTATACTGTCCATTCTCAATTTTTCCCAGTAGCAACAATAAAAACCCATATTATCAGAATCAAGATCCCTCAGAAAAAAAAGAGTATAGATTGTTTTCAATCATCATCTGTAATTCTTGGGTTTAGAATCCTAATGGAAACAGTTTCTTTCTGAAAAGGACTCTTATTTTCAGCCCTTCTAAATGTTGAAGGCAAAATAAGTGGCCACATACAAGTCCCAAATCCTTTGGCTTAGAAATATCCAAATTAATGGGTTTCCCTGGTGGTTCAGGGGTAAAGAATCCACCTGCCAATGCATTGGATTCAAGAGATGTGGGTTTCATCCCTGGGTCAGGAAGAATCCCTGGAGAAGGAAATGGCAACCCACTCCAGTATTCTTGTCTGGAAAATTCCATGGACAGAGGAGCCTTGTTGGGCTGTAGTCCTTGGGGTTGCATAAAGTCAGACACGACTAAAAACACACACACACGCGGCCATTTAATAAACCTCCAGCAGCAATGTCTTTCACTCAGCTGTTTAGAGGGAGAGGCTGAAACTTGGAAACCACTAGATAGAATGTGATGGGTCAATTTGACTTTCAGAATCCAAAGGGGTGTTTCTGAGCTGAGGTGGTGAAAGGCCTCTGCCTTGGCCTGGGACACTAACTGGAAATATTTTTGTAGAACACTCCAGAGTCTTCAAGCTAGATTTCCATTTTACTTGACTTTTGTTAAAAAGCAAAAATTCCTTTTTGTTGTTGTCATAAATTGATTTGACTTGATTTCTAGAACTTTGCTTTTATTCTTTATTTCTTAAAATAATTGCTCATCCAAAGGGAAAAATAATATGGCATAAGGGAAGTCTCATAGAAATCTAAAGGAATCCTCTAAATTTCATGCAAGTATTATGAAACAGACTTCCTTATTCTCAGGCCATTCTGTTCAATAAAATATCCTGCAAATACCACACTGTCTTATTTATAACTTTAGAAATGTCCACCTACCCTGGATTTAGTAGTTACAGTTGTGTGGCTTTTGATGAAATTCAAAGAAAGTCATGAGCTTTTAAATACAAATATTCTTTATACATTAGGAATAAATCCAAGAAACAATGGCTTTATAGTTGGGTATTAATATTAATGATGTAAGAAAATTGCAAGCAGATTCCTCTGAAGAATCCTTGACATCAGTATTATTTAAAGCTATTCTTTGTAAACCTTTGCTCAATTACTCAGGCTCAATCACCATTACCTTCTCCAAATGACCTTCATGAACCCCATTTGGGCATGTTTTGATTTATCTCTCCCTCCTTATCCCTCTCAGATCAACTTTATGTGCTCACTGTAGCATCTCTCTTGAGATTTGTGATTTATGATCTCTTCATCAAATTACTCTTCTCTTTCCTCCCCTCCCCAACCACATGCATTCCCTACAGGAACGTCAAGGGGCAAGGGGAAGGCAAAGGGGTTTGGAGCTTTCATGGGGATTTCTTTATCTTACTAGTGTCTCCCCATCTCCATTATTCACCTGGAACACTTTACTCATCCGTGTTCTGAACCCAAACACACACATATATATACATCTGCCTATCTGTTCTCTCGTCATAGCACTTCCTCTCATGTACTTTTAAGTAATTTGACGCTTATCCTGTTCCATCACAGGCAAAGGTACTTCTGGTTGGGATGGGACTCTTTGTCTAAAGTAGACCGTGGATTTTCTTGTTAAATCTCAGTACATAACCAGGGCAGAGCTGCAAAGGACACTCCTAGAGAGTTCTCAGATGCCAACTCTTAGCTCTTCTTAAACTTCTTCTTACTCTTAGAAAATTTAAGAGCCCAGACAAACTTTCTCACATTATCAGAATTCTCCTCTTCACATTACACACGTGTGGCTCTCTTAGTAGCCATCAGACCTTGATTGTTGTTTGAGAATCAGAAGAATCAGATGCTGATTGTTTTGGAATGGTGTGGGAAAATAGGGTGACCTGGTAGGATTGCTAACTGAAAAATGTCAATGAACATATGCTGTCTATGTACACCACTCTACAAAGTACCAAAAATGGCTGTTTTTTGCATTTTTTTCAGAACCACTTGTTCAGTAGCAATCATGGCCCTCTCTCAGTTAAAGTGATTGGCCCAAGAACATATCTGAGACTTCAGATGTTAACCAGGTGTGGCTCTTTGTAACACATTTATTTTTTCACTTAGATGCAATTTAACTGAATATCCTAGATAGAGATGATGGCTAGTTTAGTGAGATGGTGGAGAGGGATGGGGGTTGAGGAAGAACTTTACTGGAAGATTATCCAAAGACCTAAAATTTCATCAATTCAAAATTAATTCTTTTGAGTGAAAGATTGTCCTCTGAGGATACCAATTTCCCCAGGAAACCATACCACTTTTTCCTTCGATCAGTCACTGGATCAATAGTTTGAGGCAACTTGGTGTTAGTGTTCCAGCAGGTTTCACGCAGGAATGGGAAAATCACAGCACAGCACGGCTAACTCACCTGACCAGCGCCTGGCCAATTGCCCATACCTTCTGGGACTAGAGGTGGTCTCACATGCTCCTCAATCCAGTGGCTTGTGGGATCTTAGTCCTCTGACCACAGATCGAACCCAACCCCTCGGCAGTGAAAACTCTGAGTTCTAACCACTGCACCGCCAGAGAATTCCCAACAGCTTCGTTCTGACTGAAGTTGGTATTTGAACTGGAATCCATTTGGAGGCAAGACAAACACAGATGGAGAAGGGGTGGGGATTCTGCTTGAGGAAGACAAGACTGGGTGGAGGGCTGGAGCAGGGGCTGGGGAGAGGCGACATTAGGTCACTGGGTGGTGGGGAGGCACGAAGATACAGAGGAGCTGGGAGCAGAGAGGAGTTGGGTAGCTTCCAAATGAAAAGATCATCTTGTTAATAATGCTTCCTGAGTTTGCTCCACAGATGTATGTATCCAGTGCCAAATACTTCAGTGGCAAAACCCTGCTAAGGCTGAGAACTGAAAAGAAACCAAAAGCAGTCAATGCTGATTACTTAAAAAAAATGTACACCTCCTTATACAAGAGATTCACGGACACTTGTTCTGACAGTGACTTCTAGCTCCAAATCCATCCTCCCACCGTCTACTTGTCCCCCCTTGGCTCCCCTGTCCCTGCCCTAGCATTTTCTCTGGAACAGCTCCATTCCAACACAACTTTGAGAAATGACTCCAAAACTCTGAAGTTCAGGGCAATAAATTGATTTGCCAAGATTGCAGAGAAGATCAAGACATAATCTTCCTTCAAGCCGGCCCTGACATGGTTGGAAAGAACACACAGACATGTGAAATGATAACTGACAACATAATCAAGGGGAGAAAAATGGATGACATGGGTGTATGTGTTAAGGCAGGACAGGGAATTAGAAGTTCACGTGAGCAAAGCGTCTGGAAAAACTCTTGACTTGATCTGTTCCCCCAAGAAACAGACTCTGATGTGGAGATTTATATGCAGGAAATGTGCTGGGAGTCCATGTCTCCTCAGAATCCTTTTCAAAGGATTTGTGGAGAGAAGGAGATGAACTGTGATGTAGTCTCAGGTTGCTCTCAAGTCAGAGCTGGGGTGCCTGGATGGCCATTCAGAGTCATCTTGAATTGGGACAATGAGGCCAGGCCTTTGCCCTTCCTGCCATCAACCAGTTGTTGAGTGTGAGTTTCCTAGAGAGCCGGCTGCTGGAGGAACAGGAGTCTCAGCCCTGAAAGGTGGCTCTGGGTGTCCTATCACAGTGGCCACCACAGGTGTGAATTCAGCTGAGTCCTGATGCATACGGGCTGGGTTCATGTGGTGGGGGCTTCCCTGGGGGCTGAGATGATAAAGAATCTGCCTGCAATGTGGGAGGCCCGGGTACAATCCCTGGGTCATGAAGATCCTCTGTATTGGCAGGCAGATTTTTAACCACTGGACCATCAGCAAAGCCCTTGCTTTGGTTTTAAGTGAGTAGAACATTGTGGGTCTAGTGCAGGGTGTATGTGTAGTCAAGCAAGCAGGACTTGAACTGGTTGACATCTCAATGGCTAAAGAGTGGTCAAGTCTAGCTTCAGAAAAGGCACAAGGACTTCCCTGGTGGCACAGTGGATAAGAATCTGCCTGCCAATGCAGGGGACACAGGTTCAATCCCTGGGCTGGGAAGATTCCCTATGCTGTGGAGTAAGTAAGCTGGTGAGCTACTGAGCCCATGTGCTACAACCACTGAAGCCTGCTCCCCTAGAGCCTGTGCTCCACAACCAGAGAAGCCACTGCAATGAGAAGCCTGTGGACTGTATCAGAGTAGCCCCTGCTTCTTCCTGCAACTAGAGAAAGCCTGTGCAAAGCAACAAACACCCAGTGCCACCAAAAAAAAAAAAAAAAAAAAGGTACGCAAGTGCAATCCCACCACAGATTTATAGAATGGAATATTTGTGCAGAGTCCTAAAAATTAACCCTTAAGATTCTGACTCAATATATCTTCTTCAAATCAGTCCAGTTATCTCTTGGGATTGGAAAACCCTGGTCTGTCTAGTTGATCTTCGAATCTTTGTCCAGTTGAGGTTCAAGTCCTTGTCCTGACTTCTTGCTAAGGCATCATAAATCATAAGTAGGATTGCATTCAGCAGCTGCCCAGTCCCATGAACCACTTTTAGTGGCAACTCTCCCACTCTTCAAGAGGGAACCAAATGCAAAGTAATTGTATTTTTTTATTTCTATGAACAACAAAAGGCTTCCATAATTTCACATCTCATTGCTTTTAAGAGCACATATATTACAAAGAAAGAAACTCCACAAACTTTAAAGATTAGTATTTATCAACACTTTTGTACACATACACAAATATTTTAATACAACAGTATCTGAAATGTTACTCATATAATTTTAGCACTGTCATAAGTAATACCTAAAAAGGCTCTTTTAAATTTGGTAAAAACCATATATTTTACAATCTTCTATTTACATCTGAAATACGCTTAAATGTTACAAAAACATTCACTTTGACCTTTAAAATATGTGTGCGAGGACTGGGTATTGAACATAATGTGACCGACAGCAGACTTACAGTCAGCTTTTGAATTACACATTCATTGGAATTTCATAGCAAATATTCAGCTTGCTTGATCAACGTCACTCAAAGGAAAAAAAAAATTGTAATAAATGTGCAAATCTGGAGGCTGGCAAAATTCTCAAGCTAGCGAGGTAAAAAACAATATGAACACCACCATAAAAACTTCAAATAAATTAAATGTTATCCTTCTCTTCCCCGAGATTAGTTGCAAATTCAGAGTTCCCTTGAAGGAGGAGTGTCCGATGCTGTGGACTTCTCAAACTTCTCCACTGGGTGAGACAGAGACCGCGGGCAGAGAGGGAGCCACCTTGTTAATTACTCGAGTGCAAGTTCGCTCCACTCCTCGCTTTGATGGGTCGTCCCGGTAGGTAATCTTGAGACAGGACAAAACACAACGCGACAAAACAAAACAATAATAGAGAGGTCTGTGTTAATAACTTCAAATACAAAAGCAAAGCCCAGAACACTGATTTTTTTAAAAAAATCCCCCCACAAGGAATCAGCAAATTTTGAAAATGCCCTTATCAAACTTCTTTGAGATTTTAAAAAAATTAATTTATTTTAATTGGAGGCTAATTACTTTATAACATTGTAGTGGTTGGTTTTTGCCATACACTGACATGGATCAGCCATGGGTGTACATGTGTCCCACATCCTGAACCCCCCTCCCACCTCCCTCCCCATCCCATCCCTCAAGGTTGTCCCAGAGCACGGGCTCTGAGTGCCCTGTTACATGCATCGAACTTGGACTGGTCATCTATTTCACAAATGGCAATATACATGTTTCAATGCTATTCTCTCAAATCATCCCACCCTCTCCTTTTCCCAGAGTCCAAAAGTCTGTTCTTTATATCTGGGTCTCTTCTGCTGTCTCGCATATAGGGTCATTGTTACCATCTTTCTAAATTCCGTATATATGCGCTAATATACTGTATTGGTGTTTTTCTTTCTTACTTATTTCACTCTGTATAATCTGAAGAGCTTTTTTCCCCCCAGCCTACATCTCAGCCATGCTGACCAGCTTTAAAGTAGCTTCCTGATTCTCTTCAACTATCAGATACGTTTTTAAATGTGAATGAATCTTATGGATGTGTTTGAGTAACTCTGGAAATTTATTTTATTTGCAAAGGTCATAATAAGTATTGTCAAAATCTGCCCCTAAAGAAAACATCTGAAGCCTCATTTAAACGTTTGAATTAATGGAAATAGGAGGAAAAAAAAATATAGCTTGACCTGATTTTACTTTTGAAAATAATGTTAATATGCCCTAACTGTACTTCCCTGTCAGATCTGTTCAACTAATGATATGCGAACACAATAACAATACCAGATACCGCAGGCACCTCTAAAACCTTGGTGCAGAAGAGGCTTAATGAATATTTAAAATTCCTGGTTTTCTCAGTAACTTTACACATTACCAGGCTTTGGCTCTACTGCTTTTCCGGGAGAGAATGGCTTCTCTGTCCCCACAGCATCCATGTACCTTATACTACCAATAAGTTCTCCTTATGATCAGTGTCACAAGTTCTGTTTAAATACATTGGCAAGCAATGTATCTGAAACTCAAAAAGCAACATGCCTTTGGATCTTGCCTGCTTGGCTCCTTAACAGAATAGATGCGTTCCCTCCCCTGTTTCTTTTTTTTTTTTTTTAATATTTGCTATCCATTACCAGCGTTGACTTCACTATGCTGTCATCCTTTTAAACGTTGAAACAGACAGCAAATCAGCATCTTATGTTTCATCCAATAGTTATATGTATTACTTTGGCCTCCATCAAAGGAGGCTTTTATGGTTTTTGGCCATTTATAAAATAGCTTGGCATCGCGGCTGTCTGAAAAGGTAATTACTGCCTGCTTGTCACTTTAGCAGCTCCATGTCCACATCTCCATTTTTACACATGAGCGTCTATTTCATCCTGCTCCATCCCACTCCTTATACTGAAGGTTCTTTCATTAAGCAGTGGCTTTAGTATTTGCCTTTTACCTTAGACTTTTCTGGACACTCTTGGAATAAACTGCATAAACAATTTGATTTCTGTTTTTCTATGTCTTGTCTATTCATTCTAACTCTGTTTCTATTGTTAACAAGTTTAACGGCAAAATTCCTCTCTTCACTGTAATTATACATGTATTTGTTTCCAGAATACATGGATGAGTATCGAGGTATGTAAAGGTATTCATGCATTATAGGATTATGCTAAAATTTGACTACCCTTCACTCTACTAGAGTGCCAACACAAACATTAGGGTCAAATGCCTTTTTAGCAAAAATATTGAGGAAAGAAGCAAACATTTTTTGTTGTAAATCTGGATTGAGATTTACACCCACTTTTTAAAACTACTTTGGACTTTAAGGACCCCATCTTTTGCTATTTCTGACATTACAACCAACTCAAGACACTAATCAATATTTGTCATAAAGATAGCTCATTTTGCTTCAGAAGACATAGTTTTGCTACGGTTAACTTAAACTTATGGTTGATAATTATCTATTAAATAGTGCCTCTTCTAGAATCTCCTCTTCAGAGTTAGAAATGAGTATTTTTTCCTCATTTTAATCTAAGATGGAAACGTGGAATGGCCATATAATACAGCAAGACATTTTTAAGGAAAACTTTTTCTTTTTTGAGGATATCACGAACACTGTAATCATTGTCCATATATAAAACCTATGTGACAAATCGCTATAGAGGCTCAGGAACAAGAGAAAGTTTATCTTTCCTGCCAACAGATCTATTTCTTTTGCTAAATAACAAGACCTGTGTAATCCATTAGTTTCTTTACGTCAGTTTCTAGGAAGCCTAGAGTCAAATTCTGCTTCTCTTAGCAAAAGTTTTCTAGAAAAAAAAGTTATTTGCCTTCCTCTAAATCACCTGGTTGCTGTCTCTGTACTGTGTTTTTTTTTTTTTTTTAGATATAATGAATCTTCATTTTGGATACAAATGAGTTCAAATATATTTTAGAAGTTGATAGGATATATATTTTTCTTTTAAATGCTAAGTTGTTAATTAGCTTTTTGATTTTAATAGGCTTTTTATTTTAATGTTGACCTACCTTGAAATGGAAATAAAGTTGATTTAATTAAATAAGCATTTAGAGAACACTTGTGACTATGGAGGTGTCTGGGGAAAATGAACAGGTAGACCAGAAGGTCACAAAGGACAGAGTAGACATAAGGAAAGAAACACATACCACTTTTGCTTACAGTACTGAGGGAAATACTAGACACAGAGGAACAGAAGCTGTATAAACATGGACCGCGACAGAGCTGCCAGGAAAAAAAGAGAAAAGCATTTTTGCCCAAAGTTTCAAGGTCAGATGCAATTTACAGTTGGAAACAAGCATTTCTTTGTCATCTTTTCCAATGTACAGATCCATTCCTTGTTCTTTTTGTTTCACTCTCAGATTTACGATTTCCCCATCTGTTAAGGCATCACTCCTGAGTATTTAATTCCCATCACCCCTTAACAATTCCAAACCAACACTTTCTCCACTAGAAATCCTATCCAGGGAGATTATTTTTCTTTGCAACATAAGTCAAATAAGCATTTCTTTCTCTAGCTGCTATAGAGAACTTAAAATGTGGGTAGAAGGAGATGGAAAAGAGAAAAAAAAAAAGGGAAATTTAATTAGAATAAAAGAAGGGTGTGACACATTTCATGTTTTGTGACAGTGTTATTTATTAATAACACTAAACACTACTTTCCATTTCAGGAAAGGAGAAGGAATTAATACCTAATGAATGGTACCATGCACGAGGCACTACTGGGAGGTCAGCTCAAGTTCTCCCCCTCAGTTATTCTGTAGAGAACACATCTAACTCCTGGAAGGGACCATGGGTGAAGAGACGTTCAGGTGGGGTGTGAGGGCTGATGGATGCTGGAAGTAGGCCCAAATGAACTGAGCTTGGTTTTGATCACTTGATTCTCAATACCCCCAAAAGCGGTGATTATTGAAAGCCCACATTTTGTGCAGTCTTACGGAACATACTGAAATCATGAATGACTTGCTTGTGGGATGGAGGGCTACGTTTATCCCAATCTGCATGTCTTCCAGAGGCTCAGCCCCTGTAGAGGCAACCTTGACCAAGAAAGTCCAGGATACTAAGTTCCCGTCTTCTTCCTGAGAATGGTGCAGAGACCCCTAGGGGCAGCACTGTGGAACTGCACATCCCAGCCTGGGGATTGTGAGGTCCTGAATCAGGGGCATCGGGCGTGGTAATAAACTCTAGCAGGAACGGCACTCAGCGCTCGTGGTGTCTAATGAGGCGTCATCTGCGCTATAAAACCAACACACATCTGGTTTGGATAAATGTCTCTGAAAACTGGAAAGCATCTGGGTTCTCATCTTTTTCTACAGATTTTTCTCCAACCTGATCTTTCTCCTTTGAGTCAAGAGGTGATGCATGTCGGGGAGAGAATGGCTCAGCAACAAGGTGTCTGTGAAAGTGCAGGGATTTCAGTAGCAGGAAAAGAAGGAGACTCTTTCCAGTCTTTGTGTCATGGGGGACAAAATGGGCACTTCCTATGCACGGATGGGGAAGGCCTCACCTGCTCATTCATGATTGCCGAGAGCTCGCTGAGCATGTCCTTGTAATGGGACCTCAGTTCCTCCTGGTACTCCAGCTGGTCCTCCTTGATGAGGCGCTCATTCACATCCAGGGCCTGGCCACATGCATCTGCAAATTGCCTTTAGTGACGGCAATAAGCAAATTAACAAGCAACCCTAGAAAGTGGCTTCCCCGGTGGCTCAACTGGTAAAGAATCTGCCTGCAATGTGGGAGACCTGGGTTTGATCCCTGGCTTGGGAAGATCCCCTGGGGAAGGGAAAGACTACCCACTCCAGTACTCTGGCCTGGAGAGTTCCATGGAGTGTATAGTCCGTGAAGTCACAAAGAGTTCCACTGAGCAAATTCACTTTCTTTCATTTTCAGAAAGTGGCAGTTTAGAGACTTCCCTGGTGATCCATGGGTTAAGGATTTGTCTTGCAATGCAGAGGAGGTGGGTTTGATCCTTGGTCAGGCAAACTAAGATTCCACATATATGTGGGGCAAGTAAGCCCACACGCCACAACTAGAGAGCTTGTGCACCCCAAGGAAAGATCCTGCATATGCAACGAGGATCCTCGACTAAAACCTGATGTGGCCATATACATAAATATTAAAAGAAAACAAAATAAGAAAGTGGCAACTTGAAGTCAGGCTGCTGATAAACTAGGCTATGGAGATGAAGGTTGAAGAGGAATGGTCAGGTGGCTCCCTGGAGGCATTCATTCATGATGCCCTGTCTGAAGGAATTCAAGGAAGAACCACTCAACAGAGAAAGTCTCACCTGAAGATTTCCTTCAAAAGCTTTACTTGGTTGTCAGGGTATTTCTTTGCATTGGTTTCTTCAAGAAAAGCCCGTGCATAGGCCATTGGTCCTGCATTAACCTATTGGGGAGAAGAGAATTGGCTAAGAATGGTAATACCTCCTCCATGGAGTCCTCTCCATGGCTAGAAAGAGGAGCCTCCATCGTGTGGCCCCCCTAATTCTCTCACATCCCCTTGTATCTGTCTTATTTGCTGTCTCTAGACCAGTCAGTGAGCTACTAAAGGACGCATCTGAACTCCACACTTCATTAGCATCCTTCCTAAACTTCAGTCATGTGGCCACCATGTCATATTTTTGCTGTATCTGCAAATTCTGCAAGCACTGTTATTTTCTTAATAGCTCTGAAAACTAGACTTATCTTTATCTACTTATATAAATGTAACATCTGTGAAGTCAAATGTTTGCTAGGCTAGTCACTTTTCCCCCTATAAACATTCAAGCAAACACACAGCTACTAATAAGAGACTTTCCACAGTGGTCGTGATCTTGGCATCGCGCTGGGAACCACTGTTTCATTGTGTCTCGCTGGACAGTCTGGCAGATTCTGGTCCAGGAAGGGACTTTCTAGATTTGCTGAATGAAGGCACAACACCAGGCCCTGATCATGCTCACAAGCATGCATAGGCTCTCATTAGTGAAGGGGTTTGCGTTCTTTAGAGCTTATGATCTTTGCCTATGACTGTGGGGCTGGGAAGGAATGAGGTGAAAGGAGGAGGAAGCCAAGGCTGTATTTGAGGCATCTTCAGATGGCTTTGCTCACCAGCCACTGCCAGTGTGGTAGAGAGGGCAAACGGTACAGAGGACTTTCCTTAGTTTTTCTGGATCCCTCTCAACCTTCCTCTGCTCAGCCATGTGCTGAGGGAAGCTGTCCCATCTGGAGTGTAACAACGGCTCTTTTGTCTCCTGGCTTGAAAGAAATTATTATCATTGAGTCAGCCATGGGGATACAGACAAGAGGTGGGCAGGGAAGAGGAGAGCCAGGTCAGCATCAAGATCAGTGGTACTGAGTTTTCCTTCTGCCTCAGCCTCCGGCATGGCACTGGCCTGCCTTTATTGAAAATTTTAATACTTTGTTCAATATGGTTTTGTGAAGTTACTTTTGATTTTTAGAAATGGAGCATTAAAGTATTATTTTATTTTGATTACGGAATTTTCTGATGCTCCCCTAATTTTGTGCCCAAGGGAAATGCCGCGCTCACCGCACCCTAGTCTCAGCCCTGTCAGAGTATTTAGGCCCATGGCTTCCTCCTTGCAATTCCCTAGCAGAAACTGTGTCTGTCTATCATGAGTTGGCTCTCCGCTCTGTCTCTTCTTCCACTAACTCTTCTCTCCCCGAAGTCTTCAGGTTTGGGGAGGGTGATAGTCCCTCAGTCTTATGCCCCAGTGCCTATCCTCTTTGGTTTCCCTAAATACTGCTTATACATTCTCAAAGAGTCTATTTAATTATATTTTCTTCAGTTCCTCACTGTGAACAAGCCATCTGCTTCCTCTCAGGACCTTGACAGATAAATACTGATGCACATTTATGAATGAATAAACATTTAAATGTTTTTGTTTTTGAACAATTTTATAAGCCTGTTCATGACAGATTTTAAAAAGCCATGCTAATTCACTCATTAATTCATTTGTTAGAATTTCGAATACAGAACACAGTTTATCCAGAGAAGATGGGAAAGGAGAGTTGAAAAAAAAGAAGTTTTATTTTAGCTAAAACCTAAGAAAGATTTTATCTCTAGGTGTTTGGCACCACTGATGAATGTCCACAAGGAAACAACATTTTAAAGATTCAGATAAAAGTGTTGGGTGGTATCAAAAACAGAAAAATGTCTCTTATACTCTTTGTCAAAGAATTCCAAGGGGCATCACTTTGGTACCAGGTTCCACTGACCATGTGCATCTCAGCTCCGGGTGATGCTCACCTTGACACTGACACTGCCTTGGAGTTTGAGCTGCAGTCTGATCATGTCCACCTCTTCCATCGTGCAAAGCTGATTAAGCTCAGAAACTTTCTTGGACATCTCGTCAATCGCCACTTCAATGGGATTCAGTTCTGTGCTCGACTGGCTGATGACCTGTATCCTCTTCTTCACGTAGGGGAACAAGTGACTTGCTGCACAAAAGCAATATGAGAGCATTTCAAGGTCAAGGGCTAGTGAAAAGTCACGGGTTCCCCTGAAGGTCAGGATGACCCTGAGTCTTTGCACTCAGAGCATTCTATCCTGCACGTTTTCTGTGTATGTGAGCTATTTTTCTCGTATGTGCTGAGCTCTCACACCCCTTTTACTTTTCTCCCAGCTACTTTTGCCTGGCAAAAGTTCTTCCCCACTTCACTAGCAACATCTCCTCATTGCCAAGGCTGGACTAGACCTTCAGAGTCTCTAAACACAGAAAAGATGATAGTTTCCACCACAGTTTGTAGTTCAAATAAAAACTACATTGAACCACAATAAAGAATGCTTAAATATACTGAACAGCACATACTATGGGGCTTCCACAGTGGCTCAGGGATAAAGAATCTGCCTGCAATGCAGGAGATGCAGGTTGAGTCCCTGGATTGGGAAGATCCCCTGGAGAAGGAAATGGCAACCCACTCCAGTATTCTTGCCTGGGAAATCCCATGGACAGAGGAGCCTTGAGGGGTCACAAAAGAGTTGGACATGACTTAGCAACTAAAGAACAACAAGCATATACTATAATAACTTTGTTCTAGTTTCTTTTTTTATTACAAAAGTTCTGGTAAAGTTTACTGAAGGTGACTGTTTTCTCATAGTTTGGATGTGGCTGCTAGCCACGTACCTACTGCAAAACCCAGGATTGCTCACCTCTGAAGATGCCTTGGGTCCCATTCATTCAGATGCCTGTGTTCATTCCCCACGACCCGAGTCTGCCTTAAGTTCCCCTCTGGGGTGTTCCCACTTCATTTCTCATGCTGGGCTCACCCAAAATTCTTGCTTTACTTGGCTCTTTTTCCTATCAGACAGTGAGGGCCTTGAAGGCAAGAATTGTGTTTTATCTATTTGAATTCTCAGAACACTGTTCAACACCCATAGGCATTTATTGAATGTCTGTGGAAAGGATGACCAGCTCACAGAATAGATCTAGATAGTATGGAAGGGATGGTGGAGGAAAACCCTCTGCATCTGTTTCACAGATGAGAAACCTGAATTCCAGAGTGGTTTAGAATCTTGCCCCAAAGCACACAATTCTGAGAGGAGTTGACTCTGCAATAACTGAGGGTAGGTTCAGGGAGAGAGGAGAAGAATGCTTAGAGTGCCTTCCCCAAGACACCATGACCGTCACCACTGGAAGATCTAAAGGGAAGTGGTGGATAAAGTGACTTTAACTCTATGACAGTGTCTGTTTTGGCTGACTTGTCAAGGGTCTCTTGTTTCCAAAGAGAAGGGATAAGAGGAAGTCTGGGCTTCCATTTCTAAGTTAGCACAGGTTGGGTCCTTGTTTGCAAGATTGAGGGGCTTCCCAGGCGGCACTAGAAGTAAAGAATCTGTCTGCCAATGCAGGACAGGTAAGAGATCTGGGTTCGATCCCTGGATTGGGAAGAACCCCTGGAGGAGGGCATGGCAACCCACTCCAGTACTCTTGTCTGGAGAATCCCAGGGACAAAGGAGCCTGGCGGGCTACAGTCCATAGGGTTGCACAGAGTTGGACTCGACTGAAGCGACTTAGCACGAATGCAGGCACGCTCCAAGACTGAAGTGTCTTGATTTCCGAGTCCAGCCTAACCCAAGACCCTGCAGGGGGACACGCACTTGGGGACCGGCACCTACTTGTCAGGACGGTTCTCCGCTTGCACTGCTCCTCCACGCCACCATGCTTCTTGCCCGACAACGTGAAGGGCGTCTCGAAGACGAAGCGGTTGATATTGTGGTGCATCTCGAAGTCCGTCTTCCGGTCTTCTATTTCCTTTTCTTCGAAGAATGGCGTGACATAAGTCACTTGGATGTAGGCGTATTTGGGGTCCAAATCCTTGGGGTTCACCTGTTTTAACACATAGTGGGTAGAGAAAGAGCGGTGGGCCTGGGGTACTCCTGGAAGAAAGGCGGGGAGTCCAGAACCCCTGCAGCTTGGCGTCCTGAGCCGTCCCTTTTCCCTTGGGTGAAAATGGCCAGTGACATCATCTGAGGGCTGGGTGAATGGAAACTGCAGAAAGAGTAATTGGCTGGACTGTGGTCAAGCAGCCAGATGGTGACAGAGAGCAAATCGGAGCCAGCATGCTAAGTCCCTGGGGCTCTGAAATAAAAGTACTTGGCTATGACATATTATTTAATCTTTTATTTTCTTTCTTTTCTGTATTTAACATCTTCATTTTCGCCTTGAATCAAGAGTGTTAAGAGTGGAAATACATCTCTTTTTCCCTCTGCAATTAGCCATGTACCTAGACTGGAGTCATGAGCTACAGGCTTGTAATGTGTTAGGAGGTTCCTTATTGGTTTAGAAGATGAACTGATAACCTGTCATGGGATTGCAAACATTTCTCAATTTCTCATCTTCTCTAATCTGCAACAAGTTATTCTATATAACTTTTTAAATTAACTCTGCCTTGGTGAGTAGACTTGACAAATAGCATGGAAAGAGGCGAAAGGTCCTCCCTGCTACCTGCCTCTTTTCTAATGATTTCTTGAAGAGTTTTTAAACTTCTTCCAACTTTCTCCATCCGTTCACCCATCCACTGCTTATCTAATTCAAGAGATTTGAGGAGGCTGGTGAATTAACTTGTAATGCTACTGTAGGATGGATATAATTATAACCATTTTTACAGATTAAAAGAGGGAGACTCAGAGTGACCATCCAACCTCTCCAGGATGGACCACCAGCTGCTAAGGGGTAGCCCGGCGGAATGAAGACTCCAGCAGTTCTGACACCAAATTTGGCATTTCTCTCACCACTAGGAGCTGCCTCTCCTTTCCATGTAGGAGGGCCACCACGACAGTGGTAAGAGCTCTGTCCCTCTCTATGGGGAAGGAGTCTGCACCTTTCAAGTTAAGAATGATGAACACGTTTTTAACAACTTCCGCTCAGATCCAGCAATCTAATTTTATATCCAGACCCTTCTAAATACCAGCTTTGTAAAAGAGGGAAAGGATAAAGGACCTTTTTTGCAGCCCAACAGAGGCCAATACAATAGAGTGCAAACCATCTTCTCTAGCTCTATCTTCTGTCACACTTTCCTATCCAATCTGTGCTTCAAAGACCTCCCATTCCTCAAACACACTTTCCCCTAAATTCCCCCCATCATTGCATGTGCTGGCTTCTCAGATGCCCTTTGCTTCCAGCGAATACCTTCTCACCTCTCACCTGACAATCCACAGCTCAAACATCACGCCCTCTGTGAAGCATCGCCTAACTGAGAATGAGCTGATCAGGGAGCCACCGGCCCTGAGCGTTCCCTGTTTGACTTGGAGGTGTAGATGCTGCCTCCTGTGGTACTCCACTGCACTCTATTTACTAGCTCTTTGCACACATCCTCCCCTTCCTAGCCCCGTGTGAGCTGTGGGCTCTGGAAGGAAGAGACTGTTTGCCCCAGCTCCTAGTTCTGGGCCTGGAATGCAGTAGGTATTCAATTAAGGTTGGCTAAATGAATAAAAGTGTATTAGAAAGATTCTGAGTAATCTCATTAGAGGATGTAAGTGTTTGCTTTCTGGAGCCAGGAGGAAGTTAGTTGGATATTTGTAGCTTAGTACAATGGGATTGGCAAGTCTGGTACTGTCACAAGAGGGTAGATTTCAAAATTCTTATGACCCAGGAAGACCTCTATGACTGAATAAATAATTTTTTGCTATTTTCTCCCAGTCCATCATGGGGCCCAATCACTTTAACCCTTTGGTTGCTATTCAAATGCAAACAAACCATGGGAGGGATGGAGGAGCTGGTAAGTTGTTTTAAAGATTACCTAAAAGTTACTCAAATAAACACGTACAAAGTTTTGGACTTTCTCCCTCCGATCACCAATCAGTCAACCAATAAACAGACAACCAAAACAGCTTAAGTGGTTTACTTTGCATAGTCAGGCAAAAATTTAAAACTTTAATAAATGTAGTGAAAAGAAAAGGAAATCAGTTCTTTGCACCTGCGCGAATAGTCTCCTACCTTATTGGAGTCCTGGATTATCTTCACATTGTCTGCTCCGAATTTATCTGCATAGAGCTTGAGCAGTCTTTGAGAAATCTCAGAGAGACCTGTCAGCTTAGGCTCTTTATAAATATACTCTTTGCCTTCTTCTTCTTCAAAAAATCCCTACAGAAGACATATAGTGAACCACCAATTTTACTAGAGAACTCCAACTGCAAGTCATGAGCTAAACAAAAACCATTTACTTAGATAATACAGCCAGTCTTTCGGTTGTCATCCAGGCCACAGGTTAGCTCCCAATAAAATTCACAATCAGAGAAAAACCAAGTGAAGAAAGCAAAATATCATGTTAGAATCAGTCACTAATGCAAATATTCCCCACTCAGACCAAAGAACCTCCAGGGGTATCTTCCACATATTTTTCTCTATTAGTAGAAATCACTGGTAATCCCTGCTTGCATATATTTTAGGGGAAGAATGCCCTCCTGTGGTAGTTTGGTGTAGGACACAAAGTCTGGAGTACTCTTGGTATTTTTTTTCAAAGAGCGGTATCATTTTTAATCAACTCTTCTGCAAGTCTTGGAAACTAGTATAGGAAACACTATGGGGGCACATGAAGGGATCTAAATGGGTTGATCTGCATCCCACACCCTCTGAGATGAAACGCCATAACAGCAATTACTTGTGTGATGCTCCCAAGCACTGTTTAAAAATTATTTTACATTAATATTTCCTGAGGGGCCCGATGCAACTCGCCTGTATGCGATTTCGTCATTCAACTCACTTTACTGATAGACTGCTTACATTCATGCAAAGCTAGACCTCATAAGACTGAAAGTAGTAGATTAAGCATGTCATCATTTTCAGGTCATAGGAGCAAGTAGGTTTTAAGCTCTGTTAATTTATTTATCTGGTTTGGGGAAGGGAAGATTCCATTGAGGATAACGGAGGCAATCTTTAGAGTTCTTTCTCATTGAAGAGACACAGAGGCATTTTTTTCTGTGGAATACATGTGGCCTCAGACTACTGGAGAAAGTCTGCAGTTGAGAACCCGAATGCATCTGGAATCTTCTGACTGCAGAGTTTACCCTAAGGAAGTAACTTAAAAAAAAATAATTTTATTGGCAGTGTTGGGTCTTTGTGGCTGCACGGGCTTTTCTCGAGCTGCGCAGAGCTGGGGCTGCTGTCTAGCTGTGGTCACGGGCTTCTCACTGCGGTGGTTCTGTAGCTGCGGAGCCTGGGCTCTAGGGCGCGCGGGCTTCCGCAGTTGGGGAGGGGGGCTCAGTCGTTGCGGCTTCCCGGTGCTAGAGCCCAGGCTCAGTAATCGTGGCACATGGGTTCAGCTGCCCCGTGGCTGGTGGGATCTCCCCAGATCAGGGATTGAATGGTGTCTCCTGCACTGACAGGTGGATTTTTCACCCCTGAACCACTAGGGAAGCCCAGGAAATAAATAACTTTTAAGGGCTGAGTGAAGATACTAGAGGTCATAAAATATCTCAGCTATACTTTTTTTTTGGCTTGTTTTACATTTTTGACCATTACAAACATACTCATTATATAAAAAATTGGGGAAAATATTCCGATGCTGTTTTTGTTTTTTCACAGCTAATGTGAGGCGATCGAAGAATACTGATTACGACTCACATCGGTATGGTGTTTTATACTTGCAAAGCGCTTTCATTGGTGTTTGACCATCACGAAGAGTGTAGTTGGTATCATAAATGGGCTGTAACTGACGACAAGGAACAAGGCACATTCGCCAGCACGGTTCTTGTTAAGCAGGTAATCGCCTGTTTCCTTGCTGTTTCCCTAATCGACTCTGGGCTTTTTAAAGGCAGGAACATGTCTTGTTCCACATGGCATGTCCAATATTTAGCACAGTGCCTGGTCTTAAGAGAGACATCCCTGCACGTAAGTTGAATGAATAAGCAGATGAATGAGGCAGTTCTTAGAGAGAACACATTTTAAAAGCAGGTATTTGCACTTGTATTTGCTCCAAGTATAGTTGGAAAAGATTCCATTGCTTTTGGTACAGGTGTCTTTATTGAACAATTTCTCTGAGAAATGTTCAAGACCAATACAGCTGACTGTGAGTACCTTGACTCCAGACTGCTAAAACAGTGATGTGTGATGTTAAAAGCATGAAAAGCCTCTCCTTAGCATTCTTCTGGACTCTGCAGCGGTAGTGAGGTCTGACCCTATCCCACATGACTTCCAGCCTGCTAGGTTTTTTTCTGTTGATGCTTTATGGAGTTTTGTCTGATTCAAGGTCAGAAGTAAGTGGCTAAAATTGACAGACTGACATGAAAGAGAACTGACTTCTGAGGCCATCAACCAGAATCCCCACAGGGCAATAGCTCAGGCAACATTTACTACTTCCATTTCAATGAGAAAAATGTTTCCAAATTCCAGGAAAAGATTTTCTCATCAAGGTGTGAAAACTAGCACAGAGAAACATTTTCACTGTGAATTTTTCCCCTAACAAATTTCTGAGTCCAGAGTTAGCAGAAAAGGAGTGGTAAGAACAGTATTTTATTGTCATTACTATGACCTTTGTGGCCTTGGTCATGACCTGTGACTTTCTTTCATTCTTACTCCTTGGTCTGGAGGATGGGAAACAGTACAGACTTAGACTTAGGAGACCCTAAGGGCAGTGCCCAGGACACAATAGGCTACCGGTGATTGTTAGCTATGAAGAGGAGAATAACAGTGAGAACAGTAATAAAGGAAAACACTGTCAAAGCAATTTGAGTTCTGGCTAATATAAGGCAAGGCTTCCCTGGTGGTTCAGCGGCAAAGAATCCGCCTGCAATGCAGGAGATGCAGGAGATACAGGTTTGATCCCTGGGTCGGGAAGATCCCTGGAAGAGAAAATGGCAACCCAGTCCAGTATCCTTGCTGGGAAAATCTCATGGACAGAGGAGCCTGGTGGGTTACAGTCCATAGGGTTGCAGAGTCAGACAATACCGAGCACACACACATACACACAATATGGGGTAAACAGTTTAACTGAGTTTTGAGTGCTTAAAAATATATACTCAAGTTCTCTTGCTTGGGAATTACACTTTTCCTTATTGTAAATGGACTGTTGATGCTTATTTTGATATTTTGGTAAGTGATTGATCAGAAAGAATTATGATTAGAATTAATCAATGTATTTATAGAACATGGAGTTACAAACCTATTGAGACTATTTTATAAAATGAATAGAAAGGAGCTGGTATAGTAGAGTAAATGTTAATCTGCTGTCTGCCAGGGTTTGTAAGAGCTTATGGAGCCAGAGAAATGGTGGCTCTGAAAATGGCTAGGATGTGAGCTTGCCTTTTACCCAAGGAAACCATCAAAGCAAAGCCCAGTGAGGAACAGGGCACTATCTTAAGGAAGTTTAATGCTCCGTCCATGAAATAATTGACTTATAAATAGGGACACAAGGTGAGGAAAACCTAGGGGCAGTTCCTCTTTGGCTTTTGCTCCGAAGTGATGAGAAAAGTGCATTTCAAAGCATCAGGAAATGTGACCTCTGCATTTCCCTAGGTAGTCTGACTTTTTAAAGTGTCACTTTACACAGCAACAACCTCCTGATCTGCTGTGATTAACAATCAGCACGTGTCCTAGTTAAACTCGAACTTTGAGTCAGTAGAGTTAACATGCACAGATTATGAAACTTCAAGGCAACAAGGTTACGATAAAAATATACTTCAACAAATTGACAACAAAAATCACCGGCTCCTTCTTAGATGTTTTGGTAGGTATTTCAGAATCCTGCAATAGCTTTAGATCATTATTGGGACATCACACATAAGTGCTCCTGCTATTATATTCCACTGATTCAACACTCACAGAGGAATGCATCCAAAGAGGAATCAAGCATATAAAAGATGGGTCAGAAAATCATAATAGGCTGAATACTAAGAAAAGAAAAACTTCACAGATGCAGGGAAATGGTTCCACAGAAATATGAACTGAAATATGAACACATTATTAGTATACATGTTTCTCAGTGACTTTCATATAAGAGGGGAGCCAGGAGGGTATATCATACACTGACATGAAGGCGATGGTTGTGCACAACACAAATGCTCTTCCCTCTGACCCCCAATCCCCTTTTCTATCAAGATTTTAAAATGTTATCTACACCCATGTAGGCATGATTGAGAATCATGGGATCACAGAATCAATCCTTTGATGAATAGAATCAAATTCCCCCAAGCCTTTCACTCATTTCATCCCAGGGCCATCTGATGTTTTAAGTTACGCAATGAGCTTTCACATACTTGCTTTCATGCTAAATACCAGAGCCTAAGGATTTCATTGATTACAGTGCTTGTTTGATCACTACTGGCAATTCATTACTCTGAAAATGAATACTTCAGGGACACTTGGGGGGATATTTCATGTAGTCAGCTCTGTGTAAAATTTCCATAGTCAATGATGCTAGGTGTTGGATTACAAAAGTCATGCTATGCAAGACTTGTGTTTTTAAAGTTCTTGCCACAAAAGAACAGTTTCCAAATTTTTTTCCAGGGTCTGGCTCATTGCAGACATAACATTACTCTAGTCAACCCTGTAAAGAGAAAGCACTTGTCTACAGGGGACACTAAAATATTTACACAAAGGCCTTTGTGGAGGCAATGAACTGATCGCATATTGTATTCCCATAATCCTTGCAGCACGATCTTGAGACATCAGTTTGAATATTAAAAAGTGAATTTTACAGGGACATAAGGTACTATCATGAAAAGGAAATTATGTCTGACCATGGGGATTATGCTAGTGAAATAGTCAAGATTTTCTCTTAGATCTTTGGTCCTTTCATTCTGCACACGTTCGAGGAATGTGCCAATCTATTCGGTTATTTCTTTATCATCAAATATGAAGTGACGTGCACTGTCTGCTGCCATTGAATACTCTAGTCTACGTTCTCTGTTTGGTGTCTGGGGATGGGTATCTGAATATCATTTGAACAACGGTGACTGAGGAGTCATCAAAATAGCTGTTTATCACAATGACCTCCATTAGTTCTCCTTTGTTCAAAGGCAGCTGGGGTTTGAGTTTACAGAGTACCATGTTCAGGCATGTACTTGGGTCTGCAGATTTAACACTACACTTTGCTTTTTAAGCTCACTTTGACTTTCAAATCAAAAACAACTGAGAATACTAGCAGCACACAAAATAGTCAGGTGCACGGTCAGCACACTTTACTGAGAAATCTGCAAAAAGAACAAGGTTAGGACATTTGATAGTAGCTCTCTCCCATCCTTCCCCTTCCCCCCCAGTCTATTTAGTTAGAGGGGTTTTCAAGTATTCTTTTAGTAGGTGAGTTAAGGACCCATGACCCCAAATTTACAAATGAAGGTAGAAAATACTGATATGGTATGGATGGGGGAAGGGATTTAAAGAATTACAAAAAAGTATGTACTAGTCAGAGAAGCAGAGCTGTGGACAATGTGTGAATATTGAAAGAATTTGCCTTGCCAGCTGGGTTTCCCTGGTGCCCAGACAGTAAAGAATCTGTCTGCAACGCAGGAGACTCGGGTTCGATCCCTGGGTGGGGAAGATCCCCTGGAAAAGGGAGTGGCTACCCACTCTAGTATTCTAGCCTGGAGAATTTCATGGACAGTGGAGCCTGGTGGGCTACAGTCCATGGGGTCACAAAGAGTCAGACACCACTGAGCTATGAACACTTTCACTTCCAGTTCTTTTCAAAAATAATTATTTGAGCCACATGAAATTGCCATCTTTGTAAGTAAAAAATGGTTGAATATGGGAAAGTTCATATAGTTCAAAATAACAGGGAAAATCCTGTGTCACAAATCTCTAGGCATTGTCATGTTATTGCCTTTGGCGTGTCCTCCAATTTTTTTTACATAGATTCTTTTCGCATCTCAGGAGACTTAACCTGATTGACTGTAGTTTACTGTTTATCACTTGTACTGGGAGTTAATACCACCACTTTTAAGAATGTTCAGAGCTCACCACTAAAGAGAGTCCTATTTCTCCACAATACTCATTTTATTTGGAAAAGGCATAGTCCTTTCAGGACCCCAGAAGATACACACCAATGGCCATCACAACAGCTTTTGAAATTCTGCCCACTGCCTTCTTCTTAATCAGCTGCAACTCTGGTGGCCTGAACTGAGCAGTTAGTCTGCTATCCATATATTTCAAGCATGTGGTGCCCATGTTTCGCTGTGTGTGTATGTGTGTGTATATAGCTTTTCATACTATACTGACCTCTGTGCTGAAAGATATTAGATATGAAAAGCAAAGTATACATTTTTGTAATTCAGATAACTGGAATAAACACAATTTAGTTCCAGAAATGCAGGATGACTCCAAAATGAATGGAAGTGGGATTATCTTACCTTGGTACTGAACGTTCATTTGGCACAAAAAAGTTAAGGTTCAGTAAAACCATACGGAGGGAAGTGTGAGGCTTATTAGGGCATGCAAATGGAGAGAAGAGAGAACTTACCACAGCCTGGAACAATCAAGACCAAAGGAAGAAAGAAGTAAACATCTGCATTAAAATCTCATTGGAAAGGAGCATAATTGTTTCGTTTCCACCTGTCTAGTAACCAGCATCTTAGATGCCAGTTGGAGAAATCATCAGGTAGGCATTCTGGTCTCTGTGACCAGAGAATACTAATGACAGTTCATTACTTTTTCACTGGAGAGATCGCCTGAACAGGTGTTGACTCAAATCTAGGTTTGCTGAACTCACATCTTGTCTGTCACTTCTGTACTGCTTAGTTAGCTTGTGGCCATTCCTAGAAAACCCTTGTCTGTCTTCTACAATCCCTTAGCTCTCACATTCCCTTTCTGATGGGGTTTTCTGCCACTTTTCTTGCGAAGGTTTCACTGAGGTCAAGAGTTATTTGTTCTTTGTCTACTGCTGATTTGAAAGATCATCTCCTTTTCTCTCTCCTCCTCTCCTGCAGATTTCCACCTTTTTCTCTCCCAATACACACTCTCACTTCAGAGTTCAGATTCTTTTCCAGGGAATTCCGAAATGTGCAAACTTAGCTTCTTTCTGTAGACTGTATCCACAGTCCTGATGCTCCTGGGCAGTGGGGGAAATCTACATTGGATTAATTTGTTCATGGTAAGTGGCTACACTTTTCTTTCCAGGGAGAGAGCAGCTATCTTGATTAATTCAAATTTTAGTTTTTAAGCTGCCTTTGGTGATTACAGGATAATGTATATCTTCCAAAAGACTTCAGTGGTAAATTATCTAGAATGACCATGCTGAATTTGATGCCTTTGTCTGCAGCCTTAAAAGATACTGAGGAGGACAAGAAGCCATGTGAAACTGTGTCTTACATGAGGGGAGGAAAAAATGGAAGGCCGAGGGCTGAGAGTCATTCCAACTGTGAAAACAAAGGGATGGAATGATTCTCCATGAAAGTAATAGTCTGAAATATGGCTGCTGAAATACATTGGGGTTATAAGCCCTCCAGGAAAGAAACAGGATGGCGCCTGGGTTTATCCCACTTAAAGCACTGCTCAGAGACATTCATAATTAATATATAACATAAATTCATTTTACTTTTAGGTCAATGCTATGGCTAGCTAATATTTTCTATCTTGTTCATTATTTATGCAGTAAGCTGAGAAAAATCACTTTGAAATGATATTGACCTGCAGTATAAGAAACAAAACAAGCAGATCACGTTCTGCTGAGAAGCAGTGATGGTTTGAAAGTAGGAGAAAAGAAAATAAGTCAAAGGTTCATGGCTTTAATATGGTAGAGCCCGTAGGAACTTTTTATTTACTGGAATGCTATGGGTTGCACGGCTTATCAATTAAATTTCACTTTCAAATATGATGCAAACCTATATTTAGATGTTTTGGGGAGAACTGGAGGAGGGTGCTGAAGAAGAAGTGATCTCTTTCTCCAAGAAGTTCAAAATTACTGTTTTAACGATCTGTATTAGGACACAAGCAGGGCTCTGCTCATTTATTTTTCAATTTAGTACATTTCTCTGGCCAAACATATAGACCCTCACACCTACAGAAACACTCAAATATACCCAAACATAGTCCTACCCTCATCCTACCCCCTGAGTCCTTTGGCACATATAGTTAGATGTCTTGCTAAGAATGAAAGACAGCAATCAACTCCTCAACATTAAAACTCATTCTAGTAGGAAACTTACCTGCCCATAAAATGCCACACGATAGTAGCGACCGAAGAGTCGCTTCTCTGAATTCACCACCTCTGCAACTTTCAGATATGACCGATGAATATCGTAGTAAAGATCGGATAATTTCTGAAAACAGAAACAAAGGGTTTCATGAAGATGATGCCAACATAAAATACAGAAAATCCTAAGTAATTCTCCAATGTAATGAAGGATATCTGAACTAACTCCTGGGTTTAGAACACCTACTTTGAAGTCTCTCTGCTTCTCAAAGACTGCAATGATGGGTTTGTTGACATCAGCGATGAGCTCATATCTCTCAGACTTCCAGAGAAACTCCACACACATGTACAGCTGCTCCACCAGGATATTCTGCAATTCCCCAAATGAAAATGAGATTTTACACAGTGAAGACTGTGTCTCACCCCTGAAACTTGCTTTCAAAACCATTGCACTGTCAATCTTTTTCATAGTGGGATTTCTGCATCCCTCATCTTTGCAACTGGCAGTTACATCCATCCCAGGAGGTACAGTGGTGTCTTCCAGGATTCTTCTCTTTCCATTACCTTATTAGTCTCTCAAACTTGCTAATTTAAATCTATGAAAAGTATTCAGATCTGTCAGTTTTTTTTTTCCATTCCCACAGTCGCAGGCTTAGATCAAACTCCTGTTTCTTCACTCCCAGACACCATGGAATAGTTTGCAGCTCAACTGTTTTCCTCTCCAGTTTGGTCCTACTGGTCCTGTGTGTAGCTCTCTAGTACTCTTTCTTCCAAAGACATCAACCCGATCATGAGCTTGCCACTGTCCCAAATCTTTCCAGTGCCTACGAACTGCTGCCTAAACTCTCTAGCATGACATTGAAGGAGCTCCAGAAGAAGGCTCCCTTTCAGTGGCCCTCTCCTTCAGCACCTTGGCATGGACTTGGCACTTTGGCTGTACCAGATGGTACCACACCAATCTTAAGATGCTTTGTAATTTCCACACTTCTGCCTGTGATGTTGCTGCTGCTCCTTTGAGAACTTTAGTTTCTCATTTGACAATTTTTAAGTCCTAGCAAATGTCAAGACCCAGTGCAAAAGTCTGCAGAGCTTTTATTTATGTTCCATCATCTGCATTCTAATTATTGTCACATAAAAAATTATTCCCTTTTTAAGGGAACCCTCTTACACTGTTGGTGGGAATGCAAACTAGTACAGCCGCTATGGAAAACAGTGTGGAGATTTCTTAAAAAACTGGAAATAGAACGGCCATATGACCCAGCAATACCACTTCTGGGCATACACACCGAGGAAACCAGATCTGAAAGAGACACATGCACCTCAATGTTCATCGCAGCACCGTTTATAATAGCCAGGACATGGAAGCAACCTAGATGCCCATCAGCAGACAAATGGATAAGGAAGCTGTGGTACATATACACCATGGAATATTACTCAGCCATTAAAAAGAATTCATTTGAATCAGTTCTAATGAGATGGATGAAACTGGAGGCCATTATACAGAGTGAAGTAAGCCAGAAAGATAAAGACCATTACAGTATACTAACACATATATATGGAATTTAGAAAGATGGTAACGATAACCCTATATGCAAAACAGAAAAAGAGACACAGAGGTATAGAACAGACTTTTGGACTCTGTGGGAGAAGGCGAGGGTGGGATGTTTCAAGAGAATAGCATCGAAACATGTATATTATCTAGGGTGAAACAGATCACCAGCCCAGGTTGTATGCATGAGACAAGTGCTCGGGCCTGGTACACTGGGAAGACCCAGAGGGATCGGGTGGAGAGGGAGGTGGGAGGGGGGATCGGGATGGGGAATACATGTATATCCATGCTAATTCATTTCAATGTATGACAAAAACCACTGCAATGTTGTAAAGTAATTAGCCTCCAACTAATAAAAATAAATGAAAAAAAATTATTCCCTTTTTAACTGCAGCTGTAGATGATGCCTAGATTTAGTTACTGGGTCTTAGACTGGTTACCCCAACCCTGAAGGATGTTTATCTTTCACAAGATTCTAAACACTTCGAGAACTGGGATTATGCCTTATTATCTTTGTCTCCCCAAATAAATCTGCCTTATTTATCTTTGTCTCAATGTCTCACATAGGAGCGTAATAAATGTTCAACTGAACCAAATTATATACTTTCTAAAGCAAGTGGATAATACTGTTGGAATGTTTTCAGTGTCTTTTCAGAGAAGATTTTAAATGGTTTGAAATAGTTAATGCAAATGTGTAGTTACATTTACTATTTGCAACATACATTAAATTAATGTACAGCCTTACGTGAGATTTCTTTTAACATCTCCTCCAAGATTTGTTTTCTGAATCCTTTTTTAAACCTATGTAATATTATGAATAAAAATTAGCTTTTGAAATATTTTATTTACTTGAGGAGGGGAGCTCTATTTTCTTCACTTGAATTGTTGCTAAGTAACTCCTGGTAGAAAGCTTCTTTTGAAAAATAACTGTAGTCTGCATACCAGGAGGTTTTCTGCAGAAACTAGTGAGACTTTCTGTTCAAGTCTATTTGTTAATAAATTTTCCAATGCACTAAAAAATGTGACCAGCTCAAAAAAATTTCAGCATCCCTTACCATATTTATCAAAAGACCAGAGCTTTTATATTTTGTAGAAGAGCTGATTGTATATATTTGGGTCCATCTTAGAGAATTAAAAGTTACTTTAAATTTTCATTGAACATTATACTTTATCAGTGAAATCTGACATCTATTAATCTAGCTTAATTTTAGCTTGCATTTTATTTTGCCTAAGTCATTTTATAAGGTAACTTTGATTTCGGAACGAAATCTTCTCCTCCATACTTAAGTTTAATGTTACAATTCAATGTATCTTCTTATTCAATTACAATATATTCGATAATTTTCATCTAACCTCATTGTATGGTGTGTCTTGCATGCCCGAATCTTCTTTCATTGCCCCTTCTTCTTTAATATTTGGTGTAATACTCAGAAAAGCTGGCCAGCCCATAGAGAACATGCCTTAAGAGGACAAAGGAAAATGCAACATTATTATTTGAGCCAAATCCTGCTTGGATTAGATAGTGACTTTGTTCATGATGTTACATGTGTTGGTTATAACACTCACATAATCAATGGTATGGTTAGATTATGACTGTTGATAAATACTCTGCCAGGCAACCAGTTTTCCCTTTTTTATAATTTTTGTATTGTTCTCAGCTGACCTGCCTTCTCTAAGGAGCTATTATGGGATTATGGACAGAACACAGGCTTGTGGATTGATGTACTTCAATGTCTGGTTTAATTAATTTTTTGGAGTCTGTATCCTTTGTTTGTTAAATCAGAGACATTAATATCTAATCTCAAGGATGCTGAAAGGATTCAAAGCATTAGTATTTGAGAAAATACCAGGTTATCATCACTGCCTTCTAAAGACAATACACAGTACTCACTAACTTTCATTCTTTTGCATTATTTAGAAAACTTCTCAAGATTTCTTAGCTTCATGGGTACCAAGACTAAGAAAGATGGAACCTTGCAGATGCATATGAAAATAGTTGATAACAAGTAATGTGCCCAGAAAGGGGTCAGATTAGAACATTAAAGGAATATGAGAGGTTAAGAGCACAGTCTGGAGTGACAGACCAGCCCTTGAACGTGGCCCCATCACAAGCTAACCAGGGGGATCTGGGGCAGATTGCCTAATTTCTTTAGGTCCTATCACCTGTAAACAGGTGGGGATAACAGCATCTAACTCATAGACTCCTTACTGGCAACTAATTGACATACTGCCACAGCGCAGAACTTAGTGCAGTTGCCTACCTTGGAGCAAGTGCATTTTAAGTTATAATTAATACTTTTGTGGATATTTCCATTTTTAATAATCAGATCATTGGCTATGTGACTAAATTATCACCCCAAAACATGCTAGAAATGATAATAATTGTTGTAATTGAATCTTTGTATTAAAAATTCTACTTTCTAATTTTTTATTAGCATTTTTCTTTGGTAATTAAATGTATTAAAATATATGAGGATTGAATAGAGCAGGAAAAGTCATGGCATACTACTTCCTGGATGATGATGGTTGTTAGTACAACTGAAGAATCTGTATTTTCTGGAGTCACCTAAATTCACCTCTATAGTTGTTCCTCAATATCCACAGAGAATCGATTCCAGGACCCCCAGCAGATATTAAACTCTACAAATGCTGGTGGTCCAGTGGTTAAGACTCTGCACTCCCAATGCAAGGGGCCCTGGTTCAATCCTTGGTCGGGGAACTAGATCCCACATGCCACAACTAAAAGTTTGCATGCCACAACTAAAGATCGCACATAGCACAACTAAGACCCAACACCACCAAATAAATGTTGGGATTCCCAGATGGCTCAAATGGTAAAGAATCTGCCTGCAATGCAGGAGACCTGGGTTTGATCCCAAGGTCGGGAAGATCCCCTGGAGAAGGGAATGGCTACCCACTCCAGTATTCTTGCCTGGCGAATTCCATGGACAGAGGAGCCTAGTAAAGATTGGGACATGACTGAGGGACTAACACTTCCTTTTCACAAATGCTCAAGTCCTTTATTTTAAAGGACATAGTATGATGAGCCCTCTGTATCTGTGGATTCTCACTGATGGAGTGGTTGGTTCAATCTGCAGACCTGGAATTCCTGCGTACAGAGGGCCAACTGCCTTCTTATCATGTGTGCACTGTAGTGAAGGGACAGTTTACTTCTCTGACTTAGAACATCACAACATAGAAACACATTGAGGACTTCAAATATATGCCAATGAGCTGAGATATATGGCAATGCATACAAATATATGCTAATGCATCACAAATAATCACCTTCAATATTTAAAGTTTATAAAACACATACAGTTGACCCTTAAACAACACAGATTTGAACTGTATGGGTCCACTTAAATGCAGATGCCTTTCAGTAAGTACATACTGTAGCATGCACTGCCTGTGGTTGGTCAAAGCAATGGATGTGGATATGCAGAGCCAACTGTAAAGTTATCCCCGGGGGTTGGGTGTCCCAACCTTCTCATTGTCCAAATGTCAGTATGTATATATGTTTCTCAATGGGTATATTATTCCAATATCACCATTGGTCTAAATGTATTTAGATCTTCTTTTGAATATTCAAGATTTAGACAACATTTTGGGCTACAAGTTCCCACAACTTCTCAAACTGACACTTAGTTTTATCAGGTTTCTCAAAATAGTTTTTATGGAACTGTATGGTATCTGATTATGAAAAAAACAAATGAGGAGGAAGGGCATGTTAAATAAAATGAGGATGGTTTTGATGACTTGTCTGTATAAATAGGAAGCATGAAACTGAGCAAGGAGACCCTTGAATTTTATCGTGGACATGAGTCATGAGGCCAAGTCTGGTGTCTTCTTCAAGGCCCTCAAACAAATGAGCTTACTGTCTCAGAATTCACTTTGGTCATTTGTTTCAAATATCTTATTTACAAAATCCACTGAAACTCTTTGGGAGATATATACATATTTAAAAGAATAAGGGACCAATTATGTTTCCAAAATTTTATAACCAAAGCCATTTCCCTTTTGTTTAGGTATTTTAATCTAAACATTTAAATATCTGTTTCTCTTGTTCATACACTGAGTTTTCCATTTCATTTTGAAAGTTAAGATAGTATTATGAAGTAGATTGAAGTTCATAAACTGAGTTTGAACAAAATTTTACAAGGATACTTTTTTTTACAAAGAATAATTCTTTGGTTACTATTACAAAATGTTTATCAGATGTTAAAGATGGAATATTTTTAATTAAAGGAAGATTATACTGTAAATTGCTATATGTTATAAATTGTCAGAATCAATGTATACTTAAAGAAACTGAAACACGTAGATTATAGGTATAGTCCTGATATGTGTGTGGACACGCTCAGTTGCTCATCGTGTCCGGCTCTTTGTGGCCCCATGAGACTGTAGCCTGCTAGGTTCCTCTGTCCATTGAATTTGCCAGGCAAGAATACTGGAGTGGGTTGCCACTTCCTACTTCAGGGGATCTTTCCAACTCAAGATTCAAACCTGCGTCTCCTGCATTGGCAGGCGGATTCTTTACCACAGAGTCACCTGGGAAGCCCATGGTCCTGTATATATACTATATTTATTTGTCACTTTTCTGCACTCCTTATTTTGAATAAACAGTTATATGACATTTCAACAGTAAAATGGATTTCTCTTGCAATTTTAAACAATTCATCCATTTCAGAATAAAATCCCAAAGACAGTCTAGCATGCAAATTGGTAACAAAACATGGCCATCATATTATATAAGACGCACTTCTGTTTGTTGAGAACTCTTGAGGTCCCCAAACTTCATAAAGTTTGATGATGGAATTTCTGAATGGTGAGAACTTTGGGTTTTGACAGAGTATGTTATGTAGGTCCGAGACAGTTTTTGCTTTTGGGAATACGTTTAGAAGTTCCATTGGAGTGAAACTGAATCAGGCCTTGGGTTTCCTCCACACCGTGCCCTGGGGGTAAAGGAGCCCAGTTAAATCACTCACTTCCTCCACTGGGAGTTGTTAGTAATGGGTTGCTATCACAGGGGTGGACATCCTCCGGGAGCAGGGATGGTAGGCAAATCTTTTCCATTTTCCAGTAACCTATGGCAGTGCAAGGTGAAGTTAGGACATTGTTACAAGTTTATGTTAATTAAGCTTATGAAACTATGAATCGTTAACCAGTGAAGCCTTCTCATTTGGCACTAAGAAGTGGACCAGTTAGCCTGGTTGCGCATAAAATTAACATGATGATGGCATGAAGAGAAAGGTAAAACTTAAAAGTACAGTGTCATTAGAAATATCTGTGAAAATAAACACTGGTAAAACACTGAGATTAATCAAATTTAAAACTAATAAATACAACATATTTATTAGCTTATTTATCAGGTTTTGACATGTTGATTTCTCCCCACACATGGTTGTCTTACCCCTTCTTTTCAGGTATTCTGCGATGAGGGCAGCTATATGGATGTAACACATGGCTGCCTATAAGAGAAAAGCAAATAGTGTGAGAGGAAGATTTTACCATCTATCTCATACTAAAGATTTTACCATCAGTCTAATTCAGATTAATCCTTCAAGGTGGGTCAGTATTCCAAATCAGAATATGCAGAGAAATCCTTTTCATGGTAGAACCAAAAATAAGAATCAATTAGATTTCCAAAAAGTACACCCTCAAGAATAAAAAGCATATTTGGGATTTTTTTTTTTTTTTGGTTTGCTTTTCTTGATTTAGTTTCCAGGTGGGTGAATGAGCTGACTTGAAGAATTTTTCTACAGAATTATCTTCCTGCATTAATATCTATGCTTCTCCTCTTTCTCTAAATAGCATCTGGATATAAATTGGAAGTGAAAATAAGCTGTCTTCTAACTTTTTTTTTTAACCTCCAGCCATGGCCCCCCTTAGAATTTCTGTCATCTTTAAAATGGTAGCCTCAAGAGGAGGCAGTTGATAAAATAGTGTGACCTAATGTATTGTGTATGTTTTCTTCAAACAGATTATTTGAGTGACATTTTATTGCTCTTTAAAATCTCTTGCAAAGCCCTAGAACATTGCTGAACACACACTAGATGCTGACCGGCTGAAGAACCCAAATGACTTCAGCATTTCCTTTTGAAGTTTTGTGGAGAACTTCTCCACATGGTCCAAGAGAATTGGAGTTGCTCATTTTTGTCCTCACCAAACTGCTATCCAGTGAGGCCTCTGCTCAGATCTACATCCATCCCAGAGCCCTTCACCTGCATTTAGAAGAATTACAGGTTTCCTGGACAAACTCATCTCTTCTCAAATCAGGGAAATTCTGGGAATAAAGCCGAATTTCCACACTGAGTGTCTGGCACTGCTCCACGTGGGTGCTGTTGAGTTGTTGCCCATAAATCCACCAGGGTTTAAACAGACATAGAAAAGCTAGCTATTGATTTATAACTGTCACACACTGGGCTCTCATCAGCGTGGCCCTTAGAACTGTGAACCTTTCCATGGCTAGTTCGATGAGATGCACATGAGGACAGATTACTCAAAACTGCCTTTACTCACCATGATGGTAAGTTTCCCCATTTCACTCTAATTCCAGGGAAGAAGTTTTAACACACGCAACAGTAACTTATATAACTTTTAATTTCCAGATACCCTTACAATCATCCTCCCTGGCCTCAGGCCTTAGCATTTGGTCGCCACTGCACATCCTACAACTGCAGCTGGTCCCCCTAGACTCTGGCTTTTATTTGATATCATTTACATGGAGTCAGGCATCCTTGAACCTTACATGCAAATGTATTGCACATAACATGTTGGGTTGGGCAAAAATTTCATTTGGGGTCTTCCATCTACTCTTAGAGAGAAACCCGAATGAATATTTTGGTCGACCCAATAAAATCAGATCATATTGACATTAGTGGGGGAATATGGTAACTTTTTATATTCCTGATGTAAATGACAATCCAATGGTCCTGATTAAGAGGACTATGCTGACAAAGAAGGACTGAGTCTTCGCGGATCACCTCAGATAAATCTCCGTTTCTTGCATGAATTTTGGCCATGCTTTCTAGCCAGGTCCTCCGCAGCTCAGGGGTGCTGGCATAGGAGTTTGCCAGGCTGTACTGGAGATCCACCAGCATCTCTGGATCCTTCTCATGCTCCTTCATCTGAGCTGTGGCCATCAAAACAGTCCTTATTCGTTTAGTCAGGTCTTTCACCTCTGCTGGGAAATTGCTGTTCTTTGGAAAACAGAGAGCCTGGGTCATTATCTGTTTAGATTTTATAAGTCAACTCACTTCAAGTTATGCTTTTAGCTATAGCGTGGCATCATGGTCTGGTGCATTCTATATACTGTTCACAAATATGTACATTCTCTGTGGGTAAATTCCATATATTGTGATTGTGGCTGTGTACATTTGAAGATGACTCATAGTAGAGTCCACTTTATCTTCTGGCCTATCTTCTAGTGAAAGCATCCTAGCTGTCCTCTGACATCCCAGCATCCTCTCTGGCTCTGGTTCATGTGATTTGCATGTGTCTGCCTCCTTCCCTTGGACTGTAAGGAGATCAAACCAGTCCATCCTAAAGGAAATCAACCCTGAATATTCATTGGAAGGACTGATGCTGAAGCTAAAGCTCCAATACTTTGGCTACCTGATGAGAAGTGCTGACTCATTGGGAAAGACCCTGATGCTGGGAAAGATCGAAGGCTAAAGCAGAAGAGGATAGCAGAGGATAAGATGTTTAGATAGCATCACTGACTCAACGGACATGAATTTGAGCAAACTCTGGGAGATAGTGAAGGACAGAGGTGTGCTGCAGTCCATGGGGTTGCAAAGGGTCAGACACAATTTAGTGACTGAACAATAACGCCACTTCCTTCCCAGGCACCAGGGCTGGACATGATACTGGCCTGGCCAATCAATCATATCTTTGATACCCCAGGTCACAGTGATTGGTTTAGGGATTGGGCATATGATACAAGGTTGGATCAAAGAGACTCGGTCTAGGGACTTTAATTTGCCACTCACAGATTACTACCAGTGTCCTCAGAATTTCTGAGAAAGTAAGCTCATGGGGACAGCCTACCTGTAAATGAAGTAAACGAAGAAGAAAATTGAACTGAGAGACAGAGAGGCAAAAAAATAGAGGTGGTAGGGGAAAGAGATCTGAAAACATTATTTTATCCCTGGGTTCACTCAAGCCTGTCACCAGGCTCTACCCCAGAACTTTTCAGTATAATGATTGAAGGAGATGTCCCCACAAAATTCTAAAAGAAAGGTAAAGTGAATTTGATCAAGAATAGGATTATGAGAGAATCACTGTGCTTTATATATATATACAAATATATATGCATATATATATATATATTTGATATATGTGGTTAGTTTCATTGTTCCATAGCATTCAGCCCCATACCTTGGTAATATCACTTAACAGATTACATGCTCAAAGTGGAAGCAAACTCAATGGCAGGACTCAAAGTGTCAATAAACAAAATGCAGAATTTGTGTTTTTTTGTGATTTTGACATCTCATAAAAAGAATCCAACAGCTTAGTTTATCCCCAATTCCTTAAAAAAAAGTCCACAATGCATTTCTTACTTTCATTTGCTTGTCTCCATTAGCAAAATTATTGGTAATAGCAAGGGAATGCTGAAAACGAGAGCCTCCAATCCCAGCATCAGCTATTAACTGGCTTACGGCCTTGATGAGCTGAAAGAGAAAAGAAAAATGGAACCTCAAAAGTATGTAACTCTAAAATAGTAGGTGTAAATAAAATCACTGAGTTGGGTGGATATATCATGAATTCATCCCTGTAGGCCCAATGAATAATGTGCTCAGAATCTGGTGGAATTTGGCATCCTAGAAATAGTCATGGTTTCTCAAGTTGTGTATTCTATTATTAGTGGTCCACAACCTTTTTGGCCCCATGGACCAGTTTTGTGGAAGTCAGGGGCAGGGGGGATGGCTTTGGGATGATTCAAGCACATTACATCTACTGTGCACTTTATTTCTATTATTATTACATTGTGATACATAATGAAGTAACTATATAGCTCACCATAATGCACAATCAGTGAGAACCCTGAGCTTGTTTTCCTGAGCTCAGGTAGTAAGGGGAGCGATGGGGAGTGACTATAAATACAGATGTAGCTTTACTCGCTTGCTTTCCCCTCAATTCCTGCTTTGTGGCCCAGTTCCTAACAGGCCATTGACCAAACTGGGGTTGGGGACCTCTGTTCCATATGATTCTATTTATTCCCTGGCAGAAAAAAGGAAAAGTACAAGTGGAATTATGGTCTTTGCTAATTTCTGTCCAGCTGCCCTCTTTCTGTGAATCAGAATTGAGTGTGATGAGCATCCTTAAAGAGGAATCTGATGAAGGAATGGGGATCTGGTTGCCCTGGAAACAGGAAGCTTGTATCAATGCTGAAACAGATGAGTGGTTGTAACAACAACATTAATGAAAACTGGCAGCACTTACTTGTAAGTGCGACCGTACAATTGACTTCTGTTTGTTAAATTCAAAATTCTTCCTCATAAAGAAGTATAGAAGTGCTGATGCTTCCATCTGAGTTGACCGTGACCTGTGGTTACAGCATTTTAGGACTTCATAGCAGAATGATCCGCACAGATCAGCAGGCCCTTGGAAAAACGCTGAAGGAAACTATGGAGACAGAAGTGCTGGTGAAATGAGCAAATTCTTTCATTTTGCTCTGTTCATTCTCATATTTGATAATTTCTTAGAACAAAATCCTTTTTTTTAAACCTAGACTTTTTCTATCATTTGTAGGTGGAAGAGGATACAATTTTATTTACCAAGTCTATGCTAGTATTGGGGCTGTCATGGTAGCTCAGTGGTAAAGAATCCACCTGCCAACGCAGAAGATGCAGGTTTGATCTCTGGGTCAGGAAGATCCCCTGGAGGAGTAAATGGCAACCCACTTCTTGGGAAGTCTTGCCTGGGAAATCCCATGGCCAAGGAGCCTGGCAGGGTGCAGTCCATGGGGTCACAAAAGAGTCAGACATGACTGACTAAATAACATGTTGTAAGTATCCTTTGCATCAATAATGGATGATTACTCAAAGCAACAGAATGAGAGCTTTGAGATAGTTTCTATTCACTCAACGTTGTAAAATCACAGGTCCTCAAAGGGTACTCTTCTGAAGTGGAACAATTTAACATCACAGTTGATGGTGTATATTTTACTTAACTCTCTGCCACAAACACTTAGAACCCAAAGAATTGGTAGCCAAATGCCAATTTTATCCCCGTTTGATATCCAGCAGATAGGCCATCAAGGCTGTGAACTTATTCTGAGACCATGAATCAAACAGTCTAATAAAACCAAATAAATCAACATAGAATCAAACAAACCTTCCCACTCTACTGAGAGACGTAAGGATTAATGCTTGTTTATTGTCAGTAATGGGCCTCTGGGTGGCTCAGATGGTAAAGAATCTGCATGCAATGCAGAAGACCTGGGTTCAATCCCTGGGTGGGAGGATCCCTCAGAGAAGGGCAAGGCAACCCACTACCGTATTCTTGCCTGAAGAATTTTATGGACAGAGGAGCCTAGCCGGCTACAGTCCATGGGGTCACAGAGAGTCGGAGACACCCAGTGACTAACACTTCCATTTTCAGTATCAGTAATAAACATGTCACTGAGCTCTCCATGGAACCTGGATTCTTACCTTGCACACAAACAGCCTCAAGGAGGCAAACACGTGTTTCAGTGCGGTGGCTGATTGGTTGACTTGGAAAAAGAGTATGTAGGTGTCAAAGACCCTTTTCATCATTGAATTCTGACATTCAGATTGTTGGAGTTGTCTCTGGAAATTCAACAGAGCACTTATTTAGGATGAGTGAAAGGACACCTGTGTTCTTTAAAAAAATATTTTCTCTGGACTGGCTATGAGATGGTTAGATAGAATCACCAAGTCAGTGGACATGAACTCGGGCAAACCAGGGGATAGTGAGGTACAGGGAGGCTTAGTGTGCTGTAGTCCATGGGGTCGCGAAGAGTTGGACATAACTTAGCAACTCAACAACAACAATCTGCTATGTGATAGGCACAATTTTGGATGCTGGAAATGAACTGCAAAATAAAGTCTTATTCTTGTTCCCAATGAAACGTATATACAGTAGTGACTGAAAAGTTACCAAATAAAAAAAACAGAGTAGAAGGATAATATGAAGGAAAGTAAAGGCTTTGGGGCGGGTAGGATTACTTTATGTAGAATGGTTAAGACTCCTCTAATGGGTTAATTGACATGCGAGCTGAAAAAGTCAGCCCTGGCCAGATCTGGGAGGACTGTCTGAGTTAAAAAAAAAAAAGTTGGTACCAGGGACTTGAGTTGAAAAGGAGCTTGTGAGTTCAAGGTGGAGAAAAAAATTGTTGTGTAGCCTAAGCATGGTGGGTGGGGTGGAGTCAGGTGAGAGGTAGAAGATGAAGAGGTCACAGACAGGCAGGCCCTCGAAGGCACTGATAAAAGAGTCTGCAAGATGTATGGGATTTGACTGACATTTCCATTGAGCAATAAAGAATTAAAACATGGATTTTGATTTTTCTACCATCATGCTGACTTTTTACTTGAAAGTAGGACTTTCTTGGTATAATCATTCTGTTTATTCTTTATTCTACCAATTCAACTTTTTCTAATTAAACCCTTAACATTCAAAAGCTCATTAGGTTGAGCTAAAGTTTTTAGTAATTTCATTGAGGTGTAACTGACATACTAATTCTATAGTTCATATTTTATAAAATTTTATTTAAAAGGAATTATATAGAATATGCTCTGTTTGGCTTCTTTCACCGAGCATGACCAAGCAGTATCCTACTGTATGGCCATATCACTGTTTTAGAAAATCCATTCACCTGCTGATGTACATTTGGGTTGTTTTCAGTTTTATTAAAAACAAAGCTTCTGTGAATATTCATGTATAAAGTTTTGTGTGAGCAAACACTTATTTTTCCTGGGTAAATCCTTAGTATTGAAATGGCTGGTCACATGATAGATTCTGTTTAATTTTTTATTTCAGCATATTGTTTTTCAAGGTGTTTGTACCATTTTGCATTTCCACTACCAGCGAATGAGACTTTCAGTTTTTCCATATCCTTGCCAAAACTTTTTAACTGTAGCCATTCTAAGAGCTGGCAGTGGTATCATTTCGCCAAAGATCTACAAATGGTAAGTAAGCATTCAAAGAGATGCTCAACATTATCACTCGGTTTTCTCCAGCGGTTGAGTCTGTTTATCTGTTGTATCTAGTTGAATCATTTGTCTCTCCCTCTGATACTGAAAAAGTAGGATCACATTCTCACTCAGCCCAGCTTGCCTGACATAAAACAGGAGAAACAAGGAAGAAAGAGGGTCTATTATTGGAAAATAATGAAATGTCTGTGTGTATATCAGCTGTGCATTTGCCAACTTCTGATGAATTCTGAATCTCATCTTTAACATGCTCTCCACTCATGGGTTGATTTATGGAAGGTTAATGGGTTTCATTAAATGTCTTAAAAACATGTTCTTGACTTCACATGACTTTTCCATCTTTAGTTTTATCGTGTTGCAGAAGAGGCTGTGGTCACACTCACCTGGTGGACCTGAGTGAAGAGGGTCAGCAGGTCTAGAATAGTCAGGCAAACCTCTGTAGCGATGTTGGCCTCTGTGTCCACGTGGTGCACAATGTCTATTTCATTAGAGTTGCCTACAAAGTCCAAAGTAGAAAATGCATAAAGGTCTGAGACAAGTCTTTGTACCCTATTAAAAACTTTCTTCTATTACAACATAGTCATATACAACATATATACAATATGTACAATGTAGATACAATATACATCCTACGTATAGAAATACAATCTTTACTGGTGTTTTGATGAGTAATTTAGTAAATCAAAATGCTTTCATTTATACAATTTCTTTATTGGCTAAAGCAAAAATACTAGACAGAGTTTTCAGTGGATGCTGGAGACTGAATATGTGTGTTCCCCCCAAAATTCACATTGTTGTTCCTGTTCAGCCACTAAGTCATGTCTGACTCTTGGCAACCCCATGGACTATGGCATACCAGGCTTCCCTACCCTTCACTATCTCCCGGAGTGTGCTCAAACTCATGTCCCTTGAGTCAGCACACTATGAAAAAGCAAATTCATAGGTCAAAGCCCTAGTCCACAGTATGATGGTATTTGGAGGTGGGGGTCTTTGAGAAGTAATTAGGTTATAAGGATGGAGCCCTCATGATTGGGATTAGTGCCCTTTTAAAAAGAGACACCAGAGGGATCATGTCTATCCCCACCATGTGAGGACACAGCTATAAGGTAACCATTTGCAAAGAAGGTGTCTACAAGACATCAAATCTGCGGGCACATTGATCCTGGATCTCCTACCCTTTAGAACTAGGAGAAGTAAATATTTTTTGTTTAAGCTACACAGTCTGATGCATCTTGTTTTAGTAGCTTGAACCAATGAAGACAGTGTGTGTGTCCTTTTCATTGGTCAGGTATGGAGTTTCTAAAGAATCAGAGTAGTCTGTTCTTTATTTCCCACTTCTTTTCCATTGGTTCAGCTGTCAGTATAGTCATATTTCCTCCATAATTAGTCTGGGTCAAGTTTTATGCTCCAGGTTAATAGATCAAATGTAGAGTCTGAGTGGATGATCTGCACGAACGACCTCTTCAGAGAGATACTAAATGTATTTATAGGTTAAGGCAAATACTGTCAAATAGCTAACTTTGGTCATGTGTCCACAATCAAGAACACTTACATGATATGAAAACATTGGATCTCATTTTTTACCTCACTCACACCTAGAATGTATGCAACACTGGATTCAAGATGGCGCGCCTGCTGCTTCTGGGACACAGGCAACTTTTTCCTCTTCCCAAAGAGTGGATGGTAATCAGGTTGACCCAGAGTCACTTGGTTCCCAAGTGAGGGATCAAACCCATGCCCCGTGCAGTGGGAGCACAGAGTCTTTACCACTGGACCAACAGGGAGTGCCAGGACACTGTTTTTAAGCTACTCCCTGCTGATTCTCTCCTCTCAGGAACATTCCCAGGGCTACAGCAAGCCTGGAAACCAGTGGCCTGAGGAGCGCAGCAACATTCCCTACATTCTGAAACATCGTGAATTTATTTCCTGCACATGTCTAGAGAAAAATGGTAACTATCTTGTTGCTATTGTTTCCGGTTTACTTACTGGTCATGGTATTGTCTAACATCTGGAGGAGCTTGGGGTTAGAAAGTGCATTTTTGCCTCGAATTATTGGTAAAGTTTGTGATCTGTGCTGCTTCTGTCCTTCATGACTGGAAGTGGTGTGCATCCTGGAAATGAAATGAGAAAAATGGTTAAAGTCGTAGGGATATGAAAACCAAATGTTTGTTCAAATTCTCTTGATTGTGTCATATTAATATTTTGAATAGAGACTTTTTATGAAAAACCATTAATTATGGGGTGACACGATGACAGAAACTTTAAAAGTACTTTTGGAGAAATTTTATTTAAGCCAATAAAGTGTTTAGAATGATAATAGATACTAAAGGATAATGGGTTTCCCAGGTGGCGTTAGTGGTAAAGAATTCATCTGCCAAAATAATAGATACAGAATTAAATTCTGCACAATCATATTCATTATTATTTAATGAAGTCATGGGATTCTATAGATATTATGCTGGCTATTGGATGCTCAGAAAGGCATATTGATAAACATTTATAAGTACAATACTACATAACTCAATTGGTATCAGTTATTTTTAGGGGGTAAAATATAAAAAAGCAAAATCTGGTCTGAAACAACTCTTTGTCTCTTAGTATTTAGAGGAAGAGATACTGAAGAGTCCAGTCTCAAAAAGAAGCAATGGTTTTCTCTGTGTCTTACTTCTCAAGGTTTATTTGGTTCTGGCTAAATCAAGTGCTCTGAGTGGATCGGGGCCCAAGAAATCTGACTTTGGCTTTCAGTAGCCAAGAGAGTCTGGGTCATTTCTGCAGCTCCAGGGAATAATGGGTTTGGGGCTGTATGGCTTAAACTTTGGGACTGAATTACTTCCAGTCTCCTTCTGTCTGTAACTCCTGGAGGAAAAGCCATGGTTTTGGGGAAGGGATTTGGGGAAAAAAATCAGGAGGTGTTCAGGGAGGACCCTGAAATCTAACTTACCAGACATCCTCTAAACTGCAGTGACTTCAGCTGGGTTACGATTGTCATTAAAATCATTGTTTATGGTCCTCTCTCCTACTACCAATTGTCAAAACAAGCCCATTACATTTTTTATTTGCTCTCTCATAAGGGGGCCACTCAAGTGGTCCCTGTGGATAAAGAGGCAAAATTTATTCTATGATTTATTAGCCATTTACTACTTCCATATTACTTTCTAAAGTTCTTTCTAAAATACAGCCATTTTCGTATTGTATATTATTATGATACCCCTGGGAAGAATAAATCAAGCTGGAGAAAACTTTAGCAAAGAATTTGGATTGACTAGACCCAGAGGAGCTTTAAGGCAGCATTTCAGGCTAATGTTTTCTGTAGGGTAGTTTATGAGGGGTGATCCTAGGTTTTTTATGCTAGTCAAATCAGTCTGACGACTAAAAAAACTAACATGAGCTTATAGGGCCAGGTATGCTTCCTTATTGCCTTTGACCCTTAAAAAAATTACATTAAACTCTAAGAATATGGTTAAATTATTACAATTACTGAAAGGAAAGGGGAGATACGACCTCACAGTTCACTTTGTCACCAAGAGATTAGCAAACATGAAGATAGTCATTGATTGGAATTATATCTTTCCAGGCTTAATAAAATTAAGATACTCTTTGACCCTATGCAAGAATCCACTGGCCAATGCAGGAGACACCAGAGACCACAATCTGTGGAGTGGGAAGATCCCCTGGAAAAGGAAACGGCAACCTATTCCAGTATTCCTGCCTGGGAAATCCCATGGACAGAGGAGCCTGGCAGGCTACAGTCCACAGGGTTACAGAGTTGGACATGACAGTACACACAACAACACAAGGCATTGTACAGGGTCACAGAAATAAGGCGTAATTCTTGCTTCTTAGGTCTTTACAAGTTAATGGGGCAGACAGGGAAGTACTTACAAAGTTTCTTCTTAGAAACATACAGAGTTATTTGAAATCTGTGTCTGGTTTGAAATATACATATAAGTAAGTAAGTAAAGTCGCTCAGTCGGGTCCGACTCTTTGCGACCCCATGGACAGTAGCCTACCAGGCTCCTCTGTCTATGGAATTTTCCAGGCAAGAGTACTGGAGTGGGTTGCCATTTCCTTCTCCAGAGGATCTTCCTGACCCAGGGATCAAACTCAGGTCTCTGGCATTGCAGGCAGACACTTCCCCATCTGAGCCACCAGGGAATATTTCATATGTATGAAATGTACATGTACATATACATGCATATGCGTGTGTGTGTGTGTGTGTGTGTGTGTGTGTGTACACAGTGTGGATATCCACACCCTATATATATATATATATATATATATATATATGCATGTGTGTGTGCTAAATTGCTTCAGCCATGCCCCACTCTGTGACCCTATGGACTGTGGCCCACCAGGCTCCCCTGTCCACGGGATTCTCCAGGCAGGAATATACTGGAGTGGAAGGCCATGTCCTCCTCCAGGCAATCTTCTCAGGGATTGAACCTGCGTCTCCTTCGGCTCCTGCATTGCAGGCGGACTCTTTACCACTGAGCTACCGGAGAAGCCCAATACGTACACACACACATACACATCCACGTACACTCACAATATAATTTTAAATATCAAGCAAATGTGACAGTACCATTGTGACAAAAGGCCAGAAGTCTGGCAGGATGGATTCGATCCTTTGAGAGTTCCATTGTTTTGGGTGGACTGCACGAATTTAAATGCAGCAGCAATTTTTCTGCAAGGAAAACTGAAGTTTTAATCTTAGCTCAGTGTTTGCAACTGATATATAAACAAAAAATGGGAACTGACAAGGAGATTACTGGACAATAGAATCTTTCATATGTTACGAAAAAACTACATTTTCTTCTGGAAATGGGAAATTGAGGATTTAGGGAATGTGCTGGGGTGGGGGGGGCACTGCTGTCTCTTATGGGAAAGGATGAGCGCACAGTTATTCCGGATTAACTGGTTTTTTTTAGCATATTGGAAGTATTTCCTTAAATATGCATCTTCTAAGTTACATTCATATGAAGACAAATTGGTTGAAAAGCTACATGAAATGTGGTTTCCTTTCAGAAATGTGTGTTTTGTGCTTCTCCTTTGGACAACGTTAACTATTCTTGGATCTACTATGGGTATAGTGTAATCATCAAACATGCTTTGCTTAATGTGAGGTCAACCTTAAAATCCTACTTGCATTTTAAGATTTCTAACATATATATATATGATTCTTTTCAAGAGATCAGACTACTCTTTTGGAGTTTAAAATGATTACCTTATTATGTTCCGTTTCCCTAGATATCTGAAATTTTGAAGACAGACGCTACAAAGGAAAAAAAGAAGTCACATTCTAATTATTCATACCTTTTTATCTATACAAAGTGTTCATCCAAGTACATTAAAAGAAAAATACAGTTTTCTTTAGTTTATGCATTATTATTGGTTATTCACCATATGATGCTTAGAATGAAAAATGGTATACTAAAATCATTTGAAGGTTCTAGAAAAAAAGTCTTAAGTAATCAACTCTAAAACTTACTCCAAGATGCTGAAGAAGTCAGACACCTCTGGACTGGGGGCTCTTTGCCAGTAGGCAATCAGAGTCTCTGAAAGGAAATACCAAGTAGCATGAGACTCTTTGAAATTCAAAGTTTTTTCCTTTTTTCTTAAAATTTAATTTTAAAGAGCTCTCTTTACCTTCCGAAATTGTTTTCATAATGTGTAGAAAGCACATGAGAAGACTCCTGGTTTCTGCTTGATCTAACTTGTCAAATCGGAGAGTTGAGCCTATCAAAGACAAGGGTCTTGGGATCTAGGGGTGAAAGAAACAACAAGGATTGAGGAGGAGGAGGCAGCTGACTTGTAACGCACTTGGCAAGTTCGGGAGGGAAATCGTACCTTTTCACAGTTGTCGGTCTTCTCACTGCTCTTCTCAGTGGTACTTGGGTTGGAGTCAAGACTTGCTAACGAAGCTCTGGAATCAGCATGGGTTACTGTAGAAATAGCTATTGATGAAAATGCTGTAAACACAAGCCACAGCACACAGACGGTAATGAGATGCATGGGCACACACACACACACACACACACAAAGCTAAAATGAACCTAAAAGATGCTGATTATTCAGGTATTGTGAAAGGCTGACACAATAGAGTCTGGGATTGGCATGAAAGATATGCAACTTTTAAAATATTATTTTAACAGCCATGCCAGTATGAAGGATTTAAGAACATTTAGACTATTATAACTGGAAATAAAGAATGCTCCTTTGATTTCTTACAAAGCTTTTTAAAGAACGTTTCTGTTTTAAAATGCTTAATAAAAGTTCTTAAGGATGCTTAGAGGAAGCAGCTTTCAATTTTTGACAGTTTGTAAGAAATTAAGATGACATTTCCAAACTAGTTCTTAAAAATAATCTTTGAAGTGGAAGGGCTATTATATTTTAAAAGGCTGTATGCAATGAAAACATCAAGATTGTTTCCAGAATGAAACAATTTGACGACATCGGAGTAGACTGCTTCTTAATTCAAGTAGAAATGAACACTAAGGAGAAGAGGAAGTTGTTGGATGACATTCAGAGAAACATGTAACAAGACTCTTTAGCTATATAAATGCAGAATACTTTGCCTCGTACATTATGTACAATGAATGAGTGGGTAAAAAGCACAGTGATATACAATGTAAACACAGATGAGTGTTAAACAGGATTGTCTGGAAGGTCTGAAATACCTGCTATAGAATTTAAAACATCTTTAGAAAATGATGTGTCTGCAGAGTTGGCATGTTTCATAGCTGACTGGGTGTGGAATCCGCCGTTGGTACTGAGGTCATCTCTAGACCCCTGTATTCAAAGCACAGAAGAGATTAGTGGGAATTAACATATTTCAACATCATAAACCTACAAATGTTTTCTTCATTACATTTTCAATTAGATGATATGAGATGTGATTTTTTATATTTTTGCAAAATCTTCTGCCAAAGTAGGCAAAGAAAGTGAATACTGTCAAACCATAATCTTAGTCACAATTTGATTTCTTATGTGATTTTTAAATTTTTAAACAATGTAGTGGAAACTCTTTCAGATATAGATTAAATCAGTGGTCCCCAACCTTTCTGGCACCTTTCGGTTTTGTGGAAGACAGTTTTTCCACAGACCTTGGGCAGAAGGATGGTTTGGGGATGATTGAAACACATTACATTTATTGTGCATTTTATTTCTATTATTATGACATCAGCTCCACTTCAGATCATCAGGCATTAGATCCCAGAAGCTGGGGACCCCTGGACCAAATGACTATAGTGGTTATTGATAAATTAACTGATTTAAAAAAAAATTTAATTGAACTATAATTGATGTACAATATTATATAAGTATAGAACATAGGGATTCACAGTTTTAAAGGTTACACTCCATTTACAGTTATTATAAAATACTGGCTACATTTGTACAATATATCCTTATAGCTTATAAAATTATAATAATTTTATATATAACACTTTGTATCTCTTAACCCCTATTTCTATGGCTCCTCCCTTTCCCTACTGGTCATCACTATCTTGTTGTCTATATCTGTGAGTCTGCTTATTTTTTCTGTCATATTCTCTATTGGTTATATTTTTTGGATTCCACCTATGAGTGGTATCATAAATTCATTGATTAGATTATCACTATTATCATGGATTTTAAAATGTATATTATTATTATTAAAAACTAGATGTTAGGTACTTATAATGTGCCAGTCTCTATGATGCATGTTTTTTTATTACACATTTAATCCTCCTAAGAACCCTGTGATAGAGGTATTCTGTTCCATTTTATAAATGAGGAAAAAGTTGAATAGCTTATTGAAGGTTACATAGATAGTAACTGATACTGGTCCAAGGTCAAAAAAAATTTCAGACATAGTTCCTAACTTCTAGACACTGTATAAGCACCTCAAAACACCTATATCAATGCATATATATGGAATCTAGAAAAATGGTACAGATGAACCTATTTGCAGGGTAGGAACAGAGGTGCAGATGTAGAGAATGGATGTGTGGACACAGGAGGGATGGGGAAGGAGAGGGTGGAAAGAATTGAGAAAGGACCATCCAAGCCACCCGGGAAGCCCCATATGTCCACTCCCATGTGCAACACAGATAGCTAGACAGCTGCTGCTATGTGTAACCCAGGCAGCGGAGCTTGGCGCTCTGTGATGACCTGGGGCGGGCGAAATGAAGGGCTTGGGTGGGAGGGAGGTCTAACAGGGAGGGAATATAGGTATGCATATGGCTGATATACTTCATTGTACAGCAGAAAGTAACACAACAGTGTAAAGCAGTTATATTGCAATAAAAAACAGATAAATAAAAAACTGAAAGCAAACAACACCCCCCCTCCCTCCCAAAAAATCCACCGAACAAGAAGTGCTGTTCTGTTTAATCCTTAGTTTGCTCACATTTAGGGGAAAATGGTTATCCAGGTCAAAAATATACATATAAAAAAAAGGCAAGCTCTTTATTAAAATAGACACTTGGAATAGTATGCAAACTTACCTGATTTGATGTATTGATGGTAAAAGGATACAGGTCCTTCAGGTAAATCCTTGGCATGTTGTCCAGAAGCATGCCATAGAGGGGCATGTATAAACTGGCTATCTGGGCCTGCTTTTCCTAGGTAGAAAAGGAGTCAAAAGAAATGATTCACATAAAAAATCAATAGACTTGTAGGTTTGATAGGCACTTAATGCCGTGAACCATTAAATGGTGTTTAGGGAAGGGAGAAAGAAAGACCACTTACTGGTTCTCTGTATCGATCATCAAATGAATGCTTAGCCATTAGATTTTTTAGGACAGCTAAAGCCAAGTGCCTGATATCTTGATCTTCTTGCAGAGCAAAGCCAACTTCTCGGAGCAGAATTCCGATTAAGAAGTGTTTGCGGCAAAATTCATTCGTGACCGAATATTCAGGCATATCTTTGTGAGGAAGGTAAAGAGATCATGTTACTGAAAGTTAAATGATCACTTTACAATCAAGAGAGGTGGAACAAACAACTATAAACCCCTTTCGCTACTAGCAGGGATTCAGCAATATAGTCTTGTATGAAAAATGTGAAGAGAGGCATTCAGTAAATACTTATGCAAATACTTATGTATTCTTATGCAAAATAGCACATGTGTGCACGCTGAGTCATTTCAGTCATGTCCAAATCTTTTGTAATCCCAGGGACCAAAGCCTGCCAGGCTTCTCTGTCTATGGGACTTTCCCAGCAAGAATACTGGAGTGGGTTGCCGTTTCCTACTCTGGGGATCTTTCTGACTCAGGACTACATGTTAGGAATAATGAACTATGAGAACACTCCACAACATATCTGACCAGAAGTAAAGTAAACACATCAATTTTTTTCAGTCTGTAAAAATACTGTTGAAGGCAGAAGTTCAGGGAATGTGGAAGTTCAGGAAACTAACATCAAAGGGCTTAAGTTAAATAAATTTTTCCATGAAATACTGAGTAACAGTGAGGAGGCAGAAATAAAACAAAACTTGCAAATTGCCCATTTATACCTAGAAAAAAATTTGCCCAGACTATTTCAAGTTATAAACTTGTCTGGGGTAAAAATAAACTGATATGATTCTGATGATCTCAATTTGGAGAGAAGGGTTAGAACCAGGCTGTGGCTTATTGATAGAAATATTATATAAAGATAGTTTCATTGAATAAGCATGTTATTACATATGATTGGGAATTTCCTGTATAGTTACACTCTAAAGAAATTTCTGATGCTTTGGGAAATTAAAAAAAGTTCAAACTCTGGAGAATAAAGTATGAAAGAATTCAAACTAAGGAAGCATTTAATTATTTGTGATAAAAGAAAAGCTCACTCAAATTTTGACTATTTTGATTAGATGATATTTGATATTTTTATATATTTGATTAGATGATATGACTATTAGCATCTAGAAACTGGAAATATGAAGTGTTTATACTCATCAATATTATTGAAATACAAAGTGGTTATTGATGCTGAGATAGTATAATAGAAAATAAAAATCATTTACCTGATGCATGTAATTCCTGTATTGATTCTGAAGGTGTCAAAGGATCTGAATTTAATATAAATAAACAAAAAGTTCAGATACATACATATTCAGATAAACACCATATTCATTAACTGTGTAATTTATACTGAAAAATTAAAAATATGTTGTCCTAAAATACAAGTGAATCCCTTCAATAAAGCTTTGCTTTTCAAGACAAGTACCTTTGGTTGTTTACTTCTTTTCTTAAGAAAGAATGTCATGAAGAGAATTTTTTAATTCTTAGCCTTCTTCTTGGGCACTGGTTTTTCCTTCTATCAGAAATCTGCTTGCTATGAAACATGTTTTTATGTTTACTATTGATAATATCAGATCTACAAAGAGACTACCAGGTCTCTGAACTACTGATAAATAGTAAACCAATCCCTTTTACTTATTGATAAATAGTAAACTATCCCTTCTCCAAGGTAAATTCCCGACCCAGGAATTGAACCGGGGTCTCCTGCATTGCAGGTGGATTCTTTACTAGCTGAGCTACTGGGAAGTAAATAGTAAACAGAGAATCCAAATGACTGAAACAGATTTTGATCCCCTTGACTGTCTTAACCAGCCTACCTAATGCAGTGATAACTTGGCACTAGTTACGAAGTTAATCTTCTTTGATTTACAAGCACCAATTGTATGGCTTTGTTGGGCCTCTCTTTGATGAAAAAGAAAACATAAACAAAAATTGAGAAATACAGTGCTGTACTCTTTACCACATGCTATCATTTTCTACATTTTAACCTGATTACCTGGGTCTAATGCCCCTGTGATGATTTCAGACAAAACCAAGACTGAGGAAACAGGAATACAAACAAAAAAGGTAAGACAAACAAATAGATGTGTTCCCTTTGTAGGAACTGATAAAAATCTGGGACTTATTACCTGGAATGTTTGCTGATCTTATGGGGAGACACAAGGGAATAAAGTGTTCATGCTGACATACTTCTTGGAGAAAATCAAATTTATACTGGCATAAGGTCTGAAAAAGAGGCAAAAGAATGACTATTATTCATACACTAAGAAAGTCAATAGAAAGTCTGCACTTGAATCTTATCTCTAAAAAGGAAGTGGAGTTACTTTTGTGTGACCACTGGGTCATTGTTAAGTTTAAAGGATTTTGTCCCCTCCGAAGTGGTAAATGTAGTTAGGCTCCCTATTTTTGGAGATTGGTCAAGGCCTGTTCAGGAAGTGATTTCATTTGCAACCTACCTTGAGCTTCTATGTGATACCATCTTACTGAGTTCTATTTTTTCACTTCTTTTAGCATATAGCAAAATACATTTATTCTGAGAAAAACAGTGCCTCATCACATGTACTAAGGTGTACAGCTACATTCAGCTTGAAGAACAGATCACTCCAATCAACTTCTAAGATCCAGCGCTAAGGAAGACAATGGTGCAGATAATCTAAACTTAAATCTCTCTCCATCTTCCATTTATTCTGAGAGTACATTATCTCATTCCACCCCTTTCCTGCTCTTGCAAACAGGTCTGTCATCTCAATGTTTTGAGTAGGACAGTGATAAATGAAGTGCAAACATGATCCAAAACAACTTAATACAGCTAGCTGCATAAATAGGAACAATTAGCAAGTCCATAACCATTCTATTTTCATTGTCATGCAAACTAAGTAATCAATTTTTAAGACTCAGTTAGCTTGTGTTCATTGTATTCACTAAAAACATCTAACACAATAAAATATATTTCATTTGCTCAGATATTTTAGAATCATAATTTGTGACAACTTTAGTCAGTAATTTAGAATACTGACATCTCAAACAAGGGTAGTATTTGACTTAATCCTTTGTACATCAAAGTGAAAAGGAACATAATTAAATTACATGGTAATCACTCTTCATTGAGTATGTTCCATTTGGTCTTTGATAAGATATATAATTTAGGGTCACTGGAATCATACCTAAAAGGATATTCTGCAAATTTCATGCATAATTGGAGCACTAATGAAGGATATTTTTTCAAAAAATATTTACAGAAAGAACTGGATTTTCAAAACTGAATGACATATAATCATGCAGTTCTCCTTGCTAAATCTCGACAGCTAAAAAATAACATTCAGGCTCTGAAGCCTAACATGAAATGCTCCAAGAAGATCATTATTTACTTTTGAAATTTCTATATTTGTTTATTTCTATAAATGTAAATACATTCTATTTCTATATTTGTAAATGTATTTCTATATTCTTTCCCAAAACGTAGATGACTTCTCTTCGGGACTTACTTTCCTCCCAATGGGGAAAGGTTAATGGGGAGCTATTAATTCAGGGGCCTTCTCTTCCACATGACCCAAAGCAGACCGGTTACATGCTTCCTCTCTGGAGTGTAAATCTTTTAAAAAAAATTTTTATTGTAGTACAGTTGATTTATAATGTTGTGTTAGTTTCAGATGTACAGCAAAGTGGATCAGTTATAATACATATATATCCATTCTTTTTTAGATTCTTTTCCCAAGTAGGTTATTATAGAATATTAACTAGAGTTCCCTGCACTATACAGTAGGTCCTTATTAGATATTTATTTTATATATTACCATCTGTATATGTTCATCCCAATATCCTATTTATCACATCCCCCCACGCTTCCTCTTTGGTAACCATAAATTTGAGTGACTCCATTTCTATTTTGTAAATAAGTTTACTTGTATCTTAAAAAAAGTAGATTCCACATATAAGTTGTATCATATGGTATTTGTCTTTCTCTGAGTTGCTTCACTTAGATAATCTCGAAGTCCATCTACATTGCTGCAAATGGCCTTATTTCATTTTTTACAGCCAAGTAATATTCCACTGTATACATATAAAAAGAGTGTTAAGAGGGAGAAAATGGCCCCATTTCATTATTTAAGGAGCAGCAGACCTTGGCCCCAGGTTCATCCTTTGTGATTACTCTTTTGCCCTGGAAGTGCCTTGGTCTCTGTTCTTTTCCAAGCCTAGTTCTCCCCATATCCTTCCAATAAAATCCCTTTTGCTCAAACTGGAGTAAGTTTCTGTCGGATGCAACACAAAGAACCTTAAGGCTTAACGATCCAAGTTTCAGGGTCTGGCCCATTTCCAGTCTTATGTCCCTCTGGCATATGCCATATTATATAGCTCAGTGGTTCTCAAACTTAAAAGAACACAGAAATCACCTGAAGGTGATAGGAATCTTGCTGTATTCCGGGTTTCTGGGCCCCACCCACAGTAGCTCAGCTCTGAGATCACTGGTCTAGGAACCACACTTTGGGAACCACTGCTCCCTCGATATTAGTATTGTCCCCTGTCTCCCGACACAGAGTCAATATTTATGTAAGGTGATCAACTGTTCCATTTTGCCCAAGACTGAAAATTTCCAGAGAAGTGGAACTTGCTAACACCAAGACAGTCCTGGGCAAACCTGAGGAAGAAGAATTGCAGCCAGAGTCACTCCTCTCACAGCCCACAAGAAACAGAAATGAAATGTAAACACTTTTAACTCCATGCCCATGAAGGGAGGACTTGGAAGGCTTGCTGAGCTGATGAGCCATCTTAAAAGCCTGCTTTTCATTGTATAGAAATTATTTTTTGATACAAATAATGGATAGGTTTTTATTTTAGACAAATTATACACAGAGACCAGTGTATTTATTTGTAATGCAACAGTTTAGAAAGCCATCACTCCTGAACGTGGTTCTTACCTTGGGATCACCAGAGGAGAACATGCTGATGTAACTGTTAACCATCTTAAACACAAAACCCCGGTCCATAAATGTAAAGCAGCGCTAAAAAAAAAATAAAATTCTAAATTCAGATGTTTTTATTTTAAGGATCATTAAAGATGTTAGAAAAGATGATTAAAAATATTGAAGCAAAATAACATTTGACTAAATGTGTTATACAATAAGTGTTTGAACAATATCTACAATATGCTTAAGCATTCATCCACATATGGCAGCTAATTAAAATACCAGATATAGGACACACACCAGAAAGCGACAAACCCATATTTATCATTTTTCATAAAACATCTCTTGGAGCTTTGCAATGAAATATTGCAAAGCCCTTTCCATTTAATTTAGAAATTTTCAGCTTTTACTTGTCTATTTTTTAACAACTTTGCTACATTTTATTATTTTTTTTAATATTTTTTTCCCACAGTTCCTTAGGTGAAGATCATTAACTGTACAACATCAGGTAGGAACCAGGGCAGCAGAGACACGTCAGGGAAACCTTTTGCAATCTCACTGGCCTCTTTCAATAGCTTTTCTTTTCAGCCAAGGCAGCTTGAATTTGAAGAGTGAAGGTAAGAGAGCCTGAGATTTCTCAGTGAGCTGTTCACTGTCTGTCTTACTCTGTCTTCACACTCTCGTAACTGTAATAAGGAGTCTTAAGCAGTAGGTAGGTTTAGAGGAGTCAGGTAAGCATTGCAAGTCGGCTCAGCATCTGCTCTCTATCCCAAAGACTAATAATGGCCATGTAACCAGTAACCAAGCTACAGGGGCCAGTTCCTGCACTGGAAAAGTGTGAAGTGGGCATGGACCATGTTTCCTATGCAGCATCTTGGGCACTATAGTAGATTAGTTTATGGAGGTCATCACTGCATGTGTGTTTCATTCTACCTATCCACAAGTGTTCAAGCATGTGTATCATGTGGGAAAATTTCTCAGCTGCTGTATCACTCAGTATAGAAGGCTTCTTTCTCATCCAGAGTCCAGTAGGGTCCATTGTAACGGTTTTGCCTTTCTTAGTCTCTCCTCAGTTTTACAAACAAATCTCTTTTCTCAGAAAGGACTGGACATAAAATCTTGTTATAGGCAGTATGCATGTGTGCATGCCAAGTTATTTCAGTCATGTCCAACTCTTTGCAACTCTATGGACTGTAGCCTGCCAGGACCAGAGTGGGTTCCCATGCCCTCCTCCACCTCCTTCAGGGGATCTTCCTGACCCAGGGATGGAGCCTGCGTCTCTTATATCTCCTGAACTGGCAGGCAAGTTCTTTGCTACTAGTGTCACCTGGAAAGCCCTATAGATAGTATACCAAGTGGAAGATTTCCCACAGAAATACGCCCATGTATAAACCTGAGTTATTTTCTCTAGTAACATGTTTCCAGTTGATTGGTCAATCATATGTTTGTGTTGTTTCCCTTTCCATTTTTCTATGTTGTATTCTGAGTTTTTTTTCATGTACCTATTCATTACATACTACTTCATTTATATTTTCATTTTCAGTATGAATTTAAGTTCTTTCAATCATCTCCCTTTAGAAAAAAAGTCAATGGCTCCCTGGTCCTCCTATCTCCGAATAGAACAGTGATTATGCTCTGGTAAAAGAGCATAATCACAGGTGCAGGAGATGTAGAGAACCTATCTTGGGAGGAGGGGAGGGAGAGGGTTTGATGTCCTCTCCACTATGCAGGCTTTCAGCAAGTGGGTCACATCCTCTAAGGTTCTCCATCTGCAGAAGGAAGTCCCAACTGGTGACCCTTGGAATATTCCCAATGTGGAGCTCTCTCCCTGGAGACCTCTGCTATTGCTGTCTCCTTCCTGCTGGGAAGAAGCTTGGGTCTCACTTTGCAGAGAGGAAGACCATCTTGTATAACTGTGGGTTTTAGAACCTTCTCAAGAAAGAGTGTGAGAACAGAAGCACTTTGGTGAAGTCACAGGGCACCTTAGTTAGACGGAGGAGGAATCTGTGAGTCCTGTCATTGAAAGGTTTCAGTTGCCACCTTGCAGAGGCTACTGTAGCTAATCTGGTGGCTTGCAAAGGAGACCAAACTCCACCACCCATGAATGGGGAAAATGAGGAGGAGGGTGCCTACCCTGGGGTCTAGGAAAACTCAGAGTTTCTTGAGATATAAGACCTTCTATGTGGTGAATTTGTCACCCTCTTTTCAAGGGACAGTGAGTGATAAGGGGGTCAGGTTGTTCCTAAGATACAAAGTCAGTAGAATCAGCCTTTTTCCTATAGAGAGCCCTCTTGCAGATCAAGCTTCATCAAAGGTGTCTCTCCTGTCATCAGAACTCTGTTTCTGGCCCATTTCAGCATCTTAACCCCCAAAGCAGAGGATTTTTCACTCATTGTTAAGGCATGGAGGGGCTTCTCTGCTTTTGTTTTAAAATAATTTATATTAACCTTCCATATTAGCAGAAAATGATTTATAGCAGGCTTTGGCAAACTATGTTCCATGAGCCAATACTGGCCCACTGTTTGTTCTTGTAAATAAAGTTTTATTGGAACACAGCTGTACCCATTTGTTTATATATTGTCATGGTGAACGTTCTATGAGAGTCTGCCAGCAATGCAGGAGACTGGGGTTCAATCCCTGGATCAGGAAGATACCCTGGAGAAGGAAATGGAAACCCACTGCAGTATTCTTGCCTGGAAAATCCCAAAAGATGGAGTAGCCAGGCAGGCTACACTCCATGGAGTTGCAAAGAGTTGGACACAACTGAGTGACTAACAGAGAATGGTCTATGAATGTTTCTAGCTGAGTTGGGTACTTGTCACAGAGACTGTATGGTCTGCAAAACTAAAAATATTTAACATTTGACCATTTACAGAAAAAAATTTGCAGATTGTTGATATAAAGAATAACATATCCTATCAGACTTTTTCTGTTTGGCTTAATAAAGGAAAATATTCTAAATTAAACATGCAAAGATATATTGTAATAAAAATTTATTTTGTTTCACAAACTGTGAGAACCAATGAGAATTTTATTCTATAGCTTGTTTAGCGATCAGTTATGAACTCAAATTACAAAACATGCAATCTGATACCCCTTTCCTTTTATATTTTACAAAACCACTTGGTCCATCTTTTTCTTTCTCATCTGGATTAACTTATGTACCACTTTACTAGGTATTAACTTTGTATTAATTAGGTATTAACTTATGTACCACTACAGCAACTTTTGCATAGATGGAGTTTCTAGAAAACATTTATTTATTTCACAAACACAGAACATTTAAGTGAAACAGAGTAAATATGAAGACTTTCCCTTTCATAGACTTGCGTATCCATTTTTTTATATTTAGAGAGAAATATCACAGATGTTTCTTTAAAATATTTTGCTACCAAGATCTGTCTTTTATATTAGATGATTGCCAAATGGTTTCCAAAAGCAAACTGAAATAAAGTAGAGAATAGTCAGAAGAGTGGGTAAAAAGACATGGCTGTCTAAGAAGGAAAATTAAAATCAGAATGAACTTTCCTTTGCTACCTCCTTGGTATTATATTTGCAAGAGATGAGTATCTAGACAGGTACTCTAAGGTAAACTAGAGTTGTGACCCAGATTGTCAGTGCAAAGAAAAATTACAGAAGCTACATTATGTAGCCTTGGATGCATTTGCATCCTATTTATATCTAGGAGAGAACAGTCTGAGAAATGGACAAGGTTTCTGGCCTAAGTGCTACAAAAACATTATTTTCCCATGATGTAAGATAAAGGAGGACACTTTCTCACCTAGGACACTTTCACGTGGTCACCCCGGAGGTACCACATTCTCCATTTTTGGAAAACAATCTTGGTACAACCAAGGTGTTATGATACTTCAATTGTTAAATTCTGATGACAACTAATTTACAGTATTACTAATGTAGAATTCAACAACCAAAAGAGACAAAAGCCATTTGAAACCTAAGTTAAGTGAATAACTATTTTCTGGGAATATAAAAGTTTTATAACGCCAACAGTGGGGCAGTGTTGAGCAGTTGAACACTCAAAGTTCATCAATTCACGTGCATTATGCCAAATGACTACATTCAATTTTACATCAAAAAATTATGTCATCTTCTTTTCTCTTTTCCTGTCCACATTCAAATGATTCATATAATAAACTTCACAAACATTTTAAAAAAGCTTTCTGTGTAAAACAAATTCCATCAAAACAATAATCTGAAAACAATGCTTGTACAATGGATTTTCATAATGTACAATATACTAAGTTAGTGTTTCCATTTATGAACTTCACAAAAGTACTGCTTTCAGTTTGCAGTTCATGGATCCATATATCTTACAGACTATATTTGTTTATCTACTGTCAATCCATGCTTTTTACCCACAGCTTTCACAAACCACTGGTGTCAGCATTAGCTGTATACTTTGTGTCTCTTTTCACCTTGGACATTCAGGTTAGACATTACTTTATGTACCACCAGAAGCTACTTTTGCATAAATGAGGTCCAAGGAAAGCATATTTTTTTCTAATAAGTACACAACATTTAAGCCAAAGAGGGTAGATAAGGGGTCTTTTCTCTTTTTAAGAGACTTGCTTATGCAACATTTTTTTTTTTTTTTTGCAATTTAGGGAAGAATAATCTGCAGATGTTTCTTAAATGCAGTGTGCTTACAAATTGGACAACATGTCATTTCTCCAAATTTTCTTTTTCATCAAGCATTTCAAATAAACTACTAGCATAGTAACAAACTTTATTCTCATAGGTCTTAAAATATGGTAGAAAATTAGAGTAAATTTTTTTTCTTTTTTATTCTCTTCTTCCTTAATCCTGACCACCTCTTTCTCTTTCTTGAAGCAAGAAACAAGAAACAATAAGATGTAAAACACTAAAGAAGAAAATTCAAGAGGTAAACATGCATAGTACATAATTTGAAATAGCATTTAATACATCAAAAAAGAAATTAGACTGAATTAAAATTCACTAATGACAACTTCAGCTAATTTTCCATCTATCTCCATAGTCTCTTTGTTACTAGTATTTATTGATAAGTTCCCACAATTATCCAGTATGTCTTGGTGTCTACTACAAAAAATCAAGAAAAGTGCCTTCATCAAGGTCACCAATAGTCAATAGTTGGGCAAAAGAAGGAACAGAAGAAGAAAAACATTATTCTTTCTGATTGGATGTATTATCTGCTGAGTGATACACCATCATTCTACATTAGCTATTTTTGGACTAAGCTCATTTTTCTTCCTAATTTAATATAAAGAAATATTGCTAAATATATATATGTATACACACATATATATATATTTCATTTTATGTTGCTCAATACTTTAATTGATCATTTTCCTCTTATGTGGCTAATTTATAATATTTTCATCATGTAAAAAAGAGCCTGGAAGTAAAACAACAAAAATGCTCAATTCCCCCAAATTTTTCCAAAGTGGCTATTTGGCATCATTGTGAGAGCTGTAGTCATGCCAAAATATCATTTCAAGGATAGAAAAGTCTGAGACAAAGATATTGCCTCAGGAGAAGTTCTCCTTTAAAAATCTCATTTTTCTCTTTAAAAATATTTAGAAGTCCTACATTTGGCAATATTCAAGCAAATACTTTTCTCTAACCTTGATTTTTGTTCTATAGGACTCCAAATTGGAAAAAAAAAAATCAGAAAGTATTCCAAGCAAGAAAGACATATAGATAAAAGCATTCATCTAATCATGGTAGTCTTGACTTTTCATCATAAATGAACCAGTGACTTAATTAACACGTAGAGTATCTCACAGCCACTACCACGCAGGCTTGAATAGAATCATGACTTTGTATAATGTACCTTAAGAAATCTGGCAACGCTGTGGTTTGCCCTTCTTGTTTCTTCAAGTGCGTCTTTGTTTTTCCAAATCATGTGGTCAGCGAGGCCCATGACAAGATTGTCCAATTGATTTTGAAAAGATTCAGGAAATCTTTGAGGCCGAGAAAGCTAAGGAAAGAATGGATCATGTCTTTACAATGAGATCTGTGAAATATTAAGCCTGGAAAACATAACCTGTAAGACTTACTTCATTCTATTTATTATCAGACAAAAAGTCTTTTTGGAAACGAAAGCAATAATGAAATTAGAAGCCATTTCAATTTCAAGGTCACGATTTCCACTTGTCAGTGAATTTTTCTTCTATTTTGGCCAATAAAGCTTTCACTTTTTCATTATAAATTATAACATATGTGAATTGCAAACTATTCAGACAACATAGAAATGTAACATTTTTCATAACTTCTTAATACCCCTTCTTGCCTTCTCAGGAAATAACTACTATAAATGGTTCAATGACTATTATTCTAGATTTTCTTCGATTCACAGTTTTCTAATTTAAAAATCAATTATTTTGATTTTTAAAACTATTAATAAGAGTCCTCCAATAAACAACTATAAACAACTATAAGAAATCAATGAACTGAATGAATGAAGAAATCAATGAACTGAATGAGTACAGATATTAGTTTGAAATGTTTTCTAAGTTGTGAGTACTAGCTAGCTTTTTTTATAAAAGTTATTTCAGTTTTATAAGAGACATAACTGACATACAAAATTATAACATATTTAAACCATACACTCTGGTGTTTTCATGCACATAAGTTGTGAAAGAATCCCCACCCCTCATCTAGTTAATTAAGCCATTCATCAGCTCACATACATATTTTTGGGAAGAGAACATTTAAGTTCTACTCTCCTAGCAAATTTCACTTATCAATACAGTGCTATCAACTATAATCAGCATGTTTTCCATTAGATGCTCAAACGCTATTCATCTTATAGATGGAAGTGTATACCGGCTGGTCTTAACTCAATGGTCTTAGCAAATGCCCATAGCAGGTGTCAGCGAGACTTCACTGTCAAAACACTTTTGCCATAAGATAAAAAATGGTTTGGCTGTGAGATTATACAACATACAGAGAAAAACTCTATAGGCGCCTAAAGAGTGCCCTCAGGTCCAGAAACCTACCCCTCCTATTTTAACTCGGAAAATTTCAGGCAGCTGAGTTTTCCCATTTCTGTCACTGCTTCGTGAATTTATAGAATTTCTTTGCACAAGATAGGTAAGATTCATTCACCTTTACAAGATGGCTTTAAAATTAGACTTGCAATTTCACTATAGACAGAAACAGACGATTGAGAGTCTGACTAACCTTTATTTTCTTAAATTCTAAGCATTCAACCTTCCATGATGCAAGAATAAAAACCATGGAGGCTAAAATTACAGAAACTGCATAGCACAAACACTGATTAACTACAGAATGCTGCAGTTGACTTCAGCTGGCTTTTTTTTCTTAGCCATTTTTACCAGGAAATGACTGTCACTTTGAGAATCTCATGGTTACTCTCTGTATATATTCAAAGTTTACTACTGAAATAAAATTATATTGACAACAAATAAACCTAATGGATTTAACTGCATACATCATTTTTCATTCTGCTCCATATACCTTGAGAAATAAGGTAAATGATTCACCTGTGAAAGCAACAATCAGGTTTTAGATAATCAAAGCACAATTGTCGTTTTCCTCTTTTCGCTGTGTTAGTCCTCTAAGAGACATTAAACACGTCAGTGCCAACATTTTCTTCACAGGGACATGAATTAACATCTTGGACCTTGATAGTTCCTCTGTTCCTCACCCCCACCTTTTTTTGCCTTCCTTTCAAATTCCCCTTGAAGCCTACTCCCACTCTTAACCCCAAGACAGGCTGATTAGTATCCACAGATAACATTTTTATTTTTTAATTTAATTTTTTTTGGTTGTGCCACATGGCTTGTAGGATCTTAGTTCCCCAACTCGGGACAGAACCTTGTCCCCAGCAGTGAAAAGTGCCAAGTCCTAACCACTAGACCACCAGGGAATTTCCAATGAGTAATATTTTAAATTCTTCTCCAGAAGTCTATCCCCAGGGCTTGAGAGGGGAGAACTGGTGAGCTAGGGACGGTGGGCTTTCTGTCTCAAGAAGGCGAGGAAGGCAGTGAGGTGACAGGAAGGATTCTTTACCACTAGCATCACCTGGGGAGCCCTAATAAATAGGAATTTTGTTTGGACAAGAAAGCAGGGGTCTCAGGGAGGCTCTACCTGCCTCTCAGAGGACCAGACTAGAGGATATGACTTCCTCAAATCTTCCTGACAGTGGAATTTTTTTTTTTTTAATAACGAAGAAAGCCATTCACTTCACAATTTAAAAAAAATAAGAAAATGCAAATAGCTTGGGAGATGCTTATTGAAAAAGTTTTTAATTCAAATGATGGCGTCTGGTCTTCTCCTAATGTGATGAATAGAGATGGTTAGAACATTAGATTGTCATGTGCCCTTGGAAGAAAACTGGGTGTGGCAGCTGCTCCTGAAGAGGGTAATGAAAAGGGAACTGGACTCAGTGAATGTGAACTGCTGTCCATGAGAAGTTCTATTCTAAGGTTGTTGATAGGATATCTGTAACCTATCGATTCGAACAGATATATTACTAGTGGGAACTGAAAGATTTTAGTCCAATCTGTTCTTTTTACAGATGGGAAAGCAGGCTGTGAGATGTTCAGTGTCTTTTTTATCATCTAACATGTTAATGGCAGAGCAAGGATTATAATGCTGAGGTGTCCTGATATAGCTTAACAACAGAGACACAGGAATCATCCTTATCTTCATGTTAGATTTTCTCTTGCTCCCAGTGGGAGGCTGTTATCTCTGGAAGTAGAAGAGCAGACACAGCTGAAAAGAAAACATAGGACTTAAGAATTCAGAATTCTGGAATACTAGAGATGATTAGATGTGTAGCCAGGGCAGGTCTCTCATGCTATGTCAAGACAATGTTTGGAAAGACCTGAGGGCTGGAGGTGTGGATGGGGTGTATGGATGGAAAACCCAAGGATGGTGGCTCTGCAGAGCCCCCTGAATCCTCAGTGCCCCATCCCTCCCTATTAAGAGGCAACACTTCTCGCATGTGGGAAGACACTGCAAAAGCCTGCAAGGCAACAGGCAGAACCTTTGGGAGCTGTCCTTCCTCCTCTCCTGAAGCCCCGGCCATTAATTGGGGTCAAACCCCAGCTTAACTCAGCTGTGAACCTGCTCAGCATAATAAGGTAAGGAAGCGTGTACACCCCAAGGAGTTAATAAGATTTAGCTAGCATGTACCAGGTATGGTTTCCCAGGTGGTGGTAGTTGTAAAGAACTCGCCTGCCTATGCAGGAGAAGCAAGAGATTTGGCTCTGATCCCTGGGTCAGGGAGAAGATCACCTGGCGGGGGAAATAGCAACCCACTCCAGTATCCTTGCCTGGAAAATTCCATGGGCAGAGGAGAACGGTGGGCTACAGATCATGGGGCTGCAAAGAGCTGGACACAACTGACCAACTCAAACAGCACAGCATGTACTAGCAAGGGTCACGTGGGAGTGCCACTGAGACAACGTTGAGGGTGTTTGATCAACACGGCCAGAATGAAAGAGTGGGCAAGTTCAAATTCATTGACTTGAGGGCACTTTGTCAGGACGTGGGCTTAAACAAGAATTCAGGGGATGGACCACTCACTGTTAGGTGGCCCTTAAGAGTCCTGGAGATGGCTCATTTTAAGCAGGATGAAAAATACCTGGGTTGCCCTGGCAGATGATAGAGGAAGGAATAAAAAGGCAGAGGGAGGTGGACATATAGGAATGGAAATATGCGCCCAGAAGACCCACTATGCACCAAAGCCATCCAGAAGGTACTGGGGACTGACATTCCTAAGACATTCAGTGGGATCTCCCCTGTTCAGGTGGGAGAGACAAATACAGTGTTGGCTCACTAACAGCCATGAGGATGATGGTCACCTATATACAGAGGTCACGTGATTGCACCTAATCTCCAGGGCTGTGATGATCAAGACAAATGGCAAGTCTGGAGCTCAGCCAAGGGGGCTTGACTCTCAGGAAGCTTTAGGGCTGGTTAATGATGTGTGGAATCCTTAGGGACAAGACAGGTAGCAGGCAACAATGGCATTGCTTCATATCCACCAATAAGACAAGAATGGACCATCAGAAGACAAGGATCTCTGTTCCAACAAATAACCATGACTCTTCCATCTTCCTGAACCTGAGTCAGTTCTTAAATATGGTACATGCTGGCTGAAGAGGAGGCAGGGTCCCTAAAGAAAGTGTCCTGCAGCTTGAGTAACTGTTGAATGTAATGATTCTAAAGTCCTTCTCCAAAGGACTCTGTAGGTTTTGGCCTTGGACACTGCCCCTCCCCCACCAAGAGTATAAATGAAGTATAAATATACTCATATAAACAAGTATAAATATTGCTATTCACTACCATCCCCACCCCATGCAATACTGTTCTGATTTAGTCTCCCAGTAAAGGAGGCATAGTGTCTGCAGTTTCTGCTTGGTCTTACCCACAAAGAGAACAGAGAGAAATATGTGTGGAACTCAGGGAATCCACTTGGGAGCTTCTTGATCTTCCTCACCCAATTGTAACTACAAATGGTCTGAGTAGAGTAGAGTTTGTTTTCCAAAGGCTGAGACCACTCTGGACCTCTTTGGAATGAGTGTTTGGGCCACAACACAGGTAAGTGATAGAGACCTTCAGAGCTGCCGGCTGAGGGTGAGGGGAATCTAGAATGGATGGCAGAGGAGGGGGGCAATGAGAACCACATACGGTCCTGAGGCCAGCCATAGTAACAGGCTGCTGCTGCTGCTGCTGCTAAGTCACTTCAGTTGTGTCTCACTCTGTGTGACCCCATAGACCGCAGCCCACCAGGCTCCCCCGTCCCTGGGATTCTCCAGGCAAGAGTACTGGAGTGGGTTGCCATTTCCTTCTCCAACGCATGAAAGTGAAAAGTGAAAGTGAAGTCGCTCAGTCGTGTCTGACTCTTTGCGACCCCATGGACTGTAGCCCACCAGGCCCCTCCATCCATGGGATTTTCCAGGCAAGAGCACTGGAGTGGGTTGCCATTTCCTTCTCCAACGCATGAAAGTGAAAAGTGAAAGTGAAGTCGCTCAGTCGTGCCGGACTCTTTGCGACCCCACGGACTGTAGCCCACCAGGCCCCTCCATCCATGGGATTTTCCAGGCAAGAGTACTGGAGTGGGTTGCCATTTCCTTCTCCATAGTAACAGGTTACAGTTAATCAAATCCCACTAACCTCCATTTTTCAGGAAGAGAGGCCCAGGGAAGCTATGGAGGGGCAGAATCAGAGACATTTGCAAAATGTAGTGTAACCTGTGGACCGTGGACCACAGGCGGCAGCCAAGGATATGCACAGCTCAGATATTCCTCTGAGACAAAATCTGCTGTGATGAATGAAACGCTTATGGAGTTTGGGGGATGCACTCAAGAGACCATGCCAAGGTCACCAAGGTCACATTCTCCCTGGCTGCTCCAAGTTTGCAGAGGTACCAGAGTCAGATCATCTGCCCAATGCAGGACTTTTCTCAAGAACATTCTTTGCTCTCAGACAGCCCATTGGTCCAGCTAAAACTTTCTCACTGCGAGCCTCTTTCCAGCCAGTCCTCCTTCCTTTGCCATCTCCTTTCACAGGCATCAGACTTCTCTAGTCCTTTGGCCTGTCCTTTTATCCTTTACAGTCATTTTGCTTTTCTAACTTTGTCCTGCCATCTGCTTCTGAAGGACATGTACTGACACAACAATCATGTCTCCCACATAGAAAGCAATGAGCAGGGACTTCCCTGGTGGTCCAGTGGCTAAGACTTCGCTTTCCAAGGCAAGGTGGGTGGGTTCAATCCCTGACTGGGGGACTAAGGGGTTTTTCTGATGGCTCAGTCAGTAAAGAATCTGCCTGCAACGCAGGAGATCCAGGCTCAATCCCTGGGTCGAGAAGATCCCCTGGAGAAGGGAATGGCCACCCACTCCAGTATTCTTGCCTGGAGAATTCCATGGACACAGGAGTCTGGCAGGCTACACTCCATGGGGTCGCAAAGAATTGGACAAGACTGAGTGACTAACTCTCTCTCTGGGGGAAGCTAAGATCCCACATGCCTTGCTACCGAAAAACTAAAACATAAAACAGAAGTAATATTGTAACAAATTCCATAAAGACTTTAAAAATGGTCCACATAAAAAAATTCTTAAAGCAGTGAGCATACATCAGTAAGGTTTATAAAACAAATAAAAATGGAACTAATAAAAGAATATTCATTATTAAGAGAATATTCATGAGCATAATTGTTAGATGCTATTTTATTACATGTGATCTTACCTGAATTTTATTTGTGTCAATCAAGTGCTGTGCCATGGATTTTAGAATAATTGCAAAGAAGAACCAGGAATGCTGTTAGGAAAAGAAAAGACAACCAGAAATTTATTATCTTATGGCAAAGTAATGATAATTCTGTTCTTTACAACATGTGGTATTACAAAATCTTTATCTTAGAATGTATTCTTTGCAATTAAATGCATCAGAGCAATAATATAGTCTCCATTATGTTAGGATCATCCTTAGCAAAGTTCTAAAGGGAAATGTAAATGCCAGATATTTCTGTTTCCCAGTCATCTCAAAGACTGTATAAAACAAGACACTGGCTTACTTGACATGGCTGGTTAGACAGTCATCTTAGGAAATACTTATTCATGGGGTGTTCTACCTGTTTTCCTTAAGCAAAAGTAAATGTTGTAGCAGGCCCACCCTTAACATTACCATGGGTAGAGGCAAGAGTAAAAACAGAAGCTGTATTTGTATGTGTGTAAGTATTTAAAAGCTAACAGAGTGTTAAATAAAGTATGTTGGATCTTCCTACCTTGACAAACACAACTTCATGAGAGTTTGGAATACTGTACCTGAATGTGGGAGCACAGGAAGAGACGACCCTGGCCCGCCCCTTCCTCTCATCCGTGGCTCTGCCCTGCCCTGAGGGACCTGGTGTGACTGTCCAGCCTGCAAGCCCAAGTGCGGCCCACAGACCAGTCCCTCTCTCCCACCTGATGCTGCTCCTGCCTTGGGTCTGGGGCTACCCTCAGGCAACAGGAGTTTTCCTCTTTAGTACGGACTTACAAAGAGGTGTAAGGTGGTCCAGGAATAAACCTACAAGCTCCAAAGGTGGGGGCTCCTAGGAATCCTTATAGTTCCAGGCGGCATTGCTTTCGACTACCCTCACACTTTGTCTCATGCGAAGGGGTGAACTTGGAGAAGGCCAAAGAATACCCAGGGCTTCCCAGGTGGTGCTAGTGGTAAAGAACTTGTCCGCCAATTCAGGAGACACAAGAGATGTGGGTTTGCTCCCTGGGTTGGGAAGAGCCTCTGGAGTAGGAAATGGTACCCCACTCCAGTATTCTTGCCCGGAAAACTCCATGGGCAGATGGCCCTGGTGGGCTACAGTCCATGGGGTCACAGAGGGTCAGACACAATTGAGCACACACACACAATTGAGCAAAGAATACCCAAGGATGCTAGGTAGGCAGCCTTCTCCAGTGACCCTGTCTCTAGCCTCACCCCGCTACAGTCTATTCTCTATGCAGTCATCAGAGAGATCCTTTTGAACCAAGGTCAGCTCAAGTCACTTCTCCCTTCAAAGGTCTCTCATGGCTCCCAGTTTCTCTCCCAGCGGAAGCCAAAGCCCTTGCGATGGCCCACAGGCCTTACGCTACCAGCCTAACCTCCGGGTGCCTCTCTGACTTCACCTTACCTCCTCTCTCTGCTTACGTGGCTCCAGCCACACTGGCCTTCCTGCCGTCCTTTAGGCATGTCCACCAGGGGTGCTGCTCCCTTACGACATTATACAGTTCTTCGCCTCAATCTTTATTTTCTTTAATTGAAATACAGTTGACTTAACAATATTATGTAAGCCTCAGGTGTACAAAATAATGATTCAATATTTTTATGGATTGCACTCCTCATAAGGTTATTATAAAACACTGGCAACATACCCTGTGCTGTTCATTACATTGCTATAGCTTATTTTATACCTAGCAGTTTGTACCTCTTAATCCCCTTCACTTATTTTGCCCCTCCCCTCACACCTCTCCCCTCTGATAACCACTAGTTCGTTCTCTGTATCACTAAGTCTGTTTCTGTTTTGTTGTACTCACTTGTTAGCTTTATTTTTTAGATTATACATATAAGTGAAATAAATTTTGCTATTTGTGACATCATGGATGGACCTGGAGGGCATTACGTGCTTAGTGAAATAAGTCAAAGAAAGACAAATACTGTATGTGTTCCCCTCTCCCTTTAATGTCCTACCCTAAACATCTCCAGCTCCCTCACCTCATTCACATGTTTTGCAGAGGTCTTTCCTTCCCCACAAGCTCGATCCTGACCATTCTATTTAAAACTGTAAACCTGGCTCTGCCTGCAGGGCTCCCCATCCCCTTACCTGCCTGATATTTCCTTTTCCCATGCTACTTCTCACCGCTGAACATGCAATTTTTTCCCAACATTTTCAAAAACCTCACAAGACTTTATTTTTATTTTTTTTTAATCTTTAGGCCACACTGCCTGGCATATGGGATTTTTTTAATTGATTTTTTAATTTTAACTTTTAAATTTATTTTTTTATTTTAAAACAAAAAAATTAGAATTGCTTTACAATGTTGTGTTGAATCAGCTGTTTGTATACATACACTGCCTCCCTCTTGAATCTCCCTTTCCCCCCAAGCCCCCACCCCATCCCTCCTCTCTAGGTCATCACAGAGCATCAGGCTGAGCTTCCTGTGTCACAGAGCAGCTTCCCACTAGCTACCTGTTTCACACACGGTAGTGTATATATATCAACATGACTCCTGCAATTCATCTCAACCTCTCCTTCCCACACGTGGGATCTTAATTTCCCGATCAGGGATTGAACCTGAGTCCCCTGCATTGGCGACGTGGAGTCTTAACCACTGGACAGCCAGGGAAGCCCCTGAACATGCAATTTAATTAACTTTGCTATTATGTGGGTCATTTATTGTTTTTTATCTTGTAGTACTGTGTAAGCTTCCCAAAGGCAGAGATCTTTATTCTACTCTCTAAATGTATACCAAGTGCCAAGGATGGTGAGGATGGTGTTTGTTGCAATGGAAGACACTTGGAACATATTTGCTGGATAAATTGAATGAATATACTCATACAGCTAATTTAAACTTAAACAAACCACTTGACCTAGACAAATTTGATTTTAGTGAAATGCTGATGCTTATTGATCCAGCCTCAGCCCTCCCTAGCTACTTACTCATCAATCATCTATCTGTCAAGTCATGATAGATAATTAATTTAGCAGGGGACTACATTCACCAAGTCTATAATAACAGAGTTATATCTTTATAAGCTTCTCACCATCTTTTATGTTACTACAAATGCATGTGTTGCAACTTTTGGGGGTCAAAGAGTAGCTATTTCTCTGCCTCCTCTATGCTGTCAGTCTATTCATTAATACACCATTAACCCTTTTTTGGTATTTTTCCTCTTACTGTGCCTAAAAACCCCATAAACTTAATTTTGGGTACACTTAGTACTTTTGAATGTTTTAGGTCATTCTTAAGAGTCATTCATTTTGCCTTTAGGCCAAAGGACCTGAGTTCATTCTACTTTTAAAGATGATCTGTTCTCTTAACATTGGAGGAGCATGGCAACCCACTCCAGTATTCTTGCTGGAGGAATCCCATGGACAGAGGAGCCTGGTGGGCTACAGTCCATGGGGTCACATGCTACTGTTCCAACATGAAGCTTATACCAGAAACCGTAAGAGAAATGATCTATAAAAATCAATGAATCCTATCATCTTCAGAGTTGAGTGTAAGCCATCCCAATGAAAGCCCATCTTTAAATTCTTTACCTTCAGGACATGCTTGACTGTTGTGGAGTCATTTGATTGCAAAAGACCAGTCATATTTCTAACCAGTTCTTCATGTATAGTTCTCTCCTTGTATGCCGTAGTCTTGAACACAAACTGAAGAAAATCCAAACAGTGAAAAAAAGTTAAATACTTAAACACAAAGGGTCAAAAATTATGTTCCATGAATAACTCATGTCTCAAAATTATCTGCTCATGCCAGATTTTGTCATGAAATAAATGAAGGCCCATTGGTAAGTGTAGTACACACCTGATCCTACTGAGGGCTTTATACAGGTAGAGCCTTGCTCACCTAAGCTCTCCTTGAAACACTCTTAGTAGAAATCAAAAAGAAGAGCAGAGAGCAATTTAGCGGGTTCAAGGAAACATGGAGGGCTTTGACCCACCTACTTAGGGCACATTTCCCCTTCTCCTTCCTTCCACTGGCAACAGGTGGGTGGCATGGTAGCATTTCTTCATCCTGAAAGGGTAGAGCACCCACTCAAATAGCCAAGTGGGGAAACTGGTGCCTTCCAGAGGCCAGTAGGAGAGTTGCCCACAAGCCCAGGATCCACTACCATCTCGTGCTGAGACACGGCAACCAAGAGGTTCATAAACATTGGCCGTCAGTAAGATAACAAATGCTGCTGGCTTTTTCCTTAAAAGATTGGTTGTTGGCACAGTGAGTGCATGTCATGGTTTAGTTTTTCATATTTCTTCATACATTTTAAGTATCAATTCATGCACATGTATTTAAAATACAAAATGCTTATAATGTTTTACTTATGGGTTGGGTTTGCCTCAAGGAAGGTCATTTCTTTATAATATTCACAGTTTGGACTTCACTATAGTCAAGGGTGAAGACAGACAAGAAGCAAAGCAGAGGCACTTCGCATTTGGGTCTATAGTTATGTCTTTGACTTCATAGCACATTGATGCCTAAATCTCCTGAGGCGTCTGACTTCTCCAAGCTCATCCAAAAGGAGAAATATAAGACTAAGAGATGCATGAAACTAGCTAAAATCAAGAGTAGTACAATTTTCCCCCTCATGGATTATGAGTCCTACGAGGGTAATGTAATCAACTATCTAATCCCATGCACAGTAACTTAGCTCCAAGGGCATTTTGACTAGCTCTGAAATTTTTAAAAATTTTGGCTAAACCATGTCAATCCCATGAATAGCTATAAACGATGGTATCTAATTAGATCGACTTTAGACATACATCTTTGAAAAAGACATGGTGGGTGTATGTGTGCATTTTGGATATTGTAGATGGAGTGAGTTAGCAGCATTTAGCACCACTGAACTTGAAATGGTGTTTAGTATATTTCTGAATAAGTATGAACCAAATCAACTATCACACTTGTAAGGACATCAAAGCAGGAATTGACCTCAGTTTTCATTAAACTCTTAGGTGTGGAGCTTAATATTATTGTATATGTTAGAAAATAATTTTTTTCCACTAAGGGCGAAAAAAAAATCAGACTCCTTGGTCACGGTCAGGCTGTCAGCCATGTACTATAGCAGGAGTCAAATCACAGAGTCAGATAGCTGGGTGTTTATCTCATCCACCCATCTCACTTCACAGAGAGGGAATGTGAAGTTCAGACAGGCTGATCACTCCGAGTTAACTATCTAACCCTAACTAGAATCTAGTTTTTCATTTTCTACTTTAGTGCTTTTTTCAGGATAAATTTTAGTTGGTTATATGTATTTGTCTGTCTTTGTTTTAGACATATGAAATTATGTTACGAAACATCTTTAGGAATTGTCATCAGCTTGAAAATCCACGTAGGTGTATTTCTAGATTTAAAACACTGACAAAACGTGGTCCACTGGAGAAAACAAAGCAAACTCAATAAGTATCTTCCTACATCAGAAAATCAAATGGTCTCGTCAGGATTTTTTAAATATCCTGGTTAAAAATAAAGACTGCTCCAGGAAGCACTGCCAGGACACTGCTCCAAGAGCATTACAGATTGCTTCTATGAGCTGATATAAGGCTCTCATCAGGAACTAACCTCGGCTGTCACAAAAATAGTCACATCAGTGGGTTATAAACACAATTTTTGGTAATTCTACTGGAACAAGGTACTTAATACGTGTGTTGAAAAGGAGATGACTTTGTATGATAGAGATTGGGGTATTCTTTTCCTTTCATGCCCTCTGGAGCTTGAAATGGAAAATTGGGGTAAGGGTTGAGAGAATGAAAATTCTATAGATGATTCTGTTGAACAGTAAATTCATCAATACCCTATAAAAAGAAGCTATGCCTCTTAGAGAGCCAACTAAAAAGGCATTTGTAGGTGGAACTGGCCTTTGGCAATTGAATTGTAGATCTTATTGGGTAAAATCATACCATAGGGAAATTATTGTGAAATTACTATTTTTTGTATATGGGCTATTTTAAGGGCACACACTCATACTTAGATATTTGGGAAGACATTTAATTTTTCTGACAGATAGAAAACATGTTAATATAAAACTGTAATGGGAGTAATTCTTCACTGATAATATCCCAGAGGGGTTCACTCCAGAATAAAATTTCTAGTTATTTCTTGCTGTCGCAAAATTTTAGCACAAAAGACCCCAAATTCTTCTCTGGTTGCCTTTTCAGACATCTAAACTACATGGGTGTATGTCTACCTATATATATTCATGGAATAGGTTCTTTTAATTAACAAGTTCCATGTCTCTAAAAGAGATAATCTATGCATAAAAGTTGAAATTTAGGTCCTTTATATATATAAAGGAATATAAGATACTTTTATTTATTTCTGGATGGGTTTTTTCTTTTCCGTCAAGAAGATGACCTTTAGGCTGGAACTGTAATGTGCAAACATCATCACAAGTTCACTGGCATAAATTCACAGGCCAACTGAAAATGAGAATATAAACATGTCCAAGTGAACATCTGACGAGGGCCACTGGAGGAAGCAGTGAACACTGATGGGATGGGCTGGTGGTTCATGCCGGAGGAGAAAGGACTTAACATACCAGAAGCAGCTACAAATATACAGTAACTGGGAAAATGAAATAATGCCTGAGAAGACAATAAAAAGAGCTAAGAAAACATTACAGAAGAAACACAGCGCATTCAACAAACCAACAGGAAACGTCTTCCTTAAGTTTACAGAGGAATTTCATTTATTTCTAATGTTGATTTCAAAAGACCGTACGTTCATTTTCTCCTCCTCCTCTTTCTTTGCTTGTTCTCCCCATATAAATATTCATTTGCACATGTATGCATTATTTATACATTGAAACGATACATTAAGCCCATCAATGCAAAAAGAAGGAGTTCTAAGTCACTAAAGGGAAAGTTCAATATGACTGCGGTGGGCACCATTCAGCTAAAGAGGGGAACTTCCCACTTATTGCAGACAGGAAATGAGACAAGCCACACAGCACAAGGGGATATGACCAATGCCCAAGTGGCAATTTCGTACCTTAATGTAGGACTGGACAGAGTGGTCCAGTTGCTCCTCATGGCACTTGGCCACGATGTCGGTCAGAACCCTGGAAAAGCAAAGCTGTTGAGTGGCCTTTCTGGAGAAGGCAGTAAAATACTGCTTGGTTTGTCACTGAAGTGCTTGGTAAGCTAGGCACTTAGTCATTACTGGATGAATGAATGAACCAACTTCAAACTCAGTACTGGGTGTTCAGTATCTATAACCTCTATTAGCCATTTCCAACCTTGAAATCTCTAAACACTAAGATAAAAGTAATGTCTTATGGCTGAAATATTACGGTGGAGACATTTTTGCCCAAGTTGTGTATGCTATTACAGTTTGAGTCTGCTGACCCTGTCTTTTTGGAAAAGGAATTATTTTTAGTACCTTATTAAAACTTAAGATCTTTAACCTCTAAGTATCACATTCTGTTTTTAAAGAGCTTGTCTTCCAACTTAGGGGTGTTATACACGTGCTTTTGGAAAAAGTATTTCGTTTGAGATGTAAATTTTTGGGTTTTACTCTTTAGCTGGGTTAGAGTCCAGTAGCAATGGTGGTACAGGTTGATTTCTTCACATTAATACCTGCAGTTACTCCATGGCTGTAGTGCTTAGGAATATCTCAGAATTTTAACAGGTCTATCTGCTGCAATATTTAGGAGTTTTGCCAACAGATGCATATACTCATGCTGAAAAGAGCACAACCTGAAGGCACAGTTGGGGACTTCTAACCTGGCTCCAGAACTGGCTGGTGATAGAAATGTTAGAGATGTTTTACTCTTCTAGCTTCAGAGCTTTACTTTAAAAATGATGCTATGCTTAGTCACTCAGTCGTGTCCAACTCTTTGCGACCCCATGGACTGTAGCCCGCCAGGCTCCTCTGTCCATGGGGATTCTCCAGGCAAGAATGCTGGAGTGGGTTGCCATTTCCTTCTCCAGGAGATCTTCCCAACCCAGGGATCAAATCCGGGTCTCCCACACTGCAGGCTGATTCTTTACCATCTGAGCCATCTGGGAAGCCCAGGAATACTGGAGTCGGTAGCCTATCCCTTCTCCAGGGGATCTTCCCAACCCAGGAATCGAACCAGGGTCTCCTGCATTGCAGGTGGATTCTCAACCAGCTGAGTTATGGCTGTCTGTCTGAAAAAGGCTAATAATATGCATGGGAGTTATGAAGGTACTAGAGACATTTCAATGTCAAGAGTAATTTTTTCCCAGAATGCTGTGACTAATATTTTTTTAAAAAATGAACTTTAGGAATATATGATTCAATAATTAATTGAAAACCCTATCTCTAGAAGGAGAAGATTGTAATTTGCTGAAGCCACCAGACAGATTAGTAATGTTGAAAGAACGTAGTGAAGGCAATTTAAAGCGAGAACAGTGAAAGAAAAATTGAACATATAAAGAAAAATAAGATCTAGTGGGGAAAAAAATGGTACAGCTACTCTGGAAAATAACTCGGTATGTTCTTAAAACCAGCACATATGGGACTTCCCGGTGTCTCAGTGGCTAGGGCTCTGAGCTCCAAATGCAGAGGGCCTGAGTTCAATCCCTGGGCAGGGAACTAGATCCTACATGCTGCAACTAAGAGTACGCATGCCACAACTAAACATCCTGCATGCTGTAACAAAGACTAAAGATCCTGTGTGTCGCAACTAAGACTCAATAAATAAATAAATATGAAAAAAAAACCAATGCATATAACTACCATACGACCTAGCAACTGTTCATTTTAGAGAAGTGGAAACTTATGTTCACCTCAAATCTACCAAAAACTGGAAACAATCCAGCTATCGTTCAACAGGTTTGTTTTAAACATATTATGATATGGAATACTACTCACATAAAAAGGAAAGAACTATTGATTGATGTAACAATCTGGATGAATCTCCAGAGAGTTATGCTGAGTGAAAAAAGCCAATTCCCAAAGGTTACACACTGTCATATAATTCCACATATGTACGTGTGTGCATGCTCAGTCATGCCCAACTCTTTGCAACCCCAAGGGCTGTAGCCCCCCAGGCTCTCTCAAGAGTGAGACATACTTAACTTTGAGATATGTGTTCAAACAAAATGTAAGCATACACAGCTATGTAGCCACTCAGTTATAATTAAAGTTGCTTGTCATCACAGCTTATAAAATCTCTTCTCCCAAGGCTTTGCTATGAATACCTGGTCACAGTGGTGCTTATTTCATCTTCTTCATTCTGTACCAGAACCTTGAAGAGCTGATTCAAGATTATAGGCAGAAAACTCATGATTGCATGAATCTTTTCCACATTCAGTAAGTTCTGTTAAATTGGCAAGACAAAAAAAAAAGTCATTGATTAAAGCACATTCGACTGATGTTCATCAGGACTTGAATATGAATACAGTAGTTCACCTTCGTTTGGCTTTATTTTTCATGGCATTTCTCATGACATACAGGCATGAGGGTAAATGTTGCAAAGACTCTACATCTAATTAACTAATTTAGAGTCAATTGACTCTGATTTTTCAATCATTTTTATTTTGGAGAAACTGATCTTTGCTTACTCTTCCATTAAACAGACACCTTTTAGGAACTGTGAAATAAAATAATTTCCTCTTGGAATTGATAAGGTGTTTAAAAATCTTCAAGAATAATCACCCTGAAGCTTGCTACTCAATGCAAAATGTAAAGGTCGGTTTTGCCCATTTCCATCCTGGAGACCACTGCAACTATTTGCATGTCATGTTACCTTACAAGAGAGGACGAAATTCGAGGTAGGTGACTGAGACATATCTTTCTCTCTTTTCTGGCATTGTTGGAAAAATGCGTTCACATGTGGATCCTGAAACAGCAAAAAAAGTATTGATTTTTTTGATGACACATAAGCTGTGTAATAATCAAGGTGATGGGAGGTCAGTCCTTCTGCAGGACAGATGACTTGATGTGAGGTGCTTTACCAAAAGGCAGAGAGACAGACCTCTCATTTTCATGGATGTTCTGGCACACCGAGGGCTTGACCTGAACCACAAAGTCTGCTCTCCTTCCTATTTCCTTCTCAGAGATTTGTTTCCTTCTGGGCCACATGACAATGGCTAGAGAATTCCTTCTCTTGGCTCTGTTCCTCTTCCTTTCCTCCCTTTTTTCTTTCTTTCTTAAATTGCCTTCTATCATCTTCCTGTTTCTGCTTCTTCCACAGACTTCTATCATTTATTCTTACGTATTCTTTAATACACAAGAATGGGTACAGTTTAATATGCACAGGGATATTTTCAGACTTAAAATGTCAGTGTTAATAAAAAATGAGGAAGTCCACCTGCCATCGTGAAATAAAAGTTGACTCCTGTCCTTTGTTATGGGCAGAATTGTGTCTCTTCAAAAATCCATGTGTTGAAGTTCCAACTCCCAGTACCTCAGGTTGTAACCAAATTTGAAAATAAGGCCCCTAAAGAGGTAATTATGGTAGTTAAGTGAAAAGTGAAAGTGAAGTTGCTCAGTCGTGTCCAACTCTGCAACCCCATGGACTGTAGCCCACCACACTCCTCCGTCCACGGAACTATGGTAGTTAGTGTGGTCCTAATCCTGAATATGACTGATGTCTTTATAGAAGAGCAAACTTGGATATTCACACGCAGAGGAAAGCCAAGGAGGGAGGCTTTGGAAGAAGACAACACTGCTGACACCTTGATCTCAGACGACCAGCCTCTACAATTGTGAGAAAATATACTTCAGTTGCTTAAGCAACCCCGTCTGTGGTATTTTCTAATGGCAGCTGGAGCAAACCAATCTGTCCTTTAATGCTGTTTCCTGAAGCAAATGTCACATGGGAAATGCTGGAGGTCAAAGTTACATATTCAGGAAGCGGGATACAGAGTCCCTGGAGGCTCACATGGCGAAGAATCTGCCTGTAATGCTGGAGACCCAGGTTCAATCCCTGGGTCAGGAAGATCCCTTGGAGGAGGGAATGGCCACCCACTCCAGTATTCTTGCCTGGAGAATACCACGGACGGAGGAGCCTGGCGGGCTACAGTCTGTGGGGTCGCAGAGAGTCAGACATGACTGAGCAACTAGCACTTTGACTTTTCACACTTCTGGGTGCTTCTCTGGCATTTGTCAGCTCTAGAGGGGCATCTGTGGTTTGTGTGTATGTAAGTAATATTTTCAGTTTCACGTTATTTGTCAGATCCTCAGCAGGAACGGAGGACAGAGCTCTGGGCAAGGAAAACCCACACCCTTCCTCTGGTCCTTCCATAATGCCCCTGAGATGGATACTACACCATGGTTTCCACACATACCTATTTTCTCACAATTAGACAAGTGCTTCAAAGGAAAACGGGGTGTCAGAGGGTGTGTGATAAGATGATACAGCATATCCGAGGGGTCAGCAGACAGAGAAGACTTCTTTGAGGAGATGATATTTGAACCAAGATTTGAAGGATGGACAGGAGCTGAAAGACTGATGAGGGGAGGGGAGGCAGAGAGAGAGATAGCTTTCCTGGCTGAGGAAAGGCAGAGTGTCACAAAATCCCTGTGTCCTGGAGGAATGAAGCAGACAGAGGGCAGAGCGCATGAGAGGGCCTTGGGTCTTCGAAAACTGATGTAACTACCGCTATGGAGGAAGGAAGATGGTATCTCCCAGGGCGACGAGTGTGTGGGCAGTGGAAGCTGATGTAGAGAAAGGTAAGCAACGGTGAGTCACAGAGAGACCTGAGCTGTTTGGAGGAAAGTAGCTGGAAGCAAGACAAAGAGAAACTCGGGATTCTGAGATACATAAACGCAGGATTTGGTGGAGAACGATCATCTTGTGGGACTTGACTGGGGCTGATGGCATCAGAGAAAAGAAGTATTTAAGGAATTATGGACAGAGGACTGGGGAAGAGGACTCAATTTGGCTTGAGGCACCTGTGGTTATGGAAAGACATTTTGATCCAATATATGGTGGTATCTGGATTATTTCACTTTTCTTAGCAACCAAGTATGTGCTAAAGCAGCTTGAACCAAAAAAAAAAAAAAACCAAAAAACAAAAAAACAAAAAAGACCACACCAAAAAACAAAATAAAAAACAACAATAACAAAAAACCAAACCAAACACACATACATAACTACAACAACCAAATGTACATTGAATTTAAAAAAGGAGTAATATATATTATGTGCAGGTAACAGTTTGCTTTGTAGTGTATAATCAGTATCATAAAATTTCTCCCACTGTGCGAAAATAAGCTGCCTTGCAAGGGAAGGGGTGAATTTTATGGCAATATGACAGTGGTACTAGTTCCCTGTGTATAGCATTTTGTAGTTCATGAGACATTTTCACACGCACTTTCTCATTTTGAACCTCACTACAATCTTAGGTGGAGATTTTCCTTTATTGTTATTATTTTCCTGATGAGGACATGGGATTGCAGGGGTGAAGTGACTTGTCCAAAGTCACTGGGTCAGAAGTTGACCAAAGTGGCTCTCAGATACAGTTTTGCCCACTTCATGGCCTTTGCTCCATGATAGGAGGCTTGGGTAGGCACTGGAAATTTGACTGAGTTTTAAGGGAAAGGTCCACAATTTTCATTTTAAATGTTTCACATTTTTAACACTTGGGTATTGTCATGGGAAGCAAACCATCTTCCAAGGGAAGTGTCATCTTGATAAATACACTTCTGGAATTTTGGTCTGCAGTTGGATAGTATCAGAACAACATGCTCACCTGAGTGTTCACTGTTGATACAACAAATGTTGATAGTTTGAAAAGTGGTTTACCACCATCAACCCATTTAACATCACTCCCAGCATGCTGCAAAAAAGAGTTTGTTACTGTCACTGTGGCAATTTGAGAGAAAGGAAATATCAATAAATAGGTTATTTAGTTTATGTTAATTTACCACCTCGATCCATTATTTTCACATTACTATAGAGATGGAAAATGAGAGATGCAAATACATTTGGCAGTATTAGTAAATGATACCAATATGATATCAGGGGATCATTTTAAATAGATCATTTTTACTGGTCACAAATGAAATAAGGTATTGAAATATTACAGGTACAGTTGATTCCTAATTACAATGGATGAATACATAAAGGTGGGGTTAATTTAAATAGCCAAAGGAAGATAACCTCATGCCATTTTGCCCATGTATCTTTTCTCTTAAGTTATATGCTACCCAGTACCTTCCCATTTGCAGAATCTTGAAAGCTTAAATAATTTGGAGGCAGGCTTGTTGCTACTGGGATATTATACTCTTGAGAAGCTATCTGATCATCTTTCATCAAAGGAAGCCAAGCATATCCAACTGTACAAAAGAAAAACAGAGAGAAAACTTTTCAGTACAAACCTTCATGGTGAGGAGTAAAAACAAAGCGATTTACCATTTATGAATACAAAACTTAGTTAAAAAACACTAAATAAATCAGAGCTTTTCAAGTACTTTCCAATTCAAGTCCCAGAGATGACATGTATGGCTATGTCAGATTGCTTCTGGTCAGTACCTGGTGTTTCCAGTGCCTCCTTCTTTTTGGCGTTAGCTTTTGCATTGATGTCACAAGTGACATGATAAAAAGAGAACAGAATATGGTGTTTCTCATGAAGTTGTGTTGGGAGCTCAATTTTCACCTGCAGTGAAAGAGATAGTAGCTGGGCTGAGACTCAAATCATTTTCCTCGGGTCAGGGCAAGACAAAGCATAGGTACTTTAACCTTTTAAAAAGTCTTTAACCGAAATCTAGGTCCACGTTTAATAGTCAGCACTAGAAGTACTGATTTAATTCTTAGTACTATCCATCCTGCTAGCACTAATGCGTCAAGATTATATTTTTACTTCCTTACTGTGGTGGATGATGGTAATTTAGACTACCCAGTTTTTCCCCTTAGGTAATTTATGTCATCATGGGCAAGCTCTGGGACATAGTTTTGAGCAAACTCCAGGACATACTGAAGGACAGGGAGGCCTGGCATGCTGCAGTCCATGGGGTCGCAAAGAATCGGACATGACTGAGCGACTAAACAACAGATTCCGCCGTGAATTAAACACACACACACACACACACACACGTATGAAAAACACACAAAGAGACATAACTGTACAATGTAAATAAGGCACAGATTAAGGACTTATCATCAAGGACATGAATTAAGTTGTCCTCGCCTCCCAAAGGGCATGGACCAGTTGCACAAGCATCACTCGGGAGCTCGTAAGATGTGCAGAAACTCAGACACTACTCCAGACACATGGAATCTAAATCTTCATTTTAACAAGACCCCCAGGTGACTCATAGGCATCTTGTTGAGAAACATTGTAGTTGGACATGATGGACTGTACCTCTTTTTTTAAAATAACACAAAAATAAATGTGGTGTATACTGCATAAAAAATACATTGTGGTAACTAAGCAGTGAGTCATTTTGTGCAGAGGTCATGCTCCAGCTCTATAGGTGGTGCTTCTAAATAAACATAAGCATAAAATTGATACAGGTGAAGAATATACATAATAAGGGCTTCCCAGGTGACTCAGTGGTAAAGACTCCACCTGCCAGTGCAGTAGATGCAGGTTTGACCCCTGGGTCGGGAAGACCCCCTCGAGAAGGAAACGGCCACCCACTCCAGCTTTCTTGCCTGGGAAATCCCATGGACAGAGGAGCCTGGCATTGGGGTCACAGAAGAGTCAGACATGACTGAGTGACTAGACAACATACATACAACATAAGACATAATGAGGAGCATCCTCCTTGTTCCTGGAAAGAAAGGTTTTAAAATCCTCTACATGTCATACTTCTCAGGTTTTAAGCCTCTGTCATTTAATTCCCTCAACAGTCTTGTGAAGTGGGATGGTATAGAGGAAGCAACCAAGGCGAGAGACGTTAGGGGGCTTTGAGTCGTTTAGGAGGACAAACTCGTCAGTAATTACTAGGACCTTCCAGGACAAGAATATCTGTCACCCTGGAATCCCAGGATCCCAGGCAGGTAACCTACATTCAGCTCAATATTAGCAACTAGGTAGTTTCTAGAACATCAAGTCAAGCAGTAAGGTGATAGTGAAAGTGAAGTGAAAGCTGCTCAGTTGTGTCCAACTCTTTGTGACCCCATGGACTGTACAGTCCATGGAATTCTCTAGGCCAGAATACTGGAGTGGGTAGCCTTTCCCTTCTCCAGGGGATATTCCCAACCCAGGGAGTGAACCCAGGTCTCCCACATTGCAAGTGAATTCTTTACCAGCTAAGCCGCCAGGGAAGCCCAGAGACCCAAGCAAATTATCTACTAATTTATTTATTAGACTCTGTACATCTATATGGCTAGTTAATTTATTTTTACACTGTTCAGGAGAGAATTTATTAATAGATTTTCAGTGTCATCCCTAGGACAGTAGCATCAGCATCACTTAGAAACTTGTCTAAAAATGTAAATTCTCGGGCCCCATCCCAGACATATACAGGAGCCAAATATTGGGGGGACGGGGTGAGGTTTCAGTAATCTGTGTTTTAACGAGCCTTTTGGGTGATTCTACACCTGGTAAAGTTTGAGAATTTCTGAATTAGAATGGTTTGCAGCTTACATATATTCGTTATATGCCAGCATGCCAACCTGGAAACAAAAGCCAATATATAGTTCAAAGCATGCAATAACTAACAATGCAGTTGAATGAAATTTTCTTTTTTTAGCCAGAGCACATAGGAATGAAACAGGTGCTTAAGAATTCCAGTTAATGGAAATAGAACTGCCATATGACCCAGCAATACCACTTCTGGGCATACACACGGAGGAAACCAGATCTGAAAGAGACATGTGCACCCCAATGTTCATCGCAGCACTGTTTATAATAGCCAGGACATGGAAGCAACCTAGATGCCCATCAGCAGATGAATGGATAAGGAAGCTGTGGTACATATACACCACAGCCATTAAAAATATTACTCAGCCGTTAAAAAGAATTCATTTGAATCAGTTCTAATGAGATGGATGAAACTGGAGCCCATTATACAGAGTGAAGTAAGCCAGAAAGATAAAGAACATTACAGCATACTAACACATAGATATGGAATTTAGAAAGATGGTAATGATAACCCTATATGCAAAACAGAAAAAGAGACTCAGATGTATAGAACAGACTTGTGGACTCTGTGGGAGAAGGCGAGGGTGGGATGTTTCGAGAGAACAGCATCGAAACATGTATATTATCTAGGGTGAAACAGATCACCAGCCCAGGCTGGATGCATGAGACAAGTGCTTGGGGCTGGTGCACTGGGAAGACCCAGAGGAATCGGGTGGAGAGGGAGGTGGGAGGGGGGATCGGGATGGGGAATACATGTAAATCCATGGCTGATTCATGTCAATGTATGACAAAACCCACTACAATACTGTAAAGTAATTAGCCTCCAACTAATAAAAATAAATGAAAAAAAAATGAAATTACTTTCCTTAAAAAAAAAAAAGAATTCCAGTTAAACTAGATATTAAGGCAAATACTCCTCAGAAGTAAGTACTGCAAATATTCACATTATATATATGTATATATATATATATATATTGCAATACAAAGAAGAAAATGGTTTTGAATCTGCATGGCATAGTTCACTAGGCTGTTCATTAGATACACATTCTCCTGTGGAGAAGCTCACGGCTTTTACAAGGATCCCAGGAAGTACATGAGAGGGAGAGAGATTAAAAGCCATACTTAACTCTAAGAACATTCTTTTTTTCCTTTTAATCTTATAAGTCGACAGAGAATGTGCCTTTCAGATGGGCTTTGTCAAGGGGTCAATACTGTAGTAAATATTCAGTAATACGCTAATAGACTTTTAATTTTTTTTTCACCTCTGTCCTAAATTTATAGGAAAAAAATTAAGAGCATTAAACGGATGTGGAGGAAGGAGAAAAGGTCCCTTAGGTCTGTGGTTTCATCAGTGTTTTTTTAATAAATTTGAAAATGGTCCGAGTGTAACCAAGAGTGATAGGCAGAATAATAGTAACCCCCCCCCCCAACCACAATGTCCCCCGGGGCTTCCCAGGTGGTGCTGGTGGTAAAGAACCTGTCTGCCAATGCACAAGACATAAGAGATGCAGGTTCAATCCCTGGGTCGGGAAGATCCCTTGGAGGAGGTCATAGCAACCCACTCACTCCAGTATTCTTGTCTGGAGAATCCTAAGGACAGAGGAGCCTGGTGGGCTACAGTCCATAGGGTTGCAAAGAGTTGGGCACTACTGAGCAACTTAGCATGGGAAGATGTCCCCCATGTCCTAATCCCCGGAAGATATGAATATGTTTCCTTACATGGTAAAAGGGACTTTGCAGGTGCGACCATGTTAAGGGTCTTGAGATGGGGAGATTAAGCCAGATTAGCCCCGTAGAGCCAATGTAACCGCAAAAGTCCTTATCAGAGAAGGCAGAAGAGTCAGGGTCATAAGAAATGTGAGGAGAGAAACAGAGGTCAGAGTGATGACACTGCTGGAAAGGGTCAAACGCCAAGGAAGGTGGGCATTTCCAGAAACTGGAAAACCAAGGTAAGGATTCTCTCCAGAGCCTCCAGGGGAAATGGAGCCCTGCTGACACCTGATTTCAGCCCTGGGGACCCATTTCAGAGTTCTGACCTGCACAACGAACTACAAGATCATCAATGTGTGTTATTTAAGTCACTAAACTGAGGTAATTTCTTAGAGCAGCAACAGGAAATTAATACAAAAGATGTGATATTTTTAATCCCAGACATCATACTGACAGGTTTCATGAGTTCAGACCTTAGTTTAATGGTTAGAAATTATTTAATTATTGGAACTTGTTTTTCTGGAGCTATTTATACTACCAGCTGACATATGTTTAGTACTTTACTATTAACCCAATGAAGTTTTTTGTTGTTGTTATTGTTGTTGCTTTTTGCCATGCTGCACTGCTTATGGGATCTTAGTTCCCCAATGAAGGACTGAACCCAGGTTCCTGGCAGTGGGAGTGCAGAGTCCTAACCACTGGACCACCAGGGAAGTCTCCCAGTGAGTTTTTCACATGTGTTATAGCACAGTGGTGAAGCTTCAGGCTCTGCAGTTACATGGCCTGGCTTATATTTTGACTGTCACTTCATAGTTACATGCTCTTGGCAGAGTTGCTTCCTTGACTCCCAGTTTCCTTATCTGTAAAGTAGGAAGGCATGAAGGTTCATTTTATGTGTCAACTTGACTGGTCCATGGGATGCCCAGATAGCCAGTTAAATATGATTTCTGGGCGTGTCTGTAAGGCTGTTTCTGGAAGAGACCAGCATTTGAATTTGGACTGAGCCAAGTAGATGGCCCTCCCTATGTGGGTGACCATCATCCCATTGAGGTCCAGAATAGAACAAGAAGGCTGGGGAAGGTGGAATTCCCTCCCTGCCTGACCGCTTGACCTGGAACACTGATCTGCTGCTGCTCTTGGTGCTGCTGTTCTCAGGCCTTCAAACCTGGCCTGGAATCCACAATACGCACTCTGCTTCTCAGGCCTTCAAACCTGGCCTGGAATCCACAATATGCACTCTGCTTCTCAGGCCTTCAAACCTGGCCTGGAATCCACAATATGCACTCTGCTTCTCAGGCTTTTGAACTACACCAACAGCTTTCCTGGGTTTCCAGCTGGAGATGATAGATCGTGGGACTTTTAAGCCTCCTTGTATTAAATTATATCTATAGAAAGCCGAAGGGATGAAAGGAGATGGTGCGTACTTGGAGGACAGTATGGTGCCTGGCACATAATAAAAGTCTTAAGAACTGGCAGAGCAGGTCCTGAGGGGAGGGGATCCAAGCTCCCTCAATTACTATAAAGATTATAAGCAACAATGCTGGCTCACATTCTAGCCTTTTTCGTTTTGTTCCTTAAGACATGAAATGCTGCTACTGATTGGTAAGAACTATCTAACACGATCTTTCTTACAGTAGCCGATGAAATAAAAGAAAAAAATTCATCTAATTTGAAAGGAATGATGTAATAAAAATTCCACATTTTAGAAAGACAATCATACGCTGAAATATATGAATTTTCAACATAGTCCTGGGGCAACTGTCAATGAATGTAGCTTTGGAAGCTTGGTTATGTAAACACCTGCTAAGGAATGTCCTGAGTCGGAGGTGTAGTCAAGAGACAGCGTTTATCATCATGCATTATCTCACCCACTCACACATCTTTTAAGGAGCTGCTGAGGGCGGGGAAGTCTTGACCCTTACCTCATCCGAGAAATCTGGATTCTGGGAATGGTGCAGAACTGCAGTGTAGGCAGCCGAGGTGAAGAGGGGCCCTCCAGGTTTTCCATAAATACACTGTTTAAAAAAATCATGAGTTGAATAATTATGAGGGTCTGAAATTAACCCTGAGCACAGAAAGGCCACAACTTTTTTCAGTTCCCCATTCTGGAACAAAGATAAATTTTGTGATAACTTTCCAGGCTTAGCTGACATCTCATTAACCTTGAACTTCTTTGATCTGCTGTCCTGTATTTATTCTACAACGGGGCACTGTTGAAGAAAATATGAAGGCTTTAATTCACTCTGCAGATACTACATCAAAACTGAGTACCTGTGTCAGTTCACTACCTAACTTTTGATTACTGGAGATAAAAGACTGTTCACTTCTGATTCCTGCAGCCCATGGTATCCAACTCTGATCTAGAGTTTAAGGTCATCAGTCCTGGGTGACCACAAGGCTTGGTTTGATCCCAGTACTTGTCATGCCAGCCCCCAACCAAGAATGCCGGAATCCTAGGGCTGGTTCCAGGCTCTACCATATTGAATTTTTCTTCTATCCCAAGTCCTAATCGGGCCAGCGGATGGGGATATGGTACTTCCTTGTTATAAAAGTCCCTTTAGCCCAAGGTTCAGAGTCCCTCTACTGAAGTTAGCTGTATCTCTGAGTAATGCTCTAGAATGCAGTGAAACAGGTCACACATACCTGCAAGTACTTTTCATTTTTAAGAATTTTCCCCATAAGCAATGCTCTAACAGGCCTGGTGTGTTTGCCATCTGCTCACTGCCATTGTTCGCCTGATAATTTCATTTCATTTCAGTTTTTCTCTCCTGCTGCTAATGCTATTGTAGAACTTGGAACCTGAGGAGGCTAAGAGTACCTTAGGACAATTTTATTTATTTTTTTTTTAGGACAATTTTAAAGAACTCTTTGTCTCTACTCTGCATGATTCATTCAATCACTCAAATTGATTACTGTTCTTCTGAAAAATGCTACCACCCTTCTGAGTTTGGAGAATACAACTGGTCCCTGACAGAGTGCTTTAAGAGATAATCTCAGGTAATTGTGGGGGTTAGCTAGAAATTAGTTTTGTCCTTTACTATCTCTTTCCTCCGATTCATTGAAACTGGGAAGATCTGGCTGCAGGCCCACTAAAAAGAATTTTCCGCTCTATTTTTATAGGTTACTTTATATTGTTTGAAGTGCCTAAAATAAAAACAGCACACATCAAATAGGAACTCTGAAAAAAGCCATCTAGTTGCAGTTTTATAGGTTCAAACAGCCCAGTTCATACAAACCTCATAGTTTTATTGATCTTATTAAATCACGTGATCAACAGCAGGGAGCAGCTTCCCAGGGCCATTTCCCAGGTCCTCAGGCAGATGGCCACATGCGCCTTCCATAAAAGTGAGCATCCCACGGGGCACCTGCATTAGCCATCAGGCCAGTAGGAGCGGCCCTTCTGCACAGGCCACATGAAGGCCAGCTGGGATGTGGCATTTGAGATCAAGTACGGTGAATTCATGAGACGCAGGCTAATCTCTGAAAAGGGCAAAGACTTCCAGCGGGGAATCTTTGCACTGATTTCACACTAGAATGCCTTCCTTTTTTCCAAATCATGAAAAGCTAAGCGGAGCCATGAGACTGGCATTTCTAATAGATCCAGTTAATGGTGGCTATTCAATCAGGTACATGTTAGGAAACTTAAAATAAATGTACTAAGTGCTCCTCTTTCAAGCATGCTAAAATAAAAGCCTTTCGGTGGTGGAGGGAACCAGGGCACCTGCCTCCCTCTTTATACTGTGTTCCCTCAGAGGCTTGGCTCACCTTCAAGGGCCTGGCATCTTCCTCATCAGAATTTTTGAATTCAACGCACACGGTTATATTTCGTGCCTGAAATTATAGCAAAGGAAATGGACATTGTAATTTCCTGTTAGATAACATCAAAAAACAATCCAAGTGCCTAAAATAAGTAGCTTCTAATTAAATCTGAAAAATGTAGACTAGCCAACATTTTCTTGTGATATTATTCATAGTGCTTAGAAATAGCAGAAGGATTTGGAGAAATTATTTAAAAGGGAATAAAAGACTCATATTGAAAGTGTAGGTATGCTATTTTCAGAGTCTCTCTTAATAAACTAAAAATAGAGTCTAGAACAAAGTTATTTAGGGCTTATTTCAGAAAGGATTATTCATATACTACAAAATGTGCATCCTGAAACACTTTTAAGGTAAAACTCATCTCTGCCTCTCATTAAACATTTTCTTCAAATGGTTTTCTATCCCAAAGTGTTGGCCCATAGTAATTTGTATTTGAACTTTCAAGAAGCCATCTTAATGTGGTCTAAATAGGGTAGCGAGAGAGGATGATATTTCAGAAACATATCATACCTTGTTGAAACATTTCTGGCTATCATACTTGAGGTGCTTGGGGTAAATGTAAATCTGATTTTTGTATACTCTATAAGGACGGCAACACTTTGTTGAGTCATAAATAAATTCTTCCACTTCCACTGTGGGTTCTGGTTTTGCCGTCATATTGAAAGGCTTGACAGGAATAAAGGACGATGTTACACAGTCTTTAAAAATCAGAAATAAAAGTTTGTCATTGAATATGATCATAAGTAAACAAGACTTAATCTATTTAAAAGTGAATCTATTCAAAACAGAAATTCCATACTTGTATACCAAATTACGTTAAGTTATGCTGGCATGAAAAATTTGTAGGAGGCAAGCATGACAGATAATTAGTGATATATTTAACATCAACACTAATGTCTCAAAAAACTGGCAAATCTTTTGGATTTATAACTATTTTCTTTTTGTAGTAAGTTTCATATAAAATGTAAATTTTAGCTAGAGATCCTCTGAGCATACTAACCAGGCTGGGTTCGACCCCTGGGTTGGGAAGGTCCCCTGGAGAAGGGAACGGCAACCCACTCCAGTATTTTTGCCTGGAAAATCCCACAGACAGAGGAGCCTGGTGGGCTACAGTCCATGGGGTCACAAAGAGTCAGACATGACTCAGCAAATAACATATATAAGATAAAGAGTAGTCCACTGACCTTAACCATAACACTATAAAAATTGATCTGTGATGGGACACAACTCTGTCCAATGGATTTGTTATTGATAGTACCAATGGGCTTAATAGTACTTTTCCCTATGGAATGACTTCACAACATTGGTCGTAATCACCCCCTGCATTATTAGTTACAATTTTTTCTTCAGTTTTTACCATCTTTTAAACTCTAACCTTGTAAAAACAGCCTAAAAGGGGGAAAAGACCATGAGGAATATATAAATCAAAACTGGTCACTATATAGTTTGGAGGCTTCAGCCTGCAGTACTGACAGACAGCAAGGCCTTATACCTTCCTTTACTCCATCTGGAATCTTTCTGTGTCCAAACAAGCAAAATGGTTAGCTAAATATGCTTGGGAATCAGATTACAAGATTTTTTTTTCCCAAAAAAAATCATTTATAATTTTTTTATTGTATGTTTAGATTTCTCTGATGTTCTCTGGCTCTTTCAGAGAGAATATTTTAGCTTTCTCTTTTGCTATTTTTCTTTTCCCTAGGTAATAACATCTACGTCCCACACATCAGGTAGAGGAAATGGCTTAATTTATCTTAGGAAATGGCTTAATTTATCTTCTGGTTTTTCACCCCAATCAATATAAAAGTGATTTGGAGTCATGGGTTAAGTGAGAATGCTTTTTTTTTTTCTCTTCATATTACAGTGACTTGTGGAAAAATCATAAGAATGAAAAACTTAATAGTGCTCATGGTAATTCAAATATCCTGTGATAATGATCCTTTTCCTGTTTGTAGCTCTTTTTAGAATGCCTTTCCTCATTATTTGCACCACCGAGAAAGTCACTAAAAAGCGTAATAAGAAGGAAAAAAACAATCTCACCACTTATAAATAAATTCTGAAGATCTTACTTATAAATTAATGAAACTGCTTCTGAAATTTAAATTTTCACTAACATAAATGGACCATATTCTGAGAAAGATACGTGATCTCTGTGTAATAAGAGTCTAGAAACATTCCAGCTATAACTACTGCCTGGCCACCTGGGGAGCTACACACGGTGTTTGGAGTGGCCCTTTGGCAGCACAATGTGGCATTGCCCAATATGGGTTAGGTTTATCAATACATCTGAAACTGACTTTTTTCCTTTGCAACCCTTCAGTGTTTGAGGATTAAATGACATAGTGTAGTATCCTGCTAGATGTATGGTGTATACCAGATGACTATTAGGTTACCCTGAATATAGTTCCTATCTTATAATACTTATAAGACTGTCCTAATGGAGAAAGAAATCCCAAATTTTTACACGATAATGAGTTATCCCAAATCTTAAGAAAAAAAATCCCAAACAAATCTTTGTAACAAACCATCTATCCAACCAACCAACCAACCAACCAATCAACCAACCAAAAAGCCACTGAATACTCAAACTGTACAAAGAAACCATGACATCATCATCATACTTGGATGCTCCAAAGGAATGTTGTCAACAGCAATATCCAGGCTCCCGGGAATGGTCTGTGTTTTGCTTATTCTGTCAGCTCTGTGAAAGTATGCCAGCATAGACACACACACACGTACATACAAACACACAATAAGTTAATTCTAGTTGTCAAGGAAAACAAAAACCAGTCAACTGTAATTCTGAGCTTTGATAAGAATAAACAGTGGAACCCTAAATAAACTGTGAATAATTTCATTTAGCTAGTTGAAACTGAAAATGTATGTGATTTTGCAAATAAAAATTAAAAACCAGGGAGGGGTCAAGTTATAGATATTCTGAAGGATATTTTAAACTTGTTTGCACCACTTCAGGTAACCACTTATATAGCCAAATGAGTACAATATAAATTCTTAGTTTTGGTAAATGGTAGGTAGCTTTTGTTAATAAAAGGTAGTAGTATTTGAATTGGTTTAAATGATTCACTTTCATGGGGAATTTTTTGAGAATTTTTTAGAGCAAGGCTGCTTTTTGCTACAACTGCTTTTTCCCTCTTCACCAACAATCCAGGAGGAAAAGGGACCTTTCCTTGACCCTGGTTCTTCTTCCACCCTTGAAAGTGTATGTAGACTCTTCTTCATCACCTAACCCTGTTCCCACATTCATTCTAATTTATGAGTCCTTGAATTTCTTTCCCTTCCTCTTTCCTAAAACCTTCTCCCCTATTTTCCTTTATAGTAAGGTAGAAGTTGTTGATCACAGTTTCAAACGTTACCCCTCTCAGGAAATCTACTTTGAGAGGCAGAATAATTATAGCGGTGGGTCAAGTCAGCTCTTTCCAGCTTGTGAGAGTTAATGGTTAAATTTTCAGTTATTTTGCCTGCTAACTATAAAGCACAGCCATTATTAAAAATAAAATTATATAAACTTACCATTAAACACATTACATTAAACACCTAGGTAATAAGTAAACTTTCATCACTTAGTAATTGTTTTACTACCTGGTGAGATGATCCATGATCTTGAGGTTATTTACATCTAACTGTGCAGTGGAAATGTCATATAATGGTGTGCATTTCTTCCCAACTCCATGTTTGCTGAAGCCCCACTGGTAGCTTGAAATCAGCAATGGTAGGAGAATTTACACCATAGAATTTTGCTATCAGTACAAATCAAGTTTTCCCCACCAGAGGGTCAGGGGTAGACATTTATCAGCACACTGCTAAGAATACATGTCATAAGGTGTGAGGTATCTATGAAATAATCTAATCTCACAGTATGGCACTGGGTATTCTAGATGCCCTCTAAATGTTATAATGATTACTTTCTTTGCTAAACACCAATAACATGGGTTTCATGACAATATGGTCTTCTGTTTTGCTCATTCCTTTCTGCTGTGTTACAACTTTTCATGTTTTAATACATTTGGAAAAAAGTAAAGGGAAAAGTATATTTATTTTCTACTTAGTGGCTATAGGAGTTTTGATCATGAAGTTTGAAAAGGGGAGGGTCTCCCCAAGTAAGGAGTGATCCTGTAGAATCACAAAAAAGTAATATTGGCTCAATTCTACTTTTATTTTGCTTTCAAAGGTTTATACTTTTTCCAGAACAAAAAAGGACATCAGGCAAACTTCTATTTTAGTTAAACAGAAATATATAATTTATTGAAGATACAGAAAATATTAATCATGTTCCATAGTAGTATATTATTTTAGTTCTGGATAAACAAATTAATTGATAAGAAATTGTTGATTCTGAGGTGGGAGAGGCAGACAGCTAATATTTGATTAAGAGGCGGAGGGTACAAGCATCCTGAGTGTGTCAGAGGACTAACAGTTTTAGATAAGTTAAGTATCATGAAAGAGCTTAACATCATCACATCATCACATTTCTGTCTGTCCCTTGGTATGCTTCCTCTTAGAACCCAGCCACCATGCCACAAGGAAGCCACAGCATCTGATGGAGAGGCTCCCATGTTAAAGAACCAAGCTCTCCACCCCACAGTTCTAGCCAAGCTCCCAGCCAACAGCCAGCACCAACTTGCCAGTCATCAAATGCACTATCTGAAAAATGGGTCCTTTAGTTTCATTTTCCCTCTTCCAGTTGATGCCATAAATAGAAGAAACAAAGTCTCACCTAGCCATGCTCAAACTATGGACTCAAGAGCAAAAGTGATGTTATTTTAAGTTACTAAATTTGGGGGTGATTTGTTACATAGCTATCAATAACTGATACAGTTTAATGTTTCACTCTCCTTCTATATTATTCTGGCAAGTTTACTCTTAGGGTGTCAGTTGGGCATATGTGAAGTCATTTGCAAAGCATGGTTTCTGAAGGAGCTTGGTATTTGAAGAATCTGGTAATTAATTATTGTTTTTTCAGAAATAATAAATCAACAGTAGCAATGTAACTGATTCATGTTGATTTCAAGAGCATCCCCCAAGTCCTACCTTCTATAATCTGATACTAGTTTCAGGAGGTCCTCAGTTGAAATCTTGTTACTTTCTTGTCTATACAGTGGTGAAAATCTTGAGTCTCTGTCCACATTTCCCTGGTTGTCCTTAAATACTGATCTGAAAGAAAACAATATTTATTCAGTTTGATATTTGGCGTGGGAGGGAGGTAAGAATTCTACTATTGAACTACAATGCTCCCCTCTTGGTATTTATAGGGTATCATTTACCAAGCTGTATTTTTAAGTTGACTAAAGTGATTCAACTTCCCACTTAAAATGGAAGAAACTCCAGGGAACTTATCTAGTAAAGAGACAAGAAAACTTCTTTGACAAAAATTTCACTTATATACTGTATTTGTTATCTTTATTATTTTCAACCTAGTATCTAAAGTGACAGCAGCCCATATTAATTACATTTATTTATGATTTAGTAATGTATCAAAGCCATAGAGTGTTAGGAGTGTGGAGAGGAATAGGGACACAGGTTATTACTTTTTCATTATTTCCTGGGCAAGCTAGGGTCATGTTGGGTTGGGTGGTGCCATTAGAACTTACGAGTAAAGGAAATGGGATAAGGTGGTGTATATGGGTGTAGAGAGGCAGACTCTTTAACATTTTCATGGAGATAAAGGTGCCCATGTCCTAAAGTTTAGGACAGAGACAAAGATAAAATCGAAAACACCTGAGTAAGCATTTTGTATTAAACAAAGAGAATACCATGAACCTGGACAATTTGTTTCCTTCCTTGATCTATTTCAATGGGATTATATAGATTTAGTTAAAATGCCTAAAGTTTTTTCATCCAAATAATATAGTAATGTGAGGCAACATTTCTTGAAAAGCAAGTTTACACAGCATGTTTAGTGCCATTTTTCTTCCCTATAATTTATCATACTCTGTGCCCACTGAAGAGAAATTAAACCTTTGTGTAATTGATTTTTCTTTAGAGTTAGAGAAATGCTGAATTTTTATTTCTTCTAACTTAAGAACCTTAACGAGACTATTACTACTCTTTAAATGAGCTAAAGATTTCAATATATAGGCTGAGAAGGTCATTTAAATGGCTATCTGAAGATAGAGATTGAGTTCAGTGTCAGGTAATTTAGAAAATGGGCAAAGAAAGGATCAGAATGATATTTTTAGAATACTTCAGCCTTTCTCCTTAGCTTTTCTATTGTGTGTGTGTGAAGTAGCAACTGAGAGAGAAAAAAAGAAAAGTCCTCTGTGAAATAACACTGCAGGAGCTATGAATATGAATCAGTGTGCCGTGTTTAGCTGTGTCTGACTCTTTGCGGCCCCATGCACTGTAGCCTACCAGGCTCCTCTACCCATGGAATTCTCCAGGCAAGAATACTGGAGTGGATTGCTATTTCCTTCTCCAGAGGATCTTCCTGGCCCATGGACCGAACCCTTGTCTCTTGCATCTTCTACAATAGCAGGTGGATTCTTCACTACAAGGACTGGGCCAGGGATTTCTCAGAATGATATTTTTAGGATCCTTCAATGTTTCTCCTGTTGTTTTTTTTTGTGAAGTAGTAACTGAGAGGAAAAAAAGGTCCTCTCTCAAATAACACTGTGAGAGACAAAATGAAAACATTTAACTCAAAGATTATTTTCGTTTATATATTATCCAGGACTTTTGTCTGAATGTGTGTCATTTTTCTCCAACGTAGGAGGAAGTTTAATTGAGTATTCTTTTTAAGGGTTAACCAGTCACTTGGAATCTATTGGTAGACTTGAGCTGTATCACTGACTTTTGCTCTTATCCATAGCTCTGTTGTGGAAATAGCTCAATTACATTGGAAACATTGTGAAGAACACAGTGTCACAGAGGAGCACTGATCACAGCACCACACACTCTGTCCCTGCTTGATAAATATGCTAACTGGCAGGAGAGCGGAGAACTCATTCATTTACACAGATGGTTTCAGGGTTGCTGAGACATGTCCCGTTCCAACTGCCAGAGTTGAGCAAAGATTGGTGTGCAATGATCTCAAAGCCTTGACGTGTTGGGTGTGATTGAAAAAAAGAAATCTGTGTTTAGTTTAAAGGAAAATAAGCTTAGGGATATGAGAGCTTCATTCATAAGCATGAATAGCTGTGATATATAGAAAGAATGAAGAACTGATGTTTTTGAACTGTGGTGCTGGAGAAGACTCTTGAGAGTTCCTTGTATAGCAGGGAGATCAAACCAGTCAATCCTAAAGGAAATCAACCCTGAACATTCATTGGAAGGATTGATGCTGAAGCTGAAGCTCCAATACTTTGGCCACCTGATGCAAAAAGTTGATTCATTGGAAAAAACCCTGATGCTGGGAAAGGTTGAGGGCAGGAGGAGAAGGGGGCAACCAAAGATGAGATGGTTGGATGGCATACTGACTCAATGGACATGAGTTTTAGCAAACTCCGGCAGGGAGTGAAGGACAGGGAAGCCTGGCATGCTGCAGTTCATGGGATTAGCGACTGAACAACACAGAAAGAACTGAAGCACATTTTTGTGGCTTTGGAAGACAAAACATACAAGTGACTATCAAGCAGTTTAAAAATGTGTATATATTATATATGTATACATATGTGCATGCATGCATGCTAAGTAGCTTCCGCTGTATCCAACTCTTTGTGACCATATGGACTACAGCTTGCCAGGCTCCCTTGTCCATGGAGTTTTCCAGGCAAGAATCCTGGAGTGGGTTGCCATTCCCTTCTCCAGGGTATCTTTCAAATTTAGGGATCAAACCTGTGTCTCTTATGTCTCCTACATTGGCAGGCAGATTCTTTACCACTAGTGCCACCTGGGAAGCCCCGTGTATACGTATGTATATATACATATATATATCTGAAGAACTGTCTAATCATTAGAGCTATAAAAAGACAGAACCACTCTGGGACATACTTGAGTTTTTGACACTGGAAGGATCTGAACAGAGGTTGGACAACCACTTGTTGGGGGTGTTGTTTCACTGTCTTTTATAAATGTGTAGATAGAAGAATGAAATTTTTGTTTTAGTCTTGTTTAATTCTAAAGAAAATCCAGCATTTTACTCTGGTCCATCTGGAATGTTGCATAGGACAGAGAAAAGAAATCAAAAACAGTCTTGTCCTGCAGAGGAAAAGAAATATGGTATGATATCCCTTACATGTGGAATCTAAGAAGAAATGATACAAATGATCTTACAAATCAGGAAGACTCACAGACTTAGAAAACAAACTTATGGTTTCTGGAGGTAAGGGAAAGTTAGGGACTTTGGGAAGGTCATGAATACACTGCTGTATTTAAAATGAATAACCAACAAGGATCTATGGTATAGCACAGGGAACTCTGCTCAATGTTATGTGCCAGCCTGGATAGGAAGGGGGTTTGAGGGAGAATGGATACATGTATATATATGGTTGAGGCCCTTCACCATTCAGCTGAAACTAAGATAATATTGTCAATCAGCTATAGCCCAATACAAAATCGAGTTTAAAGTTTGGGAAGAACAAAAAGATTCTTGTCCTGGATTTAGGCCCACATAATTCTGAGCCTTACACTGGTGGAGAAAGTTTGATCTAACAGCATGGCACATTTGTAAAGGTCGACTTTCTCCTGAATCAATGAGTGTACGACACCATATGTAGCCATCTGAACGTGTTCTCTTTACCTACTCTCAATATAATCTTTTTTACTATAAAATGACACTGCAGCTGGTGCCAAAAATAAGAACATGCACCAAATTAGCCCTAGATAAAATGTTCACAGTGATGAATATGTGTGTCTTGCAGCTGGTGGGATGATTGCATAGGGGCAGAAATATTATGACTTTGTAAGCTTATTGTCAACTTTAGGCTTCTTAGTGGCAGTTGATTTTAAGGGCCAAAGGATTTTAGATTACACTCAGAGCTGCAATCAAGAAAATCTAATGGAAAGAAAAAGGAGTCAGAGGACCAGCAGTATCAATAGGGTATTCAAATAAGACAGCAGGCTGGCTCGTGTCAAAATGACATGAGTAGCAAGGAGCCCTCCCCTGACTTGATCAACAATTTATTTGAAGCAGTTTCTACACTGTGAAGGAAAAGTTAAAATCTTCTTTGTTTGTATGTTGTACTTGTTTTTGTGGTTAGATTTTCTCAACTGTTCTGTAGCCCGCCAGGTTCCTCTGTCTATGGAATTCTCCAGGCAAGAATACTGGGGTGGGCTGCCATTTCCTTCTCCAGGGGATCTTCCCAACCCAGGGATTGAACCTGGGTCTCCTGCATTGGCAGGCAGATTCTTTACCATCTGAGCCACAAGGGAAGCCCCTAAATAACACTTTCCCAAGTGGTCTAACAGGAAATCTCGAGAACTACACTGCTAAACATTTTCCTCAGTCGCTAGAGAGATTTCTGTAAATGTAAATCTATATTTATATACACACATTACTGGTGTACTTGATGGTATTTCCTAACTTACGACCAAACCACTGATCAGGCATTCATGTGGCATGAACTTGTGGTTCTGTTGGCTTTCCTGTCCTAGATATAAATACTTCAGTAGTTGGTAATATCACCAACCTCCCTAGAAACTTCATCTATCTTTCCTCCAGCACATCTGACCAGACAACTTCAAAGTAGAAATCTTGTTGCTTTTCCTAACTGCTCAGTTTCTTTCAATAATGGGCAATTCTTTCACTTCTTTCTCCCACATTATTATTCACTGTCCCAAATTGACCTGAAAAGACTAGCTGGGGGGTGGATATGATCTTTATAGAGACTTTTATTTTTAAAATTTTTTATTTTTAGAATTTTCTTGTCTCTTATTATAATTACGAATGGACATCTCACACGTTCAGGGTCCTTCTGCAGCTCTTTTTCTGGAACTATATGTTTCTGGATTTTTTCTGTTTTGTTTTACTTCTTTTTGGCCACGCCAGGCAGCATGTGGGATTTTAGCTCCCTAACCAGGAATTGAACCTGGGCCCCCTGCAGTGGAAATGCAGAGTCCTAACTCTGTACTGCCAGGGAAGTCTGAGGACTTTAATAATCAGATTAATGACTTCTAATAATGGCTATCTTTTGTTGGTTACATAGTTGTACTTGCTGATCCCTGAAATAGTAAATTAGGTATTGACACATTTCTTTTGTATATTCAAAAAAACCTAGGTAAACAGAGACTATAAGTTTTTGTCTAAATTCACTTGACTGGTAAATAGAGTTGAGACTTAGAATCCAGCTCTAGCTCTAAAGTATCTATTTATAACAATGCTCAGGATAATTCTCAATACTTAAAAAGAACAGTGTTCACTATTATAATTTTGCTACATTGGAATATTTCACCTTGCAAAAGGACATCCTGCCTTTGCCCTTCCTTCCACTTGCCCAAACTGAGTTTCCTGTGGGAAATGAAAATACTTATTAACATGAAAAAGTTTGGCTTCCAAATTATAACTAGTCATCCTTTTTCTTTTTTTCCTGTTTTTAAAATTAACTTTTATTGGATTATAGTTGTTTTACAATGTTGTTAGTTTCTACTGTATAGCAAAGTGAATCAGCTATATGTACACATATATCCCCTCTTTTTTTGGATTTCCAGCCCATTTAGTTCACCTCAGAGCACTGAGTACAGTTCCCTGTACTATACAGTAGGTTTCCATTAGTTATCTACTTTATACATAGTATCAATAATGTATATATGTCAATCCCAATCTCCCACTTCATCCCGACCTCCCTTTCCCCTCTTGGTGTCTATACTTTTGTTCTCTGCATCTTAGTTATCCTTTTTCTTGAAGCTTATGAGGAATAAAAAGAATTAAGTTCATTATAAAGGGTTCATAGTTCCTAAACAGCATCTGTTTTCATACAGAATGGGGAGAGATATCAAAGGAGATAAAATGATATTTATGATGCCCTTTATGGCACTACAGTTCGCAAGGCAGGTGTTGTCAGCTTCATTCTGTAGATGGAGACTCTGAGACTCAGGAAGGAAACTGACTCAAAGTTACAGTCTATAAATGGCTCCTGATCTGGGCCACATTTGTCTCTTTCTCCTTAGAGGGTTGCCTTAGGGCAAACTGATTCCTACAGACTACATGAGTTTATCTTGATTACTGCTGCCCCAGATTTCCACACTTCTCTTCCCTGCACCTAAGGACTATCTTCAACGTTCAATACCAGTATCAAAGTTATGAAAAATATTGGTGAGTGTACCCTGGTTCTTCACCTCACTGGATACGGTAAGACCTGAAAATGGTATAACTAACCAGTTCCTCCTTCCTCCTGTATTTTAAAGTTCTTTGCATTGGGGTGTAATCAATATTCAAATGGATACCTAATAGGTGCTCTTTTTTTGGTAGCACTAATTAATCCTTATTAGTTCATTCAGTTTGTTTACTGTTGACCTTTTACCATGTCTATGCCAGGCTCTTCTTCCTTTAAGAAATTAAGTACTCATAAAGACACAAGAAGACCGAGACAGACAATAGTAATTGATGTTTAAATAGATCTGAAAGGCAATTTTTGTTCTTTATGCAGAGGTTATATATCCAGGTGGGTGACTCCACAATTAGTGTCCACATAACTCGGCATTTCGCTCAGAGAGTCAACTGGTACTGATAAACATGGCTACACTAATAAGTACCAAAATCAGAGAGTTTCAGGGATCAATCTGATGGTTTCATTTGACCTCCCATATATAGACCTGTGTTTTCTGCACAGATGAAAACATGTAGCTGCATAAGAAATTGCAGTGCTTCCGTCTGAATATTATATAATATGGAAGTTATGACCATTGGATACCTGGTCATGCATACCATGCACCCGTGTCATGGGCCCAGTCTATTATGAGCTGACTTGCTAAACTGTAAAACACATGTTTCTAGGGAACTCCAGGTATTTATTTATTAAGATGAACACATTGGCATTCTTCTAGGTGTTGGCATGTTAAAAATAACAGGTAACACAGACATGTTCAAAACTGAAGCTTTCAGTGTAGATTATAAATGCATTTCTATTCTGTTGGTTGCAACTGTCAACCTACCTTACTGCCCAAGCGAACGGCATGCGGTATTTCCCCAACTTGCTGCAGAACTGCCTGTTGGATTTTAGTATCTTCTGTGCATACTAAGGAAAAAAATAAATAGAGACATTGTTTAGAACATCACTATAGAAATAGTCCATGTAAAATGTGAATAAATACTTTTCGGTGTTATCTCATATTGAAAATCAGTGACATCCTGCTTTACTGGCCCAGAGATTCTATCCTATAAAGAGCGAAATGATGTTGTCTGTGTTGAAATTATTGCATAAGGTTTTTCTTTCTTCAATTATTTTTTAAACATCCTCTCTTTTTTCCTTTTGTACTTCTCGGCCATCCCACGTGGCATGTGGGATCTTAGTTCCCTGATCATGGATCGAACCAGTGCCCCCTGCTTTGGAAGCGCAGAGTATTAACCACTGGATCAACAGGGAAGTCTCTCTTTCTTCTTAGTTTAGAAATTTTAAACACAGAAAACACTTTTATCTTGGAATACCAACTTCACTCTCTCTGTTTTTCCTGACTTAAGAGACCTTAAAATATTGAATGGAAAGAGTTATCAAATTTACATTCACAGTTTGTCCTATATTTATTTTTATTTGTTATGACGGCAGTCAGCACATTTGTTCTGTAGGGATCTGCGGGCCATGTACTCTCTGTCTCAGCTTCTTAGCTCTGTCACCACAGCAGGAAAGCAGCCACAGATAATCTTAAATGAATCAGTATAACTGTGTTTCAATAAAACTTTATTTACAAAAATAGGTGGCAGGCTGGGTTTTAAAGCTCTCTCATAAATACGTTAGATACTGTACTAAACTGTCACACAACCTCAAATTCAATTATTACATATTATTTTCCAATATACATCTTTAGGTGGATAATAAAAACTTTTTGCATTTATTTTCTATTAAAATAATAATATTCAATTATTTTAAAAATGCAGTAATTGAAAAAAGAAAGCAGAAACAATGTCCTGTAGTCCCACCATTTAAGGAACTTACGGCATTTTCTTTCCTCTTTCTTCCTTCATTTAGGTATTATTATAACTTGGTAAACAACTATTTTACTTTTTCACTTAGTTTTGCATAAGCATTGCTGATGTCTTAGTAAACGGTATTTCCTTGTTTCCAGTCAGATTAATCCTAACTTTTCATTATTGTTAACACTTCAGTCCTTGGGGGTTAAAATTTTATCCTCGTAAATTTATTTTCACCAATAGATTCTCAGTTGCAATTACTGTATCAAAAAGCATAAGCTGAGACTATACACTTTAAAAATTTCCAACTGGATACTTGTTTCACTAACAAGGGACTATTTCAAGACTCATATTTATCAAACTTGATAATTCATCAAGGCAATGAGAGAGTCAGTTCCTAGGCAGGTTGATAAGTCTGGTGTCCCCAAGGAGGAGAAAGGGGTCTGAGGCTCTCGAGGAAAAAACAGGGGTCTGGAATCCTCAAGAGGAGAAAAGGACAGATGTCTTTTTTTTTCTCTGCATTCCTTAGTCTTAGTCACATAAAATTTTTTTTTTCTTTAAGATGATTACACAACAAACAATTCAGTGTAAACTCTGTACTAAGGATTATATAACAACAATGTATCCTGCTTGAGGACAGGTTTTCCTTCCTGTAAACCTTCTGACTAATCCTGGTATATTAAAATGGATATTATGGGAGTGGGTCTGGTAAAATCTTCCTATTGTTAAATTCTAATCCTGTCATCTTAAAATGTAAATTGTGGGAGTGGGTCTGGTAAATATTTACAACCTTGAGACATTCTTCTGATTTACTGTAATAACCAATTGAAAAAGTATATAATTCCTTTGCTAAGACTAGCGAGAGGGGCACTCTCTGTCCCCCTTCTGATGCCTATGTCAGAGGCTTTCTCTGTCCCTTTTAATACTTTAATAAAATTCGGCTACACAAAAGCTCTTGAGTGATCAATCCTGGTCACTGGTCCCAAAGCTAAATCTTCTTTGGAGATCAGGAATCTGACATTGTTCACCGTAACCTATCAGCAGTATGATTTTTATTTCTTGAAAGTAACTGAAATCATTTCTAAAAAGATCATGCATTACCTTGTTGGAGTCTGGATTTTTAATATAAGGTTCAGCACCACTTGCAATGTTTCCCATCAGTACTTTTTCAATTTTGGCCACTAAAACAATTTCAGAGTGTGGATTGCTTACAGAAAATATAGCCTGTATACAAAGAAAACAAATAATAAGCATCTAGGAAACCACAATGAAGACATAGACAAAATTCTACTTTTTATAGTACAACTTTAAGGGGAATGTTTATTTAGAAAACTGCTCATCTTATGTAATCTATTGGTAAGAACAATGGAACAAACATCTTCCCTCCTATGAGAGATAAACAGAAGTGCAACCTGCTTTGGAAATTTTAGCCATTCTTCTGGAAATCCCTTGATGTGAGGTTCTCCTGATTGTCTGGGAGTGACAGTGTCTATGTTTCCATTTTCCACAGCCACGGACGCCCCTAAGAGCATCTGCCTGACAGCAGTGTGGTTCAGATCCACGTGGAAATCGGCAGAAATCTTCCTGCTGTCTCTGAGGTCATAAAGTGCCACACTCACAAAAAAAGGCTCAATCTGCGGGAAGAAGAAAGAATTGGTGGTCTTGACATAAAACCATTACACAGACAATAGCCTCCTTAGTACAGTATTTAATAACACTCTAGACAAAATACTACTGAGAGAGTCAATTCCTAGGCAGGTTGATAAGAAGTCTGGGGTCCCCGAGGAGGAGAGAGGGGCCTGGGGCTCTCAAGGAGGAGATAGGGGTCTGGGAATTCTCAAGGAGGAGGAAAGGATAAATGTCTTTTTTTCCCCTCTACATTCCTTAGTCTTAGTCACATAAAACGTTTTTTTTCTTTAAACCAAGAAGTGATGATTACACAACCAACAACTCAGCTTAAACTCTGTACTAAGGATTACATAACAACAGTGTATCCTGCTTGAGAACAGTTTCTCCTTCTGAAAGTTCAACTCAGTTCAGTCACTCAGCAGTGTACAACTCTGCGACCCCATGGATATAGCATGCCAGGCTTCTCTGCCCATCACCAACTCCCAGAGTTTACTCAAACTCATGTCCATTGAGTTGGTGATGCCATCCAACCATCTTATCCTCTGTCGCCCCTTCTCCTTCTGCCTTCAATCTTTCCCAGCATCAGGGTCTTTTCAAATGAATCAGTTCTTGCCATCAGGTGGCCAAAGTGCTTCAGCATCAGTCCTTCCAATGAGTATTCAGGACTGATTTCCCTTAGGATGAACTGGTTGGATCTCCTTGCAGTCCAAGGGACTCTCAAGAGTCTTCTCCAACACCACAGTTCAAAAGCATCAATTCTTTGGCACTCAGCTTTCTTTATAGTCCAACTCTCACATTCATACATGACTACTGGAAAAACCATAGCTTTGACCAGATGGACCTTTGTTGGCAAAGTAATGTCTCTGCTTTTTAATATGCTATATAGGTTGGTCACAGCTTCTTTTTCCAAGGAACAAGTGTCTTTTTAATTTCATGGTTGCAGTCACCATCAGCAGTGATTTTGGAGCCCAAGAAAACAAAGTTTGTCACTGTTTCTACTGTTTCCCCATCTATTTGCCATGAAGTGATGGAACCAGATGCCATGATCCTAGTTTTCTGAATGTTGAGCTTTAAACCAACTTTTCACTCTCCTCTTTCACTTTCATCAAGAGGCTCTTTCGTTCTTCTTCACTTTCTGCATAAGGGTGGTGTCATCTGCATATCTGAGGTTATTGATATTTCTCCTGGCAATCTTGATTTCAGCTTATGCTTCATCCAGCCCAGTATTTCTCATGATGTACTCTGCATATAAGTTTAATAAGCAGGGTGACAATATACAGCCTTGATGTACTCCTTTCCCGATTTGGAACCAGTCTGTTGTTTTTCAAGAGGCAGGTAAAGTGGTCTGGTATTCCCCTCTCTTGAAGAATTTTCCACAGTTTATTGTGATCCACACAGTCAAAGGCTTTGGCACAGTCAATAAAGCAGAAGTAGATGTTTCTCTGGAACTCTCTTGCCTTTCCGATGATCCAATGGATGTTGGCAATTTGATCTCTGGTTCCTCTGCCTTTTCTAAATCCAGCTCGAACATCTGGAAGTTCATGGTTCTCATACTGTTGAAGCCTGGCTTGGAGAATTTTTAACATTACTTTACTAGCGTGTGAGATGAGTGCATTGTGTGGTAGTTTGAGCATTCTTTCTGAAAACTTTCTGACTAATCCTGATGTCTTAGAATGTATACATTATGGGAGTGGGTCTGGTAAAATCTTTCTATTGTTAGTTCTAATCCTGTCATCTTAAAAAGTAAATTATGGAAGTGGGTCTTGTAAGATCTTTACAACCTTGAGACATTCTTTTGATTTACTGTAGTAACTAAGTAAAAAAGTTATAATTCCCTAGTTTAGACTAGAGAGGGGGACACGCTCTGTCCACCTTCTGATGTCTGTGTCAGAAGTTTTCTCTGTCCCTTTTTCATACTTTAATAAAACTCTGCTGCACAAAAGCTCTTGAGTGATCAAGCCTGGTCCCTGTTCCTGAAACTAAATCTTTGGAGATCACAAGTCCAACACCTTTCACTGTAAGCTATCATTACTGTTTATATAGTAAAATATTTCTATTTATGGTATATGCAATACATATTATAAACTATATATTATATATGTTATATATTCATTAAATATATTTTTCCTTCCTTCTTTCTTTATTTTGGTTGAGCCATGTGTCATATGGTATGTTAGTTTCCTGACCAGGGATCAAACTTGCACCCCTGCATTGACATTTTATTACATATTTTATATATAATATGAAAAATATAATATTTGTATAAAATAATATCACACACACACATATATATACGTAGATATGTATATAGACTCACGGATTGCTATTTTATTCAATAAATTTCCATCTCTTACTATCATTATTTAGAGTGATACTCAAGTTGTCCTAGATTTGGCTAGAGGTACACCCTTCAGTGCAGCTCCTGTGTCTCTATGGCAGGTCTTCATCGTTTCTGGGGTACCTCCTTCTGTACCCAAGAAGATTTTTCAGATTCATGTTTACTCTTCATGCCCCAGACATTCCTTCAAAGACCCCTGGTTCCTGTGAGTGAGGGTGACACTTTGAAATCAAGATCTGGGTGCTTGTTAGGCTCATTGTTTCTGGGACACACACACACACACACACACACACACACACACACATAGACACACACAATATTCACAGCTACAACTGTGACTGAGCAGGACCCCATGGGGCCTTCCCAGGACAGGCCTTCCCCTGTATCCTTGGCTTTAGCCCCTCTCTGAAGTACTGAGATAATATTAATACTTGTTTAGTCACTCAGTCATGTCCACCTCTTTGTGACCCCATGGACTGTAGCCTGCCAGGTTTCTCTGTCCATGGGATTTCCGAGGAGGAGCACTGGCGTAAGTTGCCATTTCCTTCTCCATGGCCTTCTCTGGTGGCTCAGATGCAGAGCATGTGCCTACAATGCAGGAGACCCTGGTTCGATCCCTGGGTCGGGAAGATTCCCCTGGAGAAGGAAATGGCAACCCACTCCAGTATTCTTGCCTGGAAAATCCCATGGATAGAGGAGCCTGGTAGGCCACAGTCCATGGGGTTGCAAAGAATCGGACATGACTGAGCAACTTCACTTTCTTTCTTTCTCCAGGGATCTTCCCGATCCAGAAATCAAACTCATATCTCCTGCAATGACAGGCAGATTCTTTATCACTGACCCACCTGGGAAGCCCTAGATAATAGTATTTCATGCAGATTTCCTGAGTTGTTCTGCAGATGTGAAACCCCCCGCAACCACCAAAAAAAAGAGGAAGTACTTGATGACCATGAGCACATAACCCCAGGTCTCCTGGAGCCTAAGGATGAATAATGTTAACCCCTGTGACAGGACCCTGCTACCCACAATAAGCCAATCAGAGAACTGTTCACAAGCTGATCACATACCCTGAGATGCCTCTGTCATCTTCCCTTTAAAAATGTTTTGCTGAAACCTTTTGGAGAGCTAGAGGCTTTTTAGGGCATGAGCCAACCAGTTTCCTTGCATGACCTTGAAATAACCTTTCTCTGCTCCAAACTCCTGTTTAAGTTTGTTCGGCCTCATTGTACTTCAGGCACATGAACTTGTGTTAACAATGATTTCTTTACCACTGTTTGTATGTGAATATTTGCGAAAAACTCATGGGTTCATGCTGTAGCTCCATTTCCAATTGAGATCCTCAAAGGTTCTTTCTAGGTTTTCTCTTTTTCATATTTGTAAATATTTCTTCCAGTCGTGAAAAACCTGACTCATCATTAATTACTTATTTCTTCAATCAGTTTACTTTTGGTTTCAAAGTAACCAATCTCCCAATCATAGCAGCATCTTCGCTAGCTGCCTCCTCTCTACTACCTTGCACAGTGCCCCACTTCCTGACAAGTCCAAGGGCATGGCACCTCTGAGTCTCCATGTGGCTTTCTCCCCCGAAACATCCGGGGTTCTCGGGCTCACTCAGCTCCAAGCCTCAGTGTGACTGCCCCCTCGACCTCTTGCTACCATGCTAGGAAGGAAGAGGAAGATGTGAATAAAGGGAAAATGAGAACGTAAAGGAAGATGGAAGGAAGAGTTTCTTGTTTGAGTAAAAAAGTAGAAGTTTGGTAAAGAGGAGTTTATAAGGGCTTCTAATAGGTGGAGTGACACAGGCAAAGTCACAAAGACATGAACAAACACAGGTTTAGAGTGAGATCAGAGTGGAAACACAACGTGAGGATGTGTTTGCAGAAAATACGCTTGAGAAACACCAGGGAGGTGCATTAGGCACTAGAAGCCTTGGAAACTCACTGCATGTGTGTGTGTGTGTTGGTTGGAGAGACGGTTCACAGGGGCGTGAATTAAAGAAAATTCTCAGGTTTGGGACTATAGAGATTAAGTGAATGACAATGCCATTCACTAATGTATAGGATGAAGATACAAAGATGAATTCTTCAGTACAGAAAGTCATTCCAGGAGCAGTGGGGTATATGGGTGTTGAGCTCAGTCAAGGAAATTGGGCTGGAGAGCTGAAAACGAAAGATTTGGGTATGTGGGTTCCTGTTCAAGCATGAAAAGAAAAAAAGAGAAAATCCTAGGAAATGGCAGAATGGCATCTTAGGAAATATGAGCATGCATGGGATAGAGGTGGGAGTAGGAAAACCAGTTTACAAAGAAGATTGGGGAGTGGAGAGGGATTTTTTAAAACAAGTTGATAAAAACGTTTAATGCTGCCAGAGTATCACAGACACTGAAGAAGAAAGATTTAATAAAGAAATAATTTTCAACTAGAAAAATGTCAAATGCAACAGAATTTAAATAGAAGAAGGACAGAAATATAGATATGTAATTATATTCACAGATATATGTACATATATACACATGGCTAATTATATATATACATAGGTAAATACATACATATGTAATTAACTATAGACTTCTTAAAATGTATATACTTATAAAAAGTTTTTAAAGTTTTGCTTATGCTACTTCATCTTGAACTGATGCCTCTCATCCACTGATATTCTGTGGATAGGT